GACCCGTCTGTGGATTTGACATGTACGCGCGCGCGCGCGCGCGCGTGTGTGTGTGTGTATGTGTGCACCATAAAATGTCTCATTTTTCAGTGGCTCGCCGAGCTGGATGCCCACGGTCGGCGACCGTTTCTTCCTGGGGGAGGGGAGCTGCCTGGAAGAGGAAGTTGCTTTTGATCTGATGGCCACGGCACTTCTGAGTGGACCGATTACGAAGGGTAGAGGGGGGGGGGGGCAGCGCCGCGCACGGAGAGGGGCAGCATTGGTTTTTTTCTTTCTTTCTCTTTTCTTCTGTTATTGTCCCGTGGGGTGGACTCGGAAGGGGGTAATTAGACTCTTGTGGCGGTCTCAAATCAACAGAACACAACCATAAAAAAAATCTTGGCTTTGGGAGCGAGACAAGGACGTTCGATAGACTTGGGAGGCGGCAAAACAATGCAGGAGCAGCCAACAGCAGAAAAAGAAACACAGAAGACGTGCCAAACCACCTCGGCGTAGTTGCCAGTAACAACAACACACATATTTTTGCTTGATGAAAAGCAGAGCCGCAAACTGTTTCTGGCAGATGTCGCCCTGGTGGTGGGGTGCCGGTGTTTTGTTTTGAGACCTCCGTACCCTTTTCTCCTCTCCTCTGCTCTCCTCCGTCCGTTCCTTCGGTCCCCAGGGTGGCATCCAAGCAGGAGGAGGATGACGGAATTCAATAAGCTTGTCCGTCTGGCCCATCGGTCGAAAATTTGAAGAATCCTCCCTGCCAGGTGCGTGGGCATCCTTCGAAGGAGGGGGGGGGGGGAGGAATAGTGGTGGGGAGGGGGCCCATTTAGATGGGAAGCGGAGCGTACTCTTTTTTGCTTCTAGAAGACGTCGTCATCTGCAAACCCCTGAGATCCTGATCCTTCTCTGATGACGAGCTGGGAGATCTTGGGGGTCCAGCGATGCCCTTTGGACCTTTTTATGTTCTTATTCATCTTTTCTTTCCGCCTTTCCCGTCCTCGTCAGCCGGCGCTCTATGCAGCGCAGTATTCAGCCCTCATTGTTCCTCTCTCTTCCTTATAAGCAGCATCTCACGCAGTTGCGAGCATTCCCTTACCACGAACCACACACACAGATGCACTGTTTAGCGTAAGAAATGTAACCACAAGACAAGAAATACACTTGCATCAAGAAAGAAATAACAAAAGACACGTCCCGAGCCTCGGCGCCAACACGCTGGATGCGAGGCTTGGCGGACTCCTGTCAGCTCGAATAAGGCCGGCGGTCGTTTGCCATATCGGGACAACTGTGGTGCGAGAATGAAACCTATTCCCCACACCGGTGAGCACAAAAGATGCAGCGGCCGTGCAGGACGCAACACAGACTGCAGTGCAACGGTGCGCCTTATCTCCCAACTCTCCGAACTCCCCCTCTGCTTTTGCTGCTTTTGGGGGTGAGGGGACCCTTTCGTGAAATTAAACTACACTACACTACGTGCAAAGCACATACACACACATAGAGAGAGAGAGAGAGAAGGGGGGGGGGGGGGGAAGAGATATTCTACTCGGCAGGCCGGGACCTCGGTGTACAAGAGCACTGTACAGTAACCGATCCCCTTCTCCTTCTAAACCCTATCTTCTCCTTTCCCTCTCTTTGTCTTTCTCTCTCGGCGGGGTATACTATGATAAAGGTGAAGGGTCCCTTGTATCGCATTCAGATCAGATGGTCCCCATGTCTGTCCCCCCCAACCGTTGACGATTCAATGCCACGCGACCCCAAAATGCCCTGAGCAACCCCGGACTTTGCATGCAGCGGACCTTTTGGGCATGTGATTTGGGAAGAGCCGATCTTTCTCCTGAACCGTATTCGAGATCCCAAAGGCACATGGGCAAGAGGGTTATGTTTCCATCACCAAATTTGATCTGGGGGCTCTGTTATCGTGTCGTACCAGTCTCAAATATATATATATACAAATATACATATATCGAAACAAAATTATTCTTATTCTCGTTACGGTTGCCGATAGCCGTTTAGGACTGTTTGCAAGACCCCTCGTCAGCTGTGGGAGGGAGGAGGAGGAGGGGGGGGGGGAATTGTTGTAGATGCCGGATGATACTCGTACGATGATTTGATTCCTTTTTTCCTCTTTCTTTTTCTTCCATTGTTTCTATCTGCCGAGTGCCTTTCTTCCTCCCTGACAGAAGATTAACTTTTGGCCCATTACTCAAAAATTATGCCTTCCCTCACACCCCTCTTTTTCTCGACTTGAGATTGGAGATAAGCAGGCAGGGTTCTTTGTAGATACTTCCAAGAACTTGGAGGGGAGGGAGGGGTGTCCAGTCAGACGGGCCGAGCTATGAGATTCCTACTCGGTACCGCGAACCGCATGGCATGGCGAGGCGGTCCCCAGGGACGGGGGGCGGGGCTCAGAAGGGGAAGGACTTTCATGAGCAAATAATTCCGCCGTGACATCGCTCGCGAGCTGAGAGGTTCCTGACGGGCGAACGGGTGCTATTGTACCGTAGTACATGTGTGACTATCATTTTATTATTTTTAATCTCTTGGGGGGCCAAGAAAACTATAGGGGATGAATACGTCCTTGGCGAGGTGTAATTGTTGTTGTTGGGACTGCATGTATAAAGTCAAATGCTCAGAAAGTGGACGCAGGCGCACAGCACAGATGCAGACTTTCTCTTCCTCTGGTCTTGTCTTGTCATTTGTGTTATTAGACAGCTATATCTATTATATGATGTGGTCCAACAGATATATTGTGTGATAATATGCAAGAGGATGGAGACACAGCACTCATGAGATTCAGCACAATATGACGAGAGAGAGAAGAGGAAGAGAAGAAAATAGAAGAAGAGGGGGGGGGGGGGTAAACGTGGTTCCAGAGATGCAAATGCCATGGCTCCGTCATTAAACTGACTGCCTACACCAGTGCCGAAGCTCAGGGCCCTTTTCTTTACCCAAGGGTGTGGGTTAGTAACATGGACCCGTTATGCTAGCTTGAAAGAAACCCGAGTATCATCTCATCTCGATAATGGTTGTGTGTGAGTGGTTCACAGACAGAAAAGGGTAAAAGGTATCGTCTGGGGGTTTGATCCTGGCCAAGTTGAAGAGCAGCCTGTATTGAGGCATACTAGACAAATCTCAACCAAAAGAACATGTTCATTATCAGATGTTCAAGTCAAAGAGGTGATAGCAGAACTGGAGAGAAGAGAAACGAAGGAGCTGCTAGGGGCGGGAGGGGCATGATGGATTGCATTGAGGACGGATTTCAGGCTTCACCCATGTTGGAAATGTATGCCTAGGCCCTGCACCCCGCTTCCTCCAGCTCCGCGCTCCAGTGGTCCTTGCCAGTACAGTGCTCCAGTCCGAATGGTAATGGTAGAGGCGGACCGCGTTCCCTCGTCCCTAAGCCCCCCCAAAACCCTTCCCCAAAAAGAGTCCTGCTAGTTGTGCTCGTGCCACCCTGTGGCCCCCAATCGCCCAACGTCCAGCCTACCACCATAGCAGTTCAGCATTAGCAACAGGACTACCGCTAACTCATGGGGAGGAACAGATGGGCTCAACGTCCCCCAAATCCCCGCTCCAAAACTCCGCTCCTAAACCCAGCACCACCAGCACAAGACTTCCTGGAACCCTCCCTGTAAGCCCCCCTACCACCTACGAACCAGAGCCTGAGCCTGTACGGTTCGGGGTTCGGTTTGCTAGTTGCTCTACCACTTGGAACTGCTGCACCAGGACACACTTCCAGGACCTTTTGACACCTCTTCTTTCTTCTTTTCGTTTCTTCGCTTTTGAATATTGCGTTTTGGCCTTTTCTTACTTTTTTTCTTGTTTGTCTCTCTCACCCTGCATCTTATCATTTGCCGCTTTTGTAAACTTGTAAGCACATAGAGAGAGAGAGAAGAGCTGAATGAGACCTTTGGCACCCCTAAATCCAACCCCCCCCCACCTACCCCTGGTCGTCTGCTCTTTCTTGTCACCTCGCGCCTTAGCAATAGTGCTCTCGCACAGGCGGTATCCATCTTTTCCCTTCGGCCACAAAGAGAGAGGGAAAAAAAAAAACAGGGAGGAACCTGGCCCATACTCTCTCTCTTCTCCCCTCCTCTTCTCGTTCCGCCCACTCCCGCCAAACCAGTTCACCCAATTAATAGTACAGCAAACGCTTGCCGCCAGACACCGCACCAGGCCAGGCCAGGCCAGACCAGACAGGGCTTAGCAGCCCAGATACGACCCGGTCCAATACCAAACATCCCCAACCAGGGACCCGTATTTCTCTACTCCCGTATTTCCCTGCCCGCTACCCGCCCACAGAGACAAAGCTGCGGCCATTCACAAAGCCTATCGCGGGTCGTCTTGCCTGCTGCCAATCTCCACGAAGAGCAGAGCACAACAAACGGCACGGCACAGCACAGCACAACACTGCGCTCGCTGCATAGCACAGCAGCAGCAAGCTCCCCTTGCTATCCGAGGCGAGCGAGAAAGAGAGAGAGAGAGAGAGAGAGAGAGAGAAAGAGAAAGAGGCGAGACAGCCCACGGCATAGAGATCTCGCGCCTCCGAACCTCGTGCACCCCCCCCTTTGGACCTTGCTGCACAGTCACGGGGCTCCCCGAGCTTCCTTCGCCCAGCCAGCCCACCCTCTCCATCCAGTACGGTCGAACACACATATACTCACGTTCCAAGACAAGCACGAAACCACCTGATCATTTCATCCTGAACGGGAAACGAGACACAAGCCACCTCTCCTCACATCACATATACGACAAGGCTGCATGGCTCAGACCTTGGGTTTCCCCTAAACCCCCCAGCTCACCGCATCGGTCAGGGCTATCACATCACGATGCTCATGACGCAGAGCGCAGTCTCAGCATTTGCACAGGGCCAGCAGCAGCAGCAGCAGAACAACGGCAACGCATACGGCGCACGCCTTGACGACGCCTCGCAGTCCAGAGACCCGACCGGCCAGGCGTCTGTCGACATCCAAGCCAACAATACTACTACTACTTACTACCAGCCCTTCGCCATGAACGGTATTGTGGGCACCGCACCGCCCGGTGCCATGTATGTCCGTGCCCTCTACGACTACGAGGCCGACGACAGGACGAGTCTGAGCTTCCACGAGGGCGATGTCATCCAGGTTATCACCCAGCTCGAGAGCGGTTGGTGGGACGGCGTCATAAACGGGGTGCGCGGGTGGTTTCCGAGCAACTACTGCCAGATCATCACCAGCCAGGACGAGCTGCCCGAAGGCCACTCGCAGGAGAACGGCCTGGGCGACTCGCTCGAGGAAGAACTGGACGAGGAGTCATACGACGATGAGGAGGGCGACATGTCCGAGCTCGAGGAGCTCCCCCTGGAGGGCACCAACTTTGGTGAGAAGTCCAAGGCCGACTACTGGATCCCCCAGGCCACCCCTGACGGCCGGCTTTTCTACTACAACACCATGACGGGCGAGAGCAGCTCCGAGCTGCCCCTGGAGTCGCCCTCGTCGGTACATGAGAATGGGCCCCTAGACCGCATGGGCGTTGTCATGCCGGATCGGACCAGGCCGCCCCCAGAGCTGATGGCCAGGGGTCTAATGCAAGACGAGGATGAGGACTCGGAGGCCACTTCCGCATCAGAACTTGAGGGGGAGAACCTCATGTTCGGTCGCCAGGTAAGAGAGAAGACTCACCTGCCAGAGACAAACTGAGTTGTGTTCTAGCTGCAACGGCGAGGGCGAACTTATCCACTGATCAATCATCTTTGTCTTTTACTAGCAGGGTCGTAATCGGCGCTCCTTCAGCAAGGACGGCATATCGCCTGCGCCATCCTTGGACTCGATCAACGGCCAATACGCCTTCGGCAGGAATAATAGCACGATAGGTTCGGCGCGGCTGCCGGACCAAGCCCCCACATTCACAGCTGGTGCCACCTTTAATCTTCCCACGGCGGCAACCATTCCTCGCTCGTTCTTTGACGACGGGAGCACGCCACCGCTGACCTGGAGCCGCTTGGTGTCCAACATGAAGAAGGCCATCGACCGCTACCGAGAAGCTATCAATAATGGTGACAAGTCCGAATATGTAGCGCGCGCGGAGGATATCTCGGACCACCTGCGACTTCTCTTGGCAGCCGGCTCAGGCACCACCGACAACCACTCTGGCCAGCCTTCCATCATCTCGACCAACAAGGCGCTGTATCCTCACTTCAGAGACATGATGTCCAAGTTCTCCAAGCTTGTCGTCTCCTCACATATTGCAGCCGCCGACTTCCCAGCGCCCGAGTCCGGGCCAAAGTGTCTGCAGGAGGCCGACGGCGTCTTGCTGGGCGTCTTCAGCTACGTCGAGGTTGCAAGGCAGCAGAGGGGCGAGGAGATCCCCAGGCTGTTTCCCGGATTTGTCATCGGCAGCACGACGGGCGGCAGCTGGCAGAACAACGGCCTCGGCCCTCGCGATCCCATCACGTCCAACTTCCTGGATGACGAGGAAGGTGTCGTTGAGCCGACGGTCATCCTCGATGGAAAGCTGCTGGAGCGCCTGGACGAGCTGAAGCGGATGCTCGTGTCGAGCATCCGCGAGCTGGACAAGAACCTGGTCGTCACCGACAAGATCGTCACGCCCTACAAGCACGAAATTATTGCCAACAACGTCTGCTCCACTGGTGGCAAGGTGATCGAGACCTTCAAGCCCTGGATCGCCATGATCGAGTCCATCGACCTCTCATCGCTCGAGAACAGCTTCCAGACCCCTCAGCTGACTGATTTCAGCATCAACAAGCAGAGCCTGTACGACAACATTTCGGACCTGATTCTGGGCTGCCAGGCTGTTGCGGGGCCGCTCGCGGACGAGTGGTCCGAAGTTCGAGGCGAGGCGCTTGAGAACAGGCTGGAGTACGTGAGGCAATGTGCCAGGGCCCTGGAGACCAACTCATCCCACATCGGGTTCTCGCTCCAGCTGCTGTCTGAGCAGGTCCAGATCAACCTCCAGCAGCAGGCAGAAGCCCGCGCGAGGGAAGAGCAGCAGTCGAGACAGCAGCTGACCCGCGGCGAGACCATGCCGTACGGTGGTCAACATGCACGGACTGAGTCCCGTGTCACGAGGCCACCGTTGACTACATCTCAGTCATACACCGAGGGCGAGACCAACATCGCCAACAACATCAGCAGGCAAGCGGGCACCTACTCCAAAGTTAGGAAGATTTTCGGAGAGGACCCCACGCCCCAGCAGAGTGTTATTGACGAGACGCCGGAATTCCTGCGTCTGGATTACGAGCACGAGCTAGCATGGGACTTCAAGGCGTCGCCCCCTCAGATCAAGGGAGGTTCCCTTACAGCCTTGGTGGAGCAGCTCACCCGACACGACAAGCTGGACTCAAATTTCAACAATACCTTCCTCCTCACCTACAGGTCATTCACAACAGCGCGGGAGCTGTTCGAGCTCTTGGTGCACAGGTTCGGCATCCAGCCGCCTGAAGGCCTCTCTCCGGCCGAATTCGAGGTCTGGAGGGAGAGGAAGCAGAGCCCCATCCGCTTCCGGGTGGTCAACATCTTGAAGAACTGGTTTGAGACGTTCTGGATGGAGGACAGCCAGGAGGAAGAGACCAAGAACCTGATACGTGATGTTTACAACTTTGCGAGAGACACGGTCAAGTCGACGGAAACACCCGGGTCTGCCCCGTTGATGGCTGTGCTGGATCAGCGCATGAGCGGTAAGGACGTGGGGAGGCGCCTAATCCAGACACAGAACCAGTCGGCACCCGCGCCTATCATGCCCAAGAACATGAAGAAGCTCAAGTTCCTGGATATCGACCCTACCGAGTTTGCTCGACAGCTCACGATCATCGAGTCGCGGCTGTACGGCAAGATTAAGCCCACCGAGTGTCTCAACAAGCGGTGGCAGAAGAAGCCCGGCGAGGGCGAGCCCAACCCCGCTCCGAACATCAAGGCGCTCATCGAGCACTCGAACCAGATGACCAACTGGGTGGCCGAGATGATTCTGGCACAGTCAGACGTCAAGAGGCGTGTGGTGGTCATCAAGCACTTTGTGGCAGTTGGCGAGGTAAAATCATTTAATCTTCTCCCTTTGCTGAACATGTAATTTCTTTCATTGGACCAGCTGGGCTAACTATGTTCACGCAGAAATGCCGGCAATTAAACAACTTTTCTACCATTACCTCCATTATCTCGGCTCTGGGCACTGCCCCTATTGCTCGTCTCAAGAGAACCTGGGATCAAGTCCATCAGAAGACCCAGGCTACGCTCGAAGGGATGCGCAAGCTCATGCTCAGCACGAAAAACTTTGCCGAGTACAGAGAGAGCCTGCACATGGCCAATCCTCCATGTATCCCCTTCTTTGGTAAGTCCGCTTGATGTGCTGTCCTTGAGACTCCCTCCTCCTAACAAGGGCGAATTCTAGGTGTCTACTTGACCGATTTGACTTTTATTGAGGATGGTATTCCTTCCATCATCAAGAAGACGACGCTCATCAACTTCGCTAAGCGGGCGAAGACGGCCGATGTGATACGTGACATCCAGCAGTACCAGAACGTGCCGTATTCCCTGCAGCCAGTCACAGAACTACAAGACTACATCTTGAGTAACATGCAGGCGGCGGGAGATGTACACGAGATGTACGACAAGAGCTTGCTGGTAGAACCACGCGAGAGGGAAGATGAGAAAATCGTTAGGTATGTGGCAATGAGGGAGCAGCAGCTGCTCTATGGTCGCATGGCCCTCACCGGCGGCGGCTTCTAAGGGCGGTCGTCCGAATATCATCATCCATCGTCATCGTCCCCACCTCCACAGCGGGAGGAACATCACACGGATCCATCTCGTGCCTGTGTCTCCTTACCTCCTCCTCCTCCTCCTCCTCCTCCTTCCCCCTACACCCACACAAATGAAACGGCCGGTTGTGGACCAGAAGCTAACTTGATTCGTCCGTGACACAGGGTTCTTGCCGAGTCTGGCTTCCTCTGAGAGAACACAACCGAGTGAAGCACAGGAGAGGCTACTGCGAGCCTCTCAAAAGCCTCTGAGCTCCCGAGCTGTGCGACTGCAATAATCGGCGGACTGCATCACAAAGGAAAGGTGCCTCTCGATGCATACTGGCACGGTTCGTCCTATTGGGGCGGCCGTATGTCATGGCTACGGTTCCAGCGCCCATGCGAAAGAGTGAAGCGCGGCACAGCATCCCGCGGCTTGGGCACCAGGCCTCCCACAGTCGCCTGGCTAGTGCCTTCCTGGCTCATTCCGGTCAGAGACTGCAGACTATTGATCCAACGGTCCTGGGTCCCTTGCGACTGGACCCCGCGATCCTGACAAAATGTCATGGGGCGCTGTACTTGGCAGGTCAGGAGATGTAATTCCTCCGCCTCGGAAATCCTAGAGACGGTGGTGCAGAGGCAGTTGTCACGAGGGAGGGATTCATCGACAAGGTGTGGCAGGCAGGGGTGCTTGTCCAAACAAGGGGCAACTGAACGGCGGAAGAATATGGCGCAACGGAAAGTGAGAAACGGACCGACCCCTGGTTGGTGAACCCATCAGAGAGAAGTGCGGGGGGAACGACATAAAAGATGGGGGCGGACGGACGGACGGACGGACGGACGGCGGCCAAGATGGGTCTGCACAGCTGACGAGAAAGTTGGCTTATGGACTGCCTACACCCATTCAGGCGGTGGAAGTCATTTATCCCAGCCAATCCGCCTGATCCTTCCGTCTGACCCCCTCCCCTTCCTCTTCCCTGCCGTTTCCCCTCACACCCACCAGATGATGAGGCACAGCAGGGCCACCGCCATTACGCCGGGGGGGTTGGCAGGAGAAGGGATCAATTTACTAGGGAATTATACTTATGTACTCTGGGCCGTGACATATGGGAGTTGTCGGATTTTCCTTCTTGGACATTTGCGAGACCACGGAGAGTCGAAGCCACTGATTGCAGCAGTATGTCTTCGATGCCGAGCCGTGGAGGAAGGGTGGGAATGGGCAGGCGTCTTTTTTTACTTTCTTCTCTCTCATACACACACTAAGGCTGTCTACCAGACCAGGTAGGGAGAGACATTTTGAATTCGAGCAAAGCAAGCGAGTCGTGTTCTGCAGATAGACTTTCTTCATCATCCAACAAGGTTCAAATTCCAATCATGTGGTCCCTCCCAACTACCGGCACTCACTCCTCTCTCATGAGAACGGGAAATACATGCATAATCTGGCCGTTCTGAACAAGCATCGGATGCCTGTAAACGGAATGAGGAAGCTCATGATGCCCGTGGGGTGCCGTAGGTATCGCCTGGATTCCAGTTCGACGTTTGAATGCTTTACTGAAGTAGATTATGACAATGTCTGCAATCTATGTCGTCCTGACGCCGGTTTTCTTATTTTTCTCCCTTACTCTCCTCCTTAACCCAATCATGGATGCCGTGTCATTCTCCAGGGCAAGCCATCGCAGCTTCAGTATAAGCCAGGCGCGTGGTGGTGGGAAAGAAGCTGGGTCAGATCAGGAGGCGAGAGTATGTTGACAATTATATGAGAAAGAGGCTCGCAAGTCTGAGGTCACCACATCTTACAAAAGAATAGCCGACCGTACTGCCTCTCGGCCTCTTTCTTTGTCTTGAACGATGCCCATTTATCTGCCAGTGTTAAATAAACGCCATAACACCATCGCCAATCCAAGTTCCTCGCCCCAGCCCGTCCGCAGCAAAGTCAAAAAGAAAACAATAACAATATGACAACGAGATTATCCCAGAAGACATCATCTTTTCCCACAAACCCTCGAATCTCCCCCCCCCCCCCTTCTTTGGCTCTCCTTCTCCCTCTTCCTCCCTCTTTTTAGTTCCTCTTTCCCCCTTTTCAAAAACATTTCAGTCCCTCTCCCCGTCCCGGCTTTGGTCCTTGTCCACAGCCTTCTGTAACCGCTCCTCCTGCCTCCGCCAGTGGCTGCCCTCCTCGTAGTCCTTGCTGATCTTCAGCGCCCGCCGCAGCCTCTCGCTCTCCTTGATCTTGGCGTCCGCCAGCTCGTGCACCTGGTGCATCTTGAGACCCTTTCTGGGCGGCGCACCGGCACCACCCCGCCGGCCTGCGGCACCGCGCTCCTGCTCGGCCGTGAGTTTCTTGCGGAGGGCCTCGCAGCGCTCCTCGATCTCATCCTCGTCGACCCTGCTCGTGGTGAAGGAGAAGAAAAGATTGGGTCAGCCCAAGCTCAGCTGGGGAAAGAGAAGGGGAAGGGAAGGGGTGGGGCAGGTAGCTTCTTTTCAGTGTCTCTCTCTCTCTCTGTGTGTGTGGGGGGGGGGAGGGGGGAGGGGTGTTGGAACTGCACCTACTCCTGATCTTCGAGCTCGTCGCGCAGCTCAAACACCTTGACCTCGATCTCGCGCTTGCGGTCGTGCTCCAGGATGCCCTTGTCGGGCTGGCGCTGTCTATGGCGCAGGCTGTCGAGGTCCTTTGGGTAGGGGGCGGCGCTGTCGCGGGGCTTGATGTGTGCCAGGTTGCGCTGGACGTAGCCTGAGGTTCCTGAGCCGCGCGGGGTGGAAAGGCCTACGTTGTCGGACATGGCTGTGGGTGGAAAGACGAAAGGGGAGAAGGCCTTGGGGGTCGTAGGTCGTAGAATCTGAGAAGAGTTTTGTAGAGTGATTATTCGTTGGATAGTATGGACCACAGGATTTGTTTAGTTAGTGGTATTGGTGTTGTTGTTGTTGTTGTTGTTGCTGTTGTTGTTGTTGCAGTTGATCAGTAACGGTCCAGGAAGGCGGTCTAGTTGGGTTCAGGGTGGTCAGGGTCTTAGCGGCGGCTCATTGGGCTGTACTGCGTACCATCAGGGTACTAGGGGCAGAAAAAGTCAGTGGGGTCGCCCTCTGACGTTTTACGCTCCCTCTTCGCCTCCCCGCCCAGTCCAGCAGCACACATGCAAGTGGGAAACTAAGTATGCATAGTATGCATTGCAATCCTGTCCCGCTGAAGAGTCACAACTCTTCAATTTTTTTGTGACTCAACCCGTCAACCCTCACCCGCAACTTACAATTGCTCTTTTCCTTTTTATTCTCCTTGCCAGTCATTGCGGTGGCTCTCTGGGCAATCATTTTCAATCCTTTGTTTTTTTTTTCCTTTCCTTTTTTAAACCCTACTACATCTTGAAAAGCAGCTTCTTCGCAACTGTGGGCCCAAGATGCCTGCTTTCGAGGGCGCTGAGAAGGCTGTGAGCGGTAGTACTAGTAGCAGCAGTGCTGCAGGGTCGAGCATCTCGTTCCCCGTCACAAGGGACCATATCCTTCACTGCTCCTACGATTATTGGTTCCCAAAGTAAGTAATTGCAATTTCCCCCTGGGCATAATTACGGTGATGAACAGTGTGCATGTATAGATACCGCACCTCATGTATCCGGTCACGTATCATCAAATTGCCTCCCGAGTTCATCGACTACATCAGGGAGGACGGCATCATCCTGTCAAGCGACAGCAGTGGATCTCCTGGAGATGAGGATGGGGACGACGATGATGACTGGGAGCCAACATCAACGGCCTACTCTCGCCCCGTCCCAGAAGAAGAAGACTCGGGCTCGGACTCGGACTCAGATGACGCAGGAAGCAGCAGTCACTCGAGGCTGCCGCCCAACCAGCGGTTCCCAGACCTACACCAGACCATCAAGGACACGATCAAGGAACTGGGCGGGCAGGTGGCGCCCAAGCTCAACTGGTCGTCGCCCAAAGACGCGGCCTGGATCTCGCCCCACCAGAACACCATCAAGTGCACAACGCCCGACGACATCTACCTGCTGCTGAAGAGCTCCAGCTTCATCACCCACGACCTGGATCATGCTTTTGACGGGACTGTTGCCACCGCTTCCGCCTCCTCCTCGTCCGGTCTGCCCTCGGCAGCTTCCACGGCCGGCCTCGGGTTCCAGCCCGTCCTGGTCCTCCGCTCCTTTTTCAACCCCCAGACGGCCCAAGAGTTCCGCTGCTTCGTCAAGCAGCGGAGCCTCATCGCCATCACCCAGAGGGACCTGAACCACTACGACTTCCTTCAGAGGTACCGGTCAGTGATCACCGACCGTGTCAAGGACCTCTTTGACACAAAACTGCGCTTTACCTTCCCGGATGGGAACTTCTGCTTCGACGTCTACATCCCCGAGGTGACGAGGGACCCGTTCCAGAGCGACAGCAGCAACGACGACTCGGACCAGGAGGAGGACCCTGACAAGACGCTGGGGCGGGCGAGGCTGATCGACATCAACCCCTGGGCGCCGAGGACGGACACGCTGCTCTTCGACTGGGGCGAGCTGCTTGAGCTCCAGGTGCCAAAACCCATGATAGGGACCAACGGAAGCATGGAGAAGGGAATGATCCGGCTGCACCTCGCGGGCGGAGGGGGTTTAGGCCCGGGCGAGGACGAGACGACGACCGAGGAGGAGGAAGAAGAAGAAGACGAGGACTACGAACCGGAGCTACGGCTTGTCGAGAAGGATGACCCTGCAGCCTACAACTTCAGCTCGCCACAGTACTCGGCACACAAGCTACCCAAGGAAGTCGTGGATGCCAGTGCGTCTGGGTCTGGCGGCCTGAGGGAGTTTGCCCAGCAGTGGAACGAGATGGTGAATCGGAGGCGGTAGTGATAGCCTGTCCTCAAAATGCATTTCAATTTTCGAAATTAAACCCCATTTGAGTGGTGATGATTTGATTTGAGTTCAATTCCTGTCTGCATATTGTCTCTATATACTTCTGTACTATGTACAGTGCATAAGTAACCCTAACCCTCTTCACTTAACTGCTGATCTGCCGCTCAGGGTGCAGGGTTAAAAACTGGACCGTGCCTGCAGCTCCCCCCAACAGCAAACACCACCACCACCACTACTTACCAAGCTTGCCAGCTGTCACCAGCTGAGTGATATTCAACCTACCCTCTTTGATGAACCTGACCCCCACCCTCGGCCCCCCTCCGCCCTCTCGAGGAGAAGCTTAAGATGCAATCAAGAGGACGACCAAATCGAGTTGTCAAACCAATTGCCCAGCAGCGAAGGCCCAACGCCCACAGGAGGATCGACGAGGAGCACCTCAACGCCCATTTTGGCAGCCATGGCAACACCGCCGCCGACGATGTGATGGGCGATGTCGTGCACGGTTACGGCCGTGGCGACGAGGATGACGATGCAGTGACCGAGCCTGATGCGGACCACGCCCACGTCCATGCTCATGACCACGGCGAGGGGCCTCACGCCCATGTCGACGCCATGGACCACGACATGGCGCCCATGGCACCTATGGACCCGACCCAGCAGCATCACCCTCACCCTCACGACCACCACCACCACCACCACCATCATCACCACCAGGGCATTGACGACCTTGCGAACCCAGAGCTGCTCCAGGATGCGAGTGGCCTCTACGCCGCCGCAGCCGCCGCCGCAGCGGCAGATCTACAGCCTCCACCGCCTCCTCCACCGCCGCTGGGCTCGACCATGCCAGCGCCGCAACCTCTCGTCGCAGCGACAGACTTCCAGCCCAACCCATTACCACAACAACAAGCACGACCACCAACGCCATCACCACCGCCACCGCCACCACTCCCACCACCTCTCCCCACGCCTCAACCACAATCAGCACCACCACTACCACCGCCCTCACCACAGACGCATCATTCCGCCCCACCCCAAGCCCAGTCTCACAAGACGACCAAAGAGATGGCCCTCGAGTCCGGCTACGAGGGCTTCAAGGTCGACAGCGCCTTCGCGAAGCGCATGTCGCGGGACCCGGGCCAGCGCCTAGCTGAGCAGCGCCGCCATGGCCAGGACCTCAACCTCGTCCGGCGCAGCAACGTCGAGGCCCTCTTCGCCCAGATCGCAGGCACCGAGGCCGCCCACCCTTGCGCGCACTGCCGGAAGGGACAAGGACCATGGACTGTGTGCGTTGTCTATAGTGGGCAGATGATGGGGAGCTGTGCGAACTGCTGGTTCAATGCCTCTGGGTCGAGGTGTTCGTTTCATGGTAAGTAGTACTTAGTACAGGCTCGCCACCCTTCTTTTTTTTTTCGGTGCACTTGATTATATCTCCCCCTTCCTTCCCATCCAGCGCATATTTTACTGACGACGAAACCACCAACTCCCCCTTCCGGTGTAATAGAGAAGTCACAACCTCCACAGCCAGCCGCCCATCCATACGCAGTCCCCGTTCCCATCCCCACAGCCGCCGCTACCGCCACCAACGACCAAGTGCCCGGCATCGGCGTCTCGAACGGCTACGCTACCCCCGGCACCGCCCAGCTACAGGCCGCGGCTCTGTGGACCGCCTCGGGCGCTTTGTTCTCGCATGACGCTGGCGTCAAGGGTACCGTGCAGACGGCACTGCTACAGGTGCGGCAGGCCACGGCGTACCAGCGGGCTCTGATCGAGGTCGAGGTCGCGGCGAAACAGCTGGCCCTGAAGATTGTGCAGGCCGAGGAGATTGCGGGTGCGCTAGGGCAAGGCGACATTGGTGATGGTGACGGCGTCGGCAGGGAGGGAGAGGGGATGGGGGACGACGAAGAGGACGACATGGTGGTAGAGGGGCACGAGGAGGACGGGGCGGAGGGGATCCAGCAGCACATGAAGAGCCAGTATGATACCCCTCCTGGGGTTGATGTGCCTGAGGGCGGCTCGTAGGACGAGCAGTAGCTTCTCCAGGCTGGTCATCAAAACCCTGGTGGTTTTATCCGTCTTGTCAAGGGCAAGCCAGTGCGCGGTGCATACCCAGCTATCACGGTTTTTCCGAGGTATTAGGATCTATGAGTGCCAATCATACCCGCCTCTTGCCTTTTCTGCGGCGATTTTTCTTTCTTTCTTTGTCCGCTTGACCAACAGAAAACCTGTATCAGTTACGAGATGGCAGCAATCTTTGCCCAAACACACAGACATATATACACAGCGGATATACGAAGCAACCCTTTCCTGAAAATCAAAACAAAGTCATATGTCTCCGATACATCAAGAAAAAACAGCCTATGCCCAGGCATAAACCTCGCCCACAAAGCGCGACCAGTTGGTTCTCCACGTCTCTACTTCTCTAGAGCATGATAAAGCTCCAACACACACATAACACACAGATGAGGAGGCTATGTGTTTTAACAAATCGCTTGTATAGGTAGCTTTCGGGCATTCATTCAATGCCGGATGAGGAAAAAGAATCCTCAACGCATATCAAACATGAAGCCGGACCGACCGTCCCAAATCTCCATCCGAGCTCTGCAAAACACTGTTCTCCACCGCCACCCTTCCTCTAAAACATCCTCTGTCCAGACGAGGGAGGCAAAATTCAGACAGTCAGAAATGCACTAGATACCAGTGATGGGTGTAATAAGAGGGGTGGGCCCGGGGGGGAGGGGGGTGTGCCGTTTCAACTCACCTCTCGTCTCGACAAGCAATGAAAAGTTACTTTTGTTTCTCACCAATATGAAATGGGCTGGTGGGAGCAGCGATGGGATGCAGGTCAGACCAAGCCCGAGAACAGTCTTATTGTCTGACAAATGACTTGATTATATATCATGTGGCTGTCAGCTCATGTAGCATAGACCCAAAGGATGTCCACCAGTTTTTGGAGTGAGATAGAAAGACGACAAGACAGCAGTAAAGGTATGAAGAGTTTCAGAAAATTTGAGCTCGTGATGCTATAGACAAATCCGTGTGGATATCGGGACCGCCGTTGTCCGAGAACCTGTCCGAGTTTGCTGTCTTCTTTCCTGTGGGTGACCACGGGGAAAAACCACGCCCTCCCTCCCTCCTCCTCTGCGTGCTGGCCTACATCCGCGGGCACATCGCCTCCCCAGCACAAGAAAACGGCTCCTCTGACGCCCTTCGCCAGAAGGACCTTTGTGTGAGAAACAAGAAAATCAAATAAAAAAACAGAACGACCGCAGCATTGTCAGACCTCGTAATTAAACAACATATTGAACACCGCCCCTATACTCTCTCTCAAAATGCAAATCCCACTTCTCGGCGTCCCCACATCTGCTTCGTTCTGTACAGGCGACTCTTGAATCTGTCCATGACTCTAGTCGCAATGATATGGTAGAAAGGTGGTATCAACTATTTTTTTTTTGTTCTCTCGACGCGACGGGTAGAAAGGGGGGGGGGGGGGCGGCTGGATTGATAAGATCAAAGCATGACCCGCACTGCCGTTTTTCCGTAGTGCTCTGCTGGATTCTCATAGGCCGACGAGGACATCGTTCGTAAGGAAGAAATCATGCGATTATAACGTGATAGGGGTATCTGAAAGGAGCGTTTTCACTAGATCAGACCGCAAAGACGCAGGTTCTCCTGAATGATGATGTCTGTTGGGTGAAGAAAATAAGGGGTCAGCTTTGATTTCCTTCATTTTTTTAGTATAGGGGACGGGGAAGCAAGGCGCTGAACATACCGTTGACCGCAGCCATGACGAAACGAATTTGTGTTGTATCCGTTGCACAAGTGAAATGTGTGTAGATCTGCTTGGTCTCGTGCTGGTTCAGGCTGACAAACCGGTTGAGGATGTAGTCACAGGCAGCTGCGTAGTCGTCACCGCCCTCGTAGTCGGGGAAGTAGTTCTTCATAGGGCTGACAGGCAGCTTCTCCTTGAAGCGATCAATCTTGTTCAGGAACAGGATGATGGAGGTCTTGATGAACCAGCGGGAGTTGCAGATCGAATCGAACAGGGTCAGGGCCTCCTGCATACGGTTGACGGTCTCGTCCTCGAACAGCAGCTGGTCGTACTCGGATATGGCGACAAGGAACAGGATGGTGGTCACATTCTCGAAGCAGTGAATCCACTTCTTACGCTCAGACCGCTGACCTCCCACGTCGAACATTCGGTAAGTGAGATCACCAATAATGAAGGTCGTCTCCGTGATACCAGTCGTCTTGACACGAGAGCGCAGGACGTCCTGGTCGTTGGGCATGTAGTCGGGGGCGGCGATGCGGGCGATATTATCAAAGTAGCTGCAAACTAAATTAGTCTCGCAAGCAGCGAACGAAACGAAAACATGAAAACAAGGGCACTCTGGACACCTACTATCTGGCCGAGTCGTTCAATTGGTATTCCCGGGATCGCTTGAAACACTCCTGCACACCGCGGTCCTTCCAAAGGGCCTCGATGGCGCTGCCAACCTCGGGAGGGAGCACGTCGCCCTCGATCTGGGCGGGTTGCATGAAGATGGTCTGGACATGGTACTCCATCCGCTGATCCTCGAGAGGAAGTTCCAGGGACTCCATAGCTTCGAGAATAACGCGCATCGACTGAACAGTATTGCTGAAGATGATCTCCTTGAACGATTCTCGCTCGTCGCGCGAATAGCCTCCCTCGTGGATGAGCTTCATCTGCTTCAGAATGGTGGACTTTCCGGATTCACCAGCACCTACAATGTCTTTGTCAGCGGCTGCCCATGAAGGGAGGGTTGGGGGGAGGGGACCGAAAAAGGCTGCATCATCCAGCAGGTCCGGTGCATAGCCCGGTCGAGCGAGGCGTGCATCAATTGAATCGATGATGAGGTAAATTGTCGGGACATACCCAGAAGTAACATCTTGATCTCGTTACGCTGTTGCATGCGGTCGCGCTTCAACTGGTTCTCGATCTCCTCGTTGCGGGCCTTGCCCTCCTTCTCCTCCGTGCTCATTCCGCAACCCATCTTGAATGATCTCTTGTCGGCTCGGCTCCAGACACAATATTAAGTGGTTCGTTGTAAGGGAGGGGGTTAATTAATGTCGCACGCCGGAATGATCTGAGTTGAATCGGAGTCAGTATGTTGGGCACAGTGATGTTGATAGCCAACGGAGGCGAGGGCTGGCTGGCAGGTAGCAAGATTATCGGGAGAGAGAGTCGAGCGCGGTAAATTACAGTTTCCCAAATCGCCTCAATGTAATCTGAAGGTGTGGGTTGCAATCTTGACAAGGCTCTGAGAGGAAGAAGAGGGAGAGGGAGACACTGCGACAATGTCGTCCACGAGGCTCTGAGCAAGAGCAAAGGAGCGCACTGAGAATAGGATAAAGAATATCTCGAGGCTCACCTGTAATACGATCAAGTACAGCAGTGCGTTGTTATCGGTGGTGGTGATGGTGTGGTGAAGAGGAGGGTGGTCTGTAGAGCGGTCGGTCGATCGGGTCCCCTTTCAGCAGACTCAAATCGACGCCAGGATGGCTGAAGAGAAGGAACGTAAGGACAGTTGAGGCAAGAAGGAAAAGAGAAAAAAAGAAAAAAAGGATTTGAGCACCGACGATGTGCAGGAGAAAGAAGGCTTTGCCAGGATCGCGCAGATTGTGATCAAGGGCAGATGTTTTGGGTGGTTGACGAGATAAGTTTTGTGTCGACAAATTGGCGACGAGAGAAGAAAAAGAGTGGTGATTTGAAAGCAGAGAGCCTGGGCTTTGGGGCCTTGGGGGAGGGGGGGGAGGACGAGAAAGGCGTCGAAGGCGAAGAGGCAAGGGTTGTCAGGACAGAAAGGATGGAAGGGGAGTGGAAGTCAAGCCAATGTGGTTGCAGGAACAGGGGGACAGGGGCCAACGTCGACTTTCTGCCGCACCTCAAAGCAGAGAGGGGAGGGGGGAGTTGCAGAGGCCAATACGGAGTAATTGGGGGGGTGGAACAGCCAGTCGAGGTGCTGACTGGCAGTCCTGCAGTGGTGCCTGTACTAGATGTTTATAGCGTCGTAGCTCCTGGCACTAGCAGATTTAGGTGGGCACACCCGAACCGCAGACCCCCGTTTCTGCCGTTTGGGGTTGGAGTTACAAGTCCAGGGTGTGGAGTACCAGGCTGCTGGCCCTTGGTAGAGCCAGCGGCCGGCCAGCCACCCCCAGCACTAACGCGCAGGCGGGTCCAGGAACCTAGGAGCTCGGGGCTGCGACAAGAGACGCACGGTTGCCAGCCGAGGGAAAGAGAAAAAGGAGGTCCATCAGACAAAAGGCAGGGCCCAGCACCTACCCATCCATACCTGAGCGCCTCTATAGCCAGGGACCCAAGATGATCACAGAGCCGTTGATCTTCTTTTCTTTCATCTCACGAAACCCACCAGGCCATCCGGTCAACAGGGAGTCCAATAGCAACAACAATCACTACGGCAATAGCAGGAGGAGCAGGAGCAACGCTGCACTGTCTTCTCTCCCATTCTTTTTTAGCAGTATTTGAATAGCCAAGAATCTTCATTGACATTCAAGTGTTGGAAACTTGCATGGCTGAATACCACCCCATTTCCCCTCCTCCCTTGTCCACACACTGTGCGATACCTTGCAGCGCACAGAGCCAAGGCGGAAACCTGTCAGATTGTGTGGGCACATGGGGGGAGTTGAGGCCAATCTCTCCTCCCCAGGCGAGCTTGCGCATCAATTGGATCGCCAGTTCTTCTGGCCGGTGGGGCTGGCCTTCTCAGGGGATTCCGGCCTTTCTGGCAAGATTTGCCTGGCCAGTTGTGTTGATCTGGTAGGCTAAGAGGGGTCAGAAAGAGTGTGGCTTAGTCCAGACTATCTGAGACATCACCAGACACATGGATGAAGGCGCAACAAAAAAAAAACAAAAAAAAGCAACTTTGGCCAGTTGACGCTGAGAACAAAGGAGAGGGGAGGATTGCGCCCTGTGGGCATGTAGCATTATCCTTTCATTTCAGGAGGAGAGAAAGGAAAAGAGGCAAAGAGAAAGAGCGAAAATGACAAGAATCTATTTCTGGGTTATGTGCAACAAAACGGGCCTTTGTTTTTTGCCTTCCTACAAGATGGCACTGAGTAAGACAAAACCCCGCTGGCCAAGGTGGTTGGTTTCTGATACGCCTGTCAGCAGAGTTGTGCAAGCCTCATCATGCTAGACTTTCCAAGGGGTAAACATCGGGACGGCGTAGTTGCCCATCAGACAAAGATAACAAAAGTCCTCGTGAAGACTCATCTTCTGTGAATGTGCCTTGGGGAGTCGGGCCTATGTAGAGTGATGACCCGCAAATAAGCTGACCACAGACGAGTCACAGTAACCCTAGGGATAAGGGGGGAGGGGTAGCCTGGGAAGGCTTCAAATCTACTATAGTACACCAGGTGAGTGACCAGATAGATAATTTGATAAGGTGTACTATGAAAAGAGTAACGAGAAATGGGGACGGGGCCGTCAAAGCACTTCAGCAGCGACCACAGGGCTGAAGAATCTCGTAATAATTCTTTTTCCTCGGTCTCGAGAGGCTCTTGGGCAACCCCATTTGATCGCATACAAAATGAGCATGTCCCACTGCCGGCGACTCCAGTGATCGCTGGCGCAATTCTCAGGCTGGCGGGGTGGTGCCGCTGATGATGGGCAGAAGGCGGATTTTCTGTCCAGTCGGTTTCCGCGGCTGGGGGGGGGGTCTACAAGTAAAATTCCACAATGCATTTATTTTCGGGACGGATCGAAGGATTCCAAAACGCTGCCCTGCTGTCCTGCTATGCTGCTGTGGTACTATTTGCCCTATGTACCATAGTAGCGCGCTGGAGGGCCAGTGTCTGTATTATAGTATGGCCGCCCCCCCCCCCCTTTCCCCTGGTAGCGACGGCTATCTGTGACGATCAGTCGGGTCTGGTGAGAGCTCCGTGTTTTGCTTAGAGTGCTGGGCGACAGGAAGCGTGATGGATGAGGTGCACATACTATGCACATGTTAGTAGTACCTACAAAGTGTACAAAGTATAATCACTACGTACACTGCAAGTGTATATAGTAGATGATCCTTCGGCACGTCCTGCTCCTCCGCATCCTTGGCGGGCACAAGTCATCGGGATGATACGAAGTAACTATGGTACAACGTATGACGTTCAAAATAGGCGATGTCGACAATTTCTGGGCTGGAAACCCGCCGTGTAGACCATGATCGCTGCTTGCCGACACCTCACGTGCGACTCGAAACCTATCAGAGGTAGGCGCTGGGGGCCATGGGTCCTGTCCCGGAGATGATTGCTACGCCCACGGAGATTTTCCATCCCAATCGGTAGCCACCTCGCGTTCGCCTACCAGGAGTAGCCATTGCAAGAATCGTAAATGTGGGCGGGCGACCGCACAAGGTACCATAGTGAGTAGAGACATAATAAGTCTCGGGAGATGTAATATCATTCGCCTGCTTTTCTCGTCGTCATCAAGCTGCCCTCCACATTACTAACACAAATGCTATAGGTCAGTCATACTATACCATGATGAAGAGTCCAGTGAGAGCTGTCGAGTCATTCCACGGGCCGCGAATCAACTGAAGGTCATCATCATCCCCCCCTTCTAAAAGCCCGGCCGGTCCGCGCCGCCATACTATGAAAGCAGTAGCAATAGCGCCTAGGCGCGAATCCTCCTCACCTCATCTCTCACTTTGGGTTCGCCCTGGTCATTTAGCCCTTTGGTGGATCCCAAAAATAAAACCCACACCGCTCTCCACTCATGAGCCAGGATCACACATATGAGGGAATGGTACCTGCATGAGCGGCCTGTTCATCCAGCAGGTGTTCCCAATTATTTTTTTTCCCGCTTGTCGGGAGGGGTGCGCCATGTTCGCCTTGGGAGCCACTTGTCGTGAACGCTGCGAGATCAACTCATCTGCCGGGCCATCACCAACACATGGCGTGCTGCGTGGCGCACAGTCACAATGGCCACGAGGGTTGTGGAACTTCCGAGCCGACGTGGGAGGGGTTTCATTGTTGGTAGTTTGGAAGATCTGCTCATTGCTGCTACTATATTAGTACAATCATATAGTAGCGAGGACATAAAATTGTATGTGCCCCATGGCTCTTTGATCGTGGCTCCATTTTAAGGGACTTGCCGCCAAAGACCGCCGCCGCTTGACCATTACCCCCTGGGCTTAGCACGCTTTTTTCAGGAGAACCACTCAAAGCACAAGCGCCTCATTGGGTCTGGGCTTCTTGACTACATTGTGAAACCTGGAAACAAAGCTCCGAAGACACCCAGAAGATACTTGATCTCAAAATGATCAAGGAAACCCGTTCGATGGTGCCCAAGTTTGTTGATCGACACTCAACGTCTTCTGAGCACGCGGCACTAGCCTTGGAACCTAGTCCCAAGACAGAGCACAGTTCTCAGCCTGAGCTAGCCCAGCGTACCAAAACGTACCACAGCATATCATCAATCTGAGCCGCCGAGCTGTAATCTCAATTCCAAGGGATGCGCTAGGCCTCATGGAGGCTGATAAATGCGCGAAACACATGGCCAACAGGGGATCCCTTTTTATTATATAGACAAAAAAAAAAACCATATAGCAAGAGGTGGGCAGCCCCAGTCTTTGAGGTTGATGTGTGATGCCATCGCAATACTTCACTCCAAGCCAATCTAAAAGAGGCGGCTGATCAGGGTCTGCAGCAAGAGGTCGCGACGGGAATCTCCCCAAAGGACGACGCCGCGATCTAGGCTAGTCGGGCCAGGCTGTTGTCCAAGCTCAAGCTTGGCTGGACTCTTTGCAAGCGGCTGCTGTGATGGAAGATACTATCCAAGGGCAGTCAGTTGTCAAGTATCGTTCCATTGACTGGTTGAGAAGGAGGTGACCGGTTTGTGGTCATGAAACCTCTCCTTCTGCGATGCGCGCTCACCCTAGGGACGATCCCTTTGGTTCTGCATGCACCTGTCTGCAAGATCCGGGATCGTTGACGACGGGGGACGCGATAGACGGGTCCAGCTGCAGGAAGAAAAGGAGACCTGCAGATTGCAATTTGGAACCCGATCTTTTTTTGCACAACGCCCGTTCTGCGACTTGACTCAGAACTTGGCGCGTCAGGACGTTTCTACTAGTAGATCTGAGTGACGCAGCGCAGCCAGTCAGTTCTGACTTTCCTCTTGGCCGTTTTGTCCTTCAATTGGTGTTTCTTTTTTCGTCTGGACTGTTTATTTCCCTTCCTGCACAGGCATGACTACCAGGCAAGCCGGCAGCCGAGCCAGACGAAAAGTAACAATTTCCGCCGGTAGTTGGAATAGGATGGTCGATCCCTCCCGTCTTGGTCCAGTTCCCTTTGCCATGTCCGACTGGTTGGCTGGAGTGGCTGGTAACCGACTAGTCAGCTTCCAAGACAGACACCGACCCATGCTATCGCATCAGGAATCGTCTCTTCCATTCGATTTCAGGTATTGATGGTAGATGCCGGCTCTCCGTGCTTTGGATTATGAGTGTGATGCTGCCTGCCGTACCGCAACCGGTGTGTAGCTTTCAAACAAGTTCTTTGAGCCTCACCGACTAGCCGCCAACCTCATTCCGATGGGCCCTGTCGACGCTCTGGCCAAGGCATGTGTCGTTGAATTGACCAACCATGGCCAAGAAGCTGGCGGGCTTGCTCTGGGCCTGGTGCTGCTGAGCTGGCCCTGCTCGGCTGGCGAAACCTTGGTGACGCCTCTAGCTTACTTCGCGATCGCTTTTCGTCTTGATAATTGTCCAACTCTTTTTCCTCCGACGAGCGTTGAAGTTGAAATTGACACATGCTCCCACGCACATATCATCAAGATGGCTCAGGCAATCCCTATGCAGCAGCAGAAACACTCGACGCGCCTCGGTGGACGCGGTAAGTTGAAGTCGAAGCATCCCTTGCAGACCGCCGGATGATGTCACTTCAAGTCCACATACTGATGAGCACGTCGGGACCACAGCGCACACACATGCGGACTCGGACGCCGAGAGGGAGTATGACCGCCTTCGCGATCTGGCGCGGGCCGAGGCCTCCAAGCGCAGTGCATGCTTCGACCAAGTACGGGCACCCAATTCTCTCTGTCGCCTCCTTGACCGCCTTTGGATCGAGTTTCCCGACTGACGTTGACGACGTGTGTGTCGCGCCTTAGGCACACGATGCGTACGAGCGCGGCGATGGTGCCGGGGCCAAGCAGCTCTCCAATGAGGGCAAAGAACACGCCGCCAAGATGGAGCAGTACAACAAGCAGGCGTCCGAGTACATCTTTCGCGAGAACAACGCCCCAGGCCGCGTAGCAGAGGACACCATCGACCTGCACGGCCAGTTCGTCGAGGAAGCGGAGGACATCCTTGAGGCGCGGATACGTGACGCACAGGCGAGAGGGCAGACACACCTGCACGTCATTGTCGGCAAAGGAAATCACAGCGCGAACCACGTCCAGAAGATCAAGCCGCGCGTCGAGCAGGTCTGCCGCGAGCTGGGGCTGCAGTATGCGACCGAGGAGAACGAGGGCCGGATGTACATCAACCTTGCCGGCGGTCAGGTGGATGGGATGCCACCACTGCCAGCTGGAAAATCTGGTGGTGGCTACGGTGGAAGTGCAGGATATGGGGCCCACGGCTCTTCTCAACAGAGACCGCCAGCATCGCAGCCACAGCAGCAGCAACAGCAGCAGCAGGGCGACCAGATGGAGGAGTTGGAGAAGAAAGTTCTGTCCAAGATCTTCAGCAAGCTGGGTGATTGTTGTGTGGTGATGTGATGCGGTCCATGTCGAGGCCGGTAATGTACACTTTAGAAGTCGAATGTACAAATGGAAAAAACCATATAGATGAGGCTTCTGGAAGGGACGTTAGAGGAAAGTTCAGTGCACCTCGATGGTTCAAATCAAGTTCAGACCCCTCTGCCTACATCGTGCCTTCCTGGGCTACTTAGTCTACTAGATATCGACCATCTCGTCGCCCACGTGCACTTTTAGGCAGCAGAGGAATATCAACTCGAGTTAGATGATCGTACTTGACAGGCGTGTCCCACTGCTCAACACAGTTCTCTCACTTCAAACCTACGCCCCCTATCACACACCCTAGTTCACTCTCTCGACCTATGCCCAACACTTGACTACTCACTCAATCGATATGTCTACGCCGGTCAGACGATCGTACACACTCAACAGCATTTTGTCAAGAAGACATCTCTTCTACCGAAGCCCTTACTATATACATACATATGTATACATACAGCGTTCCATCTCCTCCTAACACTGTGCGCTGTGGCTGATTCCCCTATTGTGTATCCTCATTTATCATCATGAAACCTCCAGTCGAGACACCACCCTCTGCAACACGAGCTACTACATTCCCAGCCTTGAACGCAGACACAATCGATGCATACCGAACCGAGATCATCGTGCTCGCCTTCGGCATCCTCTTCCTCGTTAGTCAGCTCGCGCTCATCGTCTGGCTCTTCGCGCGCCCATGCGCCTCGGTGGGACAAGGCAGAACCCAACGGAGCATCGTCTGGACAGCCGTGGACGCCAAACCGCGGATACAAGTCAGCAGCGAGGACGAACGCAGCCGACCACCGCACCGTCGAAGCTTCCGGCGGAGCAGCACCTAGAACGGCCGCTCCTTAGCCCCCGCCCGCGACGAGCAGCGTCTCCGCAAGCGGAGGTCATACAGACTCGAACTGCCCGACATTGCCAGTCCCCTCGCCAGCTCCGAGAGGAACTTAAACTTCCCGGATCAAGACAGCCTGCGCAGGAACTGTCGGAATATGGAGCTCATGGCCGCAGCACTCGCTATGCCCATGATGGCCCCGTCACCGCCACGGCTTCGCAATCCGCTGGGCAATGCGGAGCCGGATGGGTCCGCAAGGGAGATGGGGGTCGTGCCGAGGAGCTTAGGTGTAGCAGCTGGTGTGTCGCCACGGTCGCTAAGGGTGATACCGCTTGGCCAAGAGACCATGAATGAGATATTGAAGGCGGAGAACCGTCAGAAGGGAGACATGACACCGCTGCCCGTCGGTACTCCGTCTGTCATGAGTAAGGCAGAGTGGCTAACAAATGGGTTTGAAGACCCGTTAGGAGTGAACAAACGAGCGACTGGGCTGAATGATGAAGATGGCTCGAGTGATGATGGTGAGAAAGTTGATAGAAGAAGGCCCGGATCTGGCGACACACGTTGAACCTAGGTGAGCTGCGCATTGTCTGCTTTTCTGGAACACTGTAAACAATGTGCTTTTCCGGGCACGAAGGTGGACGGAGGCCCCTTTCTTCCCCCAGATAGACGTCAATAGCTCTTCTGTTTATACCTATAATGTCTACGTCCGCTGGCCCGCACCTAAGGCTGCCATCCTCCTTCTTCCTATCGCCTGCGTACCCTTCGGGATCCTCTCTAGATTGCTTTTGTTGTACAATTCTTGCGTGAAGTGTGTGAGGTGGTGTTATGTGCGGTCGGGTCTGGGTCTCGTCTGCATGCTTGCCCCTCCCCGCCCCCCCTCTCCCCTTCTCTCTTTCTCTCTCGTATGCTTTCCCCGCTCACGCGTGCTTTCTGATGTCCCGAGCGGCCTGCTTGAGGCTGTAGTTACACTCTTCGTACGCCCGTCCCGCGCCGAATCCCAAGCCGACAATGGCTGGCCACGACCTCCGCTTGAACAGCAGGACCGAGAAGACGACGCCAAAGCCGAGGCCGAGGGTAGATTTTATCAGGAGGTTGGACAGGCATCGGTCCCACTGGATAGGTAGCCACCAGTCAGCACATTCTCGCCCCCCTTGCCGCTTGCCCTTATATCTCAAGAGGTCTTCGCTGCCTCAGAATGGTGGGCTGCCGTACCTTCTCGTTCAAAAGTGCCTCACTGACTGGCCGCGAGACAGTGCTCGGGGGTGGTGGTGGAACGGAGGTCTCTGCCATTGTGAAACGTTTTCGTGAGGGCGGATACAAGGAACTGTGAGTGGTTTCTCGCGTTAGAGTCAATTGATCTTTGCTGCGAGACCAGGACGTAAGGATAGAGCTCTATACCTCTCGCAAGGTGATGTGGTGGGCGCGTGCGAATGTGTGGACAGTGACGTTCTTGCTTTGGGTTCGCGCGTTTGCGGCTGGTCTCCGGCGGATTTTCGAGAACCTGCGCAAGAAGCTTGGAAGGTCAATTTGGCCCAGGGCCCCTGCCAGGGCCTGCCAAGCAGCAGGGCAGCAGGGTAGGGGGGTGGGCTACAGTGGGTTATCAACACCGCCTGCCCTTCTAATCTGTGCTATCAGTGAGTTTTGGCAGAATCTGACATGGGCCCAAATTTTTGGAGCGAGCCAGCTGCGGTAGGTTTGCGACAGTCAGTCTTTCTGCTGGACGAGGGCGGTACTTCTTTGGCGGTGCCACGAAAAATAGGACGATCATGGCGCTCAAAGATCAGAATTTGGTAGGTCAGCTGTCTAATGGCAGCCTGTTATGCAATATTCTGCCTTATTTATCCAAATCTAATTCTCGTTTACAGGGCTTGATCAAGGCAGTCCGATCCCTCGACCATGGCAGCGCAGAATCTGTGCCAGACACGCTGTCCAACCTCTGGAATCTCCTCTCGAATTCGATTTCCGGGCCATTTCATGCCTCCGAAGAGCTTGTGCTACGATGGCTGCTCAAGAATATGAATGGCACTGCCGAGGCCGCGGAGCAGTTCCGGCGGTACCCTCTGGCATGGCGTATCATGGCATGCGTGTTCAGGAGGATACCTCTGATCTCGTTGGCCAAGTCACTCGCCGACCGACGCTTCATATCGATTCTCCAGCAGACGCTCAAAGAGATCTCCAGCCCCAAGAGCGGAACTTCTTCCGACAAGTCGGCTGATGGCTCGTCGTCGGATGCTGAGATGGTGGATGCCGAAACTGCGAGCGTTGGCAGGACGTCTAAAAAGAGAAAGCGGTCATCCGAAAACCCATTCGACTTAAAGAAATTGAGGGGCTCTCATGAGTGCTTGAGATCTGCGGAGGCCTTGTTCGCCGCTCTTAATAGCCTCCTTGCGAGGCTGGAGCCGGTGGACACTGAGGTGTCCTCGAGAATACAGATGGGCGCCGAGCATGTCAAGTCTCTCTTCTGCTCTCCTGCAAAAGACGCGGTGGACATTTTGCGGCCAATCCTGTCAATCTGCGACCTCGCCCTGCAAGAGGAGAGCCCTGAGCCCTTTGACAACCAGGCATCTTGGTTGGCAGCGTTCGCTTCCTTATGGGACCTCCATCTGCAGAGCAGCAGCGATGCTGTGGAGGTGGCAATGTCTTTGTACCCCGCAGGATGCATCGTATTGGCTAAGATGGACCGTTCAAAGGACCTGGTACTCGATGCTCATGTGAAAACGACGTGGACGCGAGATCTGCGCCGCTTCTTCATCAAGAACATGATCCTTCCGTCGAGGGCCGCTTTCCTGAACCGCAAGGATATCGGTATTTTAAAGGCTGCAGCCGACGTGACAAACTTCATGCCGACCGCCTCGTGCCCGGTTCTGTTCAGTCTTGCCGTCAAGACTCCTCACTCTACCGAAGACGCAAGCGCAAAGAGGGAGCATGAGGACTGGACACAAAAGGCCTTCGAGGTCCTCGAGGAGCCCATGCGCGATGCAGACCCAGCCAAGCGTAATCAAGCGATGAAGGTTGTTCTTGACACGGCCTTAAAAAGCAAGGCCAGGCTTTCTCTAGCTAGCCTGCGCACAGTTTGCAGGCAATACACTACTCCGTCCGGAAAGCTAGACCTGGAACTTGTTACCCGTGTTGCGGATCTGGATGTCGACACTTTCCTCATCTCCAAAGAAGGGCACGTGCTGCTCGACGAAATCCTTCAGGAGGTTACAGATATTAGCAACGCAGAGTTGGAGACTCGTGGAGAAACAAACGCTATCGCTTTCATCGTCTCGCTAGCGAAGGGGTTTGCGAAGGGGCGTGATCTCTCAGGTTTCATCAAGAAGTGGTTGGAAGCACTGGCAGCATGCCTTAAGAAAGGTGCTGATCATTCATCCATTGCTGGGGTATGGTCCTGCGAGGCAGTCACCGAAACTGTGACGAGTTTGCTCCAGTCATCCATCAATGCGAGACAGCTCCTGGCTCTTCTTGGCTGGTTCGAAAGTCAAGGCGGCGCTTCGGAACCCAGAGCCTTGCTGGTGGTTCTGGATGCGATTTCGCAAGGCATCACGGAAGAAGACTTCACTGATGCCGTTGATTTGCGGATCTACGAGATGGCCTCGGCGTTCAAGCTCAAGTCCCTGGACGATTCATCCAAGGCGCGGTGGTGGCATATCGTTGAAAGCACCGTCTCGCGAGCAACATCAGAACAGGTCGATAAGATTTGGGACAAGGTCGAACCTGATTTGAAGAAGGCACTCAAGAAGGGAGGTCTCGAAGACCTTGCCACCTCGGCAGCTTTTCGATGCTGCGGCTCTCTTTGGTTGGCGAATTATCCCGGAGGGTCCCACGAGTCCGAGGCTGCTGCGATGGCATCTTCTTTCTTAAAGAGGCTCGAAAAGCACGTGCAGCAATCCGACCCCAGCTCTTTGAAAGTCTTTGAGTCACCGCGACTTGTGGACTTGCTTGTCAAGTCAGACTCTGGAAGACAGTACCTGCCGAAGTTTTTCGCGCGTATGGGCACAGTGAGGACCACTGACGATGTTCACCACATTCTCTACAACGAATCCAACCTCAACAACTACAAGTACACTAGTGGTTTGGTCGGCCACGCTGTCGACATACTTTCTGAGGAACAGAATCGGGGCTCATCATTCGATCCAACACGTGTTGTTTCGGCTCTACAGATTCTGCTCGACGTTCCTCACGAGTCCCTTACCCGTGAACAGAGGGAACAGATCATGCCAAAGATGCTGTTTTTCTCCTCCAATCTGCAAGGTCAAGAGCCAGCACGACTTGTTGCTCTGTTGAAGCTCTGCCTTAGCTTGATGGTCAAGGTCATGAAGAGCCCTACATTCTATGAAGGAATGAAGTTTGCCGACTTGGTCACGATTGGCGACTCGATCGTCTTTACCTTCCAGACTTATGTGGGAGGTACCACCGATCAGAGCATGTCATCCGCATATGAATGTTTCAAATTACTGGAGTCCCTCGCGTCAAGCACTCTGAAGCAAATGACTTCCAATATTGAGAAGCGAGAGCGCATCTACCTGGAAGAAGCCTGTCAATCAGTCAACAAATGGGGTACCAACCAAACAGTTCTTTATGCTCATCGACAGATCCTTCTGAGGGCTTTGATTCTCGCTCTAGAATCTTGTAAAACCAAGCAGGTGGCACAAGAGGCTGATCCGGCTGCCTTGAGGGAGGCCTGTTCCCTCATGCTCGCACACTGCTTGACCACCGATGATCTTCATCCGAGAGGCAATGACTCCGCCTGGCTCAACAAGGGGATATCGACGTGGTGCGTGCTCGTAATTCTGGAGCAGCTCGATGTCGTTGAGCCCGCGGTCATACGGTCTCGTCTACTAGCATCGAAGTCAGAATTGGAGAATCTCTGCGAGATGCTTTGCAGCAAGGGATTGAGGGCAGGCTGGCGATTGAAAGAATTACTTTTCAATTGTTTCCAAGACATGATCAAGGAGCCTCTGAACCTCAGCGCCAACGAAGCCCTGCCGAGCTCCAATAGCAACGACTGTATTCCGCTGTGCATTCGCTCCGACCCGAGTGACATCCACAGGTACATCGACACTGTTCTCAGAAATATGAACGAAGAGGCCCGGAATGACTGCTTTAAAGGCCTTGGTGGGAGATTGCGGGACGATCTCGATATCACAGGGCATCTGCTCACCATTCACCGGCTGATCCAGGCAGAAAGCGGTATGTCACTGGGACTCCTTTCCACCTTATATTGTTTATCAGAGCTGACTTCCTACCCAGCCCCCTCACTCCGATCATGTGTGGACAAGATAGACTTTGCTGAAATGCACAACGTACTGCAAGACCGACTGGCCAGGACACAGTCCTCGTCGCAGTTCACGCTTATTGCACAAACTCTGCACATGCTCCTAGACAAGAAGGCCAGCACTATGAAGCAGTGGAATACCGAAATCACGCTGAGCACCGTGTCGACCATCTCTGCGGGTGGAGTAACTCAAGGTACAGACATCAGAGCATCTCCCAAGACGTTCGAGTCGCTCTGCCGCCTCGTCGAGGTCATCATCAAGCGACACCGCCTCCGAATCGAAGGACACTTCCACCTTCTCATCACGGCCCTGCAGATGCTGCTCCGCCTCCTCCTCATCCCCGTCCCGCCTTCCTCAATCTCCGTCACCCCAGACGACCCAGCAGCCCTGCGCGAGAGGCAAGCAAAGCTCTTCGCCCGCCTTCTGACACTCATCTGCGAGCCCTCTGTCGCATCCGTCACGCGGGGCCAGCAACAGGGCCTCGACTCGGCGACGGATGCTGCCAAGCGCTCGGCGGGTCAGCACATGTACCTGGTCCTGATGTCTTATATCAGGCTGCAACTCGAGAACCCAGTGTCCCGTGCGGTCAGAGAGGCGCTGCAGCCGGGCGTGTACTCGATTCTCGACATCACGACCCAAGAAAGGAGGAGGATCCTGAACGAGGCGGTGGACGGGAGTGGACGGGCGATTTTCAAGGAGATGTATAGAAGGTATGTCAAATTTGGGAAGTGGAGCGGCGTGTAGCGTGTAGATTCAGGATTATACTGCGAGAGAGAAAGACGAGATGCACAAGCGAAAAATGAAAAGAATATAAACATTGAATTACTTCATGTTCATAGGACGTCAAGTTTTCGAGGTATCTTGGGAACATGATATGGGATGAAGAGGCGCCTTCATCGGTATCAGCTACGACTATCGTCAGCCCTTGCGCACAACAGCCTTCTTTGACTTTCGCGCCATCCTCTTGCGGCCGATGATCCTCTGCCTCTGCGCCAATTTCTCCTGCGCGTCCTTCTTCCTAGACTTTTGCCCTTCATCCTCCTCACTGCCCTCGCCGTCAGCTTCGACCTTGGCTTTCTTGCCCGGCCCAGCCTTTCCGGCCTGTCCGTTCTGCATCTCCTCCCTCTTCTGCCTGGATCGCACCTCGTTTGCCTTCCGCCGGCTGACGACCTGCGCATTCTCGATGGCGAACTCGACGATCAGGCGCACTGTCTTGCCGGCCTCGTTCTTGAGCGGGTGGCCGTTCAGCCACCGCAGGCCCATGAGTGCCCACCTGTGGGAGGAGTACTCGACGAAACCGTAGCCTCTGCTCTTGCCGGCGCCGGTCCTCTCGTCGACCTTCTTCCCTTCCTTGGTCTCGAAGACCACCTTGGCCTGCTTGACAACGCCGACGCCCTTCTCCTTGCGGCGGTGCTCAGCATCACGATCCTCGGCGCCGCCGCGGGCGAGCTCCTCCTTGGAGAGGGCCTCGCGCCGGCCTTCGCGCGCGTCGCTTGCGAAGCCGACGATGGCCTGGCGGGCGAGCTGCTTGAGGTCCTTGGAGGTCATGTCGCGGGGCAGGTTGCGGATGGCCAGGCGGGTGAGGGAGAGGTGCAGACTGGGGTTGCCCTGGACCTGCTTCCTGCGCTGGGTGGCCGACTGCTCGCGGAGCTTAACCTCGGTGGGCGTCAGGAGCGCGTAGAGCGGCGAGTTGGTGGGGATGGTGCCCTCAGACAGGAGGAAGAGGCGGCGCCTGTCCTTCTCCTGGCCTTTGCGCGCTGCAGGGCCGGCTTCGGTGAGCTTGGTCGCCTCTTCCTTACTGACTGCCTGTGCAACCTGGAGGACGCGGCCGTCGAGGGTGTAGCGGCCGTCGGTGTCGATGGTCTCGTCCTGCAGGACCGAATGCTTGTTGGTTTTGGCCGCCGGCTGGTGTCGAGGCGCGTTCCTGACGCAGGCCTTGAAGTCATCCATCTTGACAAAGCAGACAAAGCCGGTGCCGGCGGGCTTGTCGATCATCTTGTTCATGACGACCCTAGCATACCTCACAGGCCCAAACTGCATGAAGTGCTCCTTGAGAGACTCGTCTGTAGCTGTGAATGGTAGGTTCCGAATGAAGACCGTGGTGGAGTTGTCCGTGGTCCGCTTGGGTGTTTCGTGCATGGGTTTATCCTCAGCGTCATCGTTGGCATCACCCTCCTCGTTTTCTTGGTCGGCACTATCCTCGTCACTGTCAAGCGCACCACCACCTTCTTCATCGTCTTCGTCATCTTCTTGCTCGTCATCCTTGTCCTCCTCGGAATCGAAGTCCTCCATCTTCTTCATGAACTTGGCCATATCTCTGTCCTCTTCGGTCATTCCAGCGTATTCCTCTTCATCATCTTCGTCATCCTCTTCCTTCTCTGCCTTCTTCGACTTGGACTTCTTCTGGTCCTTTTCTTCCTGGCCATCCGGATGTTGTTGCTGCCACTCGTCCTTGGAAACAGCCCAATCCACAGCGATAGGTCTTGCATCCACCTCCTTGCCGTTCATCTCCTCCATGGCCTTCTCGGCGTGCTTCCTGGTTCGGAAGGTGACGAAACCGAACCCCTTGAGCTTGCCCCGGTCGTTGGGTAGGTCGGCAAACTTGATCTTTCCGTACTTCATGAATAGCTTGCTCAACTGCTCGGAGCTCTTGATGCTCCAGGGGAGGTTGCGGATGATCAGCTTGGGCGCCTTCCTGGCCTCGGCCATCTCTTCCTCCCTCTTCCTCTTCTCCTCGGCCAGGCCTGACTTGACAGCACCCGCACCCCCTGCGCGGAGTCGGGGCTCAGCGACGTCCAGTCTCAGCCGGCGGCCGTCAAACATCTCGTTATTGAGTTTTTTCTTAGCCTCAATAGCATCGTCGGCATCAGTGAATGTGACGAAACCATAGCCGCGTGAGGCCTTGGTGTTGCGGTCGACGACGACAGTGGCGTGCTTGACGGGATAATGTTGTGAAAAGAACTCGGCCAGGGACTCGCTGGTGGCAGAGAGGGGTAGTGACCGCACAAAGAGGGACCGTCTCTCCTCGACACGACTCTTCTTTGAAGGAGGTGCGCCGTCTTGGTTGTCGATGGCTACAGCTGTCTGCTGCTCGAGGTCGGCCTCAGCCTCCCTGCGCCGTTTTTGGCCTTTCGATCTGGCCATTTTTTTTTTCTTTCTGTTTGTCTGTTGCTGGTTTGGGATGATATGGAGTGCGGGACGGACTCAGCTTGAGCCTTCCAGGAAAGTGAGAAAGAAGGAAAAGGAGGAGGAGGAGAATCAGAGTCTGTAGTTCATGTTCGGCAAGAGCCAGAAACTTTTTTGACCCCTGTCGGCGATAAGAGCTTATCAGCCCCCTCGCGCCCACCCTGCGCCGGGGTAACCGTGCCAGAGTCGTGTGTGTTGACAAAACAGAGCATGAGAGCACTACTGACTTGCATTGCGCCAAGTAAGCAAAACAAGGCAAAGAGCATGTCCATTCATCACCAACAGCAGCCTTTGTTGTTTGCCCAGACTGACTTTCGAAGCGATTCTTTAGCGCAGTATCTGGATATTTGTGACTCAGACCACCACCAATAGCACCTTGCTGAGCATTTATCTCAGTCTTCTGTTGCATCTGCTTCAGTATTGATTTCTCCCCCGCCCCCCCCTCCAAAAAGCACGTCGATCAATCAACCAACCGTTTCACGATGCCCACGCGCACGACAAGATCAGGGCGCGCGTCAACAAGGGCCGCTGCTGCGTCCTCGACCACGAACGCGCGCGCATCCAACGCAGCCGCCTCCCGCCAGTCGTCATTGAACTTCGATGTCCCTGAAGAAGCCCCCGACAACGAGCTCCGTACCCAGGTCGCCGCCGTCTTTCGCGAGGCACAGCGCAACACTGCGACCCACCGCAAGGCTGCAGTCACCCTGCGCAAGCTACAGGAAGCGTGCTGCTACGAACCCACCACAGCCAAGAAGGCTGCTGCTGCCGACTTCGACGAGAATGACTTCAACAGCGAGTTCGTGCGCTGCGTGCTGCGCCTCATGCCCGTCAAGAAGAGCGAGGCCGTTGGCGAGAGGACCATCCGGTTCGTGGGCGTGTTTATGAGGCACTCCATCGACAAGGATAACGAGCTTGCCGGCGAGGTGGATGAGGATGCCAGCACGATGCCAGAAACCCCAAGCACCAGGCTCACTGCCAGGCTGATGGAGGCAGTGCTGCCCCTGATGATGGCCAAGGACAAGTTTGTCAGATACCGATCCACCCAGCTCATCTCACACATCGTCAACTCCCTCGACGCCATCGACGACGACCTCTTCCAGAAACTGCGCTACGGACTGCTCAAGAGGATCCGCGACAAGGAGGCTATGGTGCGCGCACAAGCTGTCCTGGGTCTTGGCAGGCTAGCAGGTAACCAGATCGAGGCCGAGGCTAATTCGGACGACAGCGACGGAGATGAGGCCAGTGGCCTGCTGGAGAAGCTTCTCGAGGTGCTTCAAAACGATCCCAGCGCCGACGTGCGGAGATCGCTCCTCGTAAACCTTCCGATCCTGCCCAACACACTCCCCTTCCTGTTGGAGAGGGCAAGAGACCAAGATGCCATGACACGAAGGGCAGTTTATTCTCGTCTGTTGCCGGCTCTCGGAGACTTCCGCCACCTGTCGCTCTCTATGAGAGAGAAGCTGCTGCGATGGGGTCTCCGAGACAGAGACGAGACAGTCCGTAAGGCGGCGGGTAGGCTCTTCCGCGAACGGTGGATCGAGGATTGCGCCGGCGCGCCGCCTCTGAACGAAGAGGGACAGCCTGCCGAGGTGCCTGCGCCTAGCTTCGACGGGCTTCTCGAGCTCCTGGAGCGCATCGACGTTGTCAACTCTGGCGTCGAGAACGGCGTCGCGCTCGAGGCCATGAGGGGTTTCTGGGAGGGCCGCCCCGATTACCGCGAGGGTGTCACATTTGACGACAACTTCTGGGAGACCTTGTCGGCAGAGTCTGTCTTCATGGCTCGAAGCTTCAACGAGTTCTGCCGCAACGAGGGCAACGGCAAGTACGAGGATCTGGTCGAGGAGAAGCTCCCCGAGGTCACCAAGCTCGGGTTCTACCTGGAGCGATATGTCAAGGTCCTGGTAGATGCCCTCAAGAGGATATCCCAGCAGCAAGAGGAGCTCGACGAGGAGGATGAAGAGGAAGACACGGTGGAGCAGGAGTTCATTGTCGAGCAGCTCTTGCACATCGCCATGACCCTGGACTACTCCGACGAGGTCGGCCGCAGGAAGATGTTTTCCCTGCTCAGGACGACACTGTCCATCCCTGAGCTTCCCGACGAGGTCACCAAGCTCACTGTCAACGTTCTCCGCGACATTTGTGCCCCGGACAATGCAGGCGAGCGCGAATTCTGCAGCGTGGTCCTTGAGGCCGTGGCCGATGTGCACGATACGATTGTTGATGAGCCGAACGACGACGAGAGCTTCCACTCAGCCAAGTCTGAAGTCGACGAGGATGAGGAGCGCCATGGCAGGCATGGAAAGGCGGATAAGGATGACGAACTGACGGAAGAAGAGGCGCACGCAAAGGCCGTCAAGGAGATCGTCATCAACATGAAGTGTCTGCACATTGTCCAGTGCATGCTGACCAACGTCTCCGGCAGCCTGCAGGAGAATGACCACCTGGTCTCCATGCTCAACAACCTGGTCGTGCCGGCTGTCCGTAGTCACGAGGCGCCGGTACGTGAGCGTGGTCTGTTGTGCCTGGGACTCTGCTCCCTGCTGGACAGGTCATTGGCTGAAGAGAACTTGACACTGTTCATGCACTTCTTCAGCAAGGGCCACACCGCGCTTCAGATCACCGCCCTGCACATCCTTACAGACATCCTTAACGTGCACGGAGCCCAGCTCCTGTCCAACAACCCAACGCTTATGAGGGTCTACGTGAAGGCCCTCCGCTCAGGCTCCAAGTCCCCCGAGATCCAAGCCGTTGCTACCATCGCAGCCTCCAAGCTCCTGCTCGGCCGTGTTGTCACTGATCCCGATGCCTCTGCCGAGTTTCTCAAGACCTTGGTGATCGCCTACTTCGAGCCCGCCTCCTCGCAGAATCAGAGCGTACGCCAGGCACTGAACTACTTCCTGCCCGTGTTCTGCTACTCGCGTCCCGAGAACCAGGACCTCATGCGGGCGGTGGCGCTTGAGGCGCTGCATGCACTATACAACGTGCGAGAGGGCCTAGACGATGACGATGCCGACGTGGATGATGAGATGGTTAGCCTTGCGACCATCGGTGCTTGTCTGGTGGACTGGACAGATCCGAGGAAGTGTTACAGCCCGGACGCGAGCACAGAAGCCGAGAAGAAAAACATAAATGGAGATGTGCACCTCGAATTCGCACGGAACATACTCGAGAGGTTGGATTCAAGCTGCAGCAGTAAGTCACCTTGACTTTTGGTTTACTACACCCGTCGTCAACAGAGCACACTCTCAAGCCCTCGCGAGGTACCACCACGTCGCAGAGAATGCTAACAATACCCACCCACAGAGGAAGAAAAGAAGGTCGTCGCGGCCCTCCTCGGCAAGCTCTACATCTCGCCCGCCTCGACCGAGGAAAAGATTCGCGAGCTCTACACCGAGGTCTCGGAAGCCGTCGAGATGAATCTCATCTCGGACACGACAGGTCGTAACGCCCTGTATAAAATCCACGTATCCCTCGGCAAGATCGTCAACACCCTGGACCAAGCCAAGGAATCCGGCAGGCGCAGGTCGACCATGAGCCGTAGCGTGTCGCTCGGGCCTGACGTGCACGTCGGTGCTGGCGCCGGCGCCGGCCCTTCTGCACGAGGCGCGACGGCCGAGCCGCGGATCAAGGAGGAGGACGAGGACGATGATGGCGATGGGCTGTCGAGAGCGGACGACGGCGGGGATGACGATAGCAACGAGGGCACGGTCATTCAGAATATGGACGTCACCACCAAGACGGAACCTGGAGACGACGACTCGCTTGTGAGCGAACTGTTGGATGATGACGGGGACACGATTATGGGTTAATTTTCTGATTGTGATGTTTATTTTGTTTCTTTCTTTCGCTTGCTGCGGATATCTTTTTGCTTGATGAGGGATGAGGATGGGTATGGTAGTTTCGGGGGAAAGAGAGGGGGGGGGCTGAAACGGATGACGGGTGGCCCAGTCTGGTTGATTCTGTCTGTCTTGTTTTTTTCTTCTTCTATTATGCGAAACGTGTGTTCGGATCTTCACGAATTTTATCGTCATTCATTGTAAACATATTGATTGACCTCGTCATTAATCTGGTTCAATTCTGTCTCGTCTGTTGATCGACCTTGCTCCCTCCCTCCTTCTGTCTATATATGACTTGAACATGGTGTTCAAAATACCACCCAAAGCTCACAGCGTCCCCAACCAGTACAAAAGCCCACCAGCCCCGATGTTGACGATCAGATGCTGACCCAGGGTCCACGCCACGCAGTACAAATACTTGGGCGAGAACACAGTCCAGATGAACAGGTGCGTCCTGAGCGCCGTACAGGCTGCCATCACAGACGCCACGCTTGCGGCCGCGAACACGGTCAACAGAGTGATGTGGCGCACGTACACGCTCCTCTCCCCGGCCCTATGCTTGCGCACGAGCAACACGTTCGTCGCCGTCACCCAGTAGATGGGCGCTGCCCAGTTACTCACGAACGTGAGGACGCCAACGGTGGCGACGTCGAAGTTGCGCACGCCGTTGTACGCGCTCGAGAGGTCGACCGACGAGATGGCGTTGGTGCCGCCGAGGGCGAAGAAGGAGGCGTACTGCAGGAGCAGGGAGGTGACGGTGAGCTCCGTGAGGGTAAGGCCTTGCGCAGAGAGGAACTTGAAAATTATGTCGAAGAGCAGGAACAAGGGGACGTTGGTCGCGCGGGACTGCGTCACGGCGAGCAGTGTGTACAGGTGGTGCAGGGTCTCCACGGCCGAGATGCGCTGCGAGACGCAATTCTTGGTTGCGATGAAGTACACAACGCAGGCTGCAGCGAGCGCCAGGCCGACAAAGACAGCTTGTGCCCTTACCACCAACGAGGGACCCTGGGTAAGTTCAAGAAGGGACCGTGCGAAGCCCGCAACGAGTTCTGGAGCGTCCTCGTTCGTAAAGGCGAGCTTGAAGGTGAAGGCGGCAAGAACCAGACCTGTGCTACCGGTGATGGCGAGGGAACGAGGAAGGCCGCTGAAGCCCTGGAGGAGTTCGCGGTGCAGCCAAAGGTAGGTGATACTGATGAGAGCCCAGAGACGGACAGGCTCGGGCTGCAAGAAAATCTTGACGATATCTGGCTCCCCAGCGAACTTCTGCCCGGTCTGATTCCAGCCTCTGACAACTCGTGTTGTTACGAAGGCGAAGAGAAGTGCCGTAAGGTGCCCAACCGTGGATTTTGAGGTCCTATGGACAAAGATGGTCAACAATGAAGAACAGTGAATGAATTTGAGATAGTTGAACATAACTCACCCACTGAAGCCTCTCCAGCTGATGTATGTGAACCATGCTGTTGCAGTGTAATACCAGAAATGGTGCTCCTCCTCTACGTAGCTACTGGCAAACATCATCACACCATATGCGGCGGTAATGAGGGTGATTGGCACGGCTGCTGTGGACAGGCGGCCGGCATTTTGGTATGCTGCAAAGACAGCCATGGCGGTCGTTGCAATGGCAGCCATTTGCCCAATGGTGAGTCTAGGAATGTCGTAGTTGCTCGCCATGCTACTCAACAGCCTTTGAGAGTCTCTAAGCCACTGCGGATGAGGGTCAGCACAATCCTGAGTACGACCTTTGTGTTGGGTGAGTACCTACCTGCGACATCGTTGCAGCCCATTCATCATCCAAATCCGTCTTGCTGTTCATGGCTTTATATGCATTCTTAAGTCGCCACCACCGGCATGCGAGATCCTCAACATCTGAGTTTGTAAGTACGCAAGGGTCGACATTCGTAGACACATCAAAAAGCTCTCCGCCGAACGTAGCGGATATAATGGCAAGAATCTGTTCCGCATTGCGCATGAGAATCTGCGCTCGATCGATGCCTATTCTCATCATCATCAGCAAGGTTTCGTGCCAAGATATCCCCGAGGTTAGCGTACCATGCGGCCAGAAGGGCAGAAAATCCGAGATGAAAGCTCCAAGATTGTTCTTGGGGGCCGGAAAGCCAAGCAGAGCGCCAAGGGTTGGAGCAAGGTCGGATTGCTCAATGACAGAGTAGTATCTGAAGTCGTCCTGGAAGTCCACCGGAGCCTCAAATACTCTTCCCAGGGCTTTCAGCTTCGGGGATAGGAAGACAAGTGCTGGGGAGGTCTCGCCGGGTGCGGAGCCTCCATGATTTCCAGCGTCGTTCATACCATGATCGCCCAGCAGTATCAACAGTGTAGACTGAAGGTGAGATTGTGACTCGATGGCAGTGTATATTTGCTTGACCATGCCGTCCATCTCAATCTGCTTTGGAATCATGTTCATGCTGTCCACAACATTAGCATCCTTTTCCAGGACTTGTGCGCAGAGGGCGGGCTGCTGTCTGACCTCCGCGGTCCTCCCTTGTGACCGATATGGTCCAGGCCAAGATAATGCAGGACCATGGTATTCCAATCATTATTTTGGAGCTCATCTGGAACGTGTCTCGTGACATTATTATCCACCTCCGTGAAGTCCTATCTTTGGTCAGCCCACGTCGTCTCTTCGCCCGAGCAGTTGCGGAACCGTACAGCAACGAAGAAGCTCGATGTGCCATCCGCCCGATCAAAGAAGCCGGGAAACAGCTTCAGCCAGGTGTCATCTCCGTATAAGAGCAGCTTCCCCGAGTTTTTTGCCTTCATCTGCGCCAACCATGTATCCTGCGAGGCAAGGGAAGAAGACTCGTCTCCTTCGTCGATATTCAGTATAACGTCGAGGAAGGAGGGGATGGAGCCAGTCGTGATTGCCTTGATCCTCGGCATTGTAACGGTGGGCGATGTCGCGTGCGCGGTGAAGGGGATCGCAGAGCCATCTCGTATTAACCTGTCACGGGTGGTCAGTGCTCGTGTCGGTCGGAGGCAGTCCCTCTGGTCGATAGATTCGCGACTCACGACTGGGTGTATTCGAAGCCGGACTTGGGCGAATAGACGAAATCACTGTGACTTCTGTCAGCATGAAGCTATGGAGTTTTGTTTTGGCCTGGTGCGACGGGACATGCCTTCGTAGAGCATCTACTAGCATGAATATCACCCGGTCGAAGGGCGCTGCCGGTGGTGGTCCATGTTCAGAGTCGTCGTAGACGGCGAGACCTGGGAGCAGTGGCTTGTAGGGGAAGAAGCCTGTGCCAAAGACATAGATGGCAATCGGGAGGAGGAGGTTGGCCGCAGCGAGCAGGACTATCGAGAGAGTCGTCACACCATGTTGAGAGCCCTTCATCTCTTGTGCGCGTGGCTCAGCACAAGCTCATGGGAGGGAGGGGAGGAGAGGAGAGGATATTGAGGAACACGAAACTAGGGGTTCAGTGAAAAGCTCTCCATCGCAATGAGAAGAGGAGATCTGGTAGTATTATGGATGACCGCTTTCGTTTTGTTTGGTTACGTAGTCGATCAAATACATTCAGAAATGCTGTGTTTTATATGTACGTGGCAGGTGCCAGCTTCAAGGTGCTCAGTCGTGCTGCATTGTATGTTTGTTGGCCAGTTAGACTTCTTGTCAGCCTCGCATGTGGTCAGTGGTTTAGCGACTGGGAAGCCCCTGTCAAACCACTTTGGGGGGGTGGGCACAGGGGTCCACAGCCGCTGGCTCGCCCCCCGTTGCGATACCGCCTGCCATTCTCGATATCACGGACATCCTCTGTGACAGGCCCGTCCTCCATTCCAACAATAGCAATCAGTCCTCTAGAATTATGTAACCCCTTTTGTTTAGATCGGCTCCTCGAAGTAAAAAATGATGCTCTTCCCCAGTTCATGGACTGCCAACGAGAGTTCACCTCTTTTTTCTGATCGTCTTCCGGTCGCCGTACTTGGGGAAAACAATATTCGATTTCCTGCCTCGTCTCTTGACGACCTTGCCCTTCTTGGATTTCGTCTGGGATTTGGCAGTGTCGACATCCATGGCTGCTGTAGAATTGATGGTTAATGTATTGATCGCCATTCCAGGATGAGACCCGCGTTGCAATAATCTTGGGGCTGCGTCCAGACTGGACTTGTCCCGGGGAATCTTCTTACTGTCATCTGCCTTCTCTTCAGCAGCAGTACCCTCTTTCTGCTCTGCCTCGCCCTTGTCTTCTGCATCATCCATCTCTCTCTCGGGTACTGGCTTGGGTTGCGATGCAATCTCGAGCAGCTTGGCGGAGAGGCGTTCCTGGCGTGCGTCCTCCACAGGCCCAAAGACCTTAGCCTTCAGCCTCTGATTGTTTGCCTTGACCGTGCTCGCGCGGGATGACTTGGCCATCTTGTGAAGTATTCCGTAAAATCCTCGAGATCAGAGGTGGCCCAAGGAAGTGAATTTGTGCAACGGGGTCTATGTCGGTGCTGTCGTAGCTGGGTGAGATCGCAAATGTTGGGTCTTGAGAAAAGGCAGGGTCTTCTCAAATCCAACGCTGCAAGTCTCGGCTGGAAAGATTTGGGGAATGGGTTTCTTATCACGATAAGTTTCTGCCGGGGCATAGGGAGCTCACCGCCTTCCTGAATCTGCCAATGGGCAGCCTTGCGTCAACGTCGATCGTAGATCAGTCAATGTCTACCATCCTGCAAACAACCTCATCATCGCGGCAGGAGTCAAACTGGGCCAAAGAGGCCACGGACAAAGCCAGTTGTCGGTCCTCTTGACATCCTTGTGGCTCTGGCATGGCCGCCTAGGAAGCTACGCGCATTTGTTTCCCCCGCTCTGCCTCGTCTGTCTCCTTGAGTTTAGGTTTCAATTCACATGCTCTGGCGGGCACCAATCTCGATCGCAGCCTCATCGTACCTATTCGAACCCCCTCCACGACACCGAAAGGAAAGCCTCCGTCCCTACCCGTATGTTCTAAGAGAAGAAGCACTGGTCGATTCGTCTATCCTCTTGTCTACCGAAGAAGAAGACAGAAGAGAAAAAAAGAGACGAAGGGAAAAAAGGAGCCCAGGCCGGGTCAAGTCTGATGACCATGGCTTCCCTACCGCCGCAGGAGGAGTACCGCGCTCTGGTGAAACGCATCAATAGCAGCAGTTACCTGTTGAACAAGCAACTGCAGCGTATTTGCATGCAGAATAGTATGAAGTCCAGCGGTGTCAAGGCTGACCTGCAATCCCGCGTGGTCGAGGGTACGTTGATTTATTCCAGGACGCACTGTAGATCGTTTTGTCACCTGCATATCTAGGCCAGTCTGGGTGCCTACCCGCGCTCCCCTCCCACAGGCCGCCGCTACCCCTCCCCACCTCTTTCGTCCGACGCTCCCATCTCCTAGCTCCTCCTGCCTTGGTTATCATGCGAGATGGGCTCGCCATTTTCCCGATATAAGGACTGACCTGAATCCTGGTACAGCACTAAACGCGGCCTACACCGCAGGCGATGCGCACAACTTTCGCAAAATTGAGGACAGCATCTACCGTGAGAGACAGGACCTGACTGCAACACGAGGTTACGCAGCAGCCGCCACGACCACAGGAGCGTCACAGTCCCACGTTCACAGCACCCGCTCCCCCGGTCTCCCTTCTTCTGCAAGCCTTGGCCAGTCCTCAAGCATGTCCAGTGGTTACGCCGGCTACCAGCAGGCAAATGGTCTCTCTGGCTTTGGGTCCTATGGAGCAACAAATGGCCAGAGGGCGCAGAATATGCCCTCCCAAGGTATGTTTGATACCCTCTTACGTCTGTTGCACGTTCGGCTGCAGGCCGTTCAACAGCTGAGCTGACTCCTTCAAGGGCCTTCTTACCACCCTAGCCCCTTCTACCATCTCGTGGAGAGAATAGGAAACACTCACATCTGCGAAGGTAAGTCGACGGTCCATTCTTCTTTTCTCCTTGGCGGGGGGGGGGGGGCGCAACCGTGCTAACAAGAGGCAGTCATGACGCAGCACAGGAACTCTATCAACATCATCATACAACCGCAGGCCTACCCAATCCTGCAGCAGTGTATAACGGATAAAACCCTCAGGGTTATGGTGTTCTGTGCTGCTTCCAACTTTGGCACGCAGGACATCGCTTTTCCCCATCAGTCAGAGCTGAAAGTGAATGGCGACGATGTCAAGGCCAACCTGAGAGGGTTAAAGAACAAGCCCGGCTCCACGAGACCTGTCGACATAACAGATCTCCTCCGGCTCAAGATTCCGACCTATCACAATACAGTCGAATTCACATACGCTCTAACCCAGAAGGCAGGTGAAAAGGCCTTTCAAAGTCAAGTCAGGCGTTCCTCGGCATTCCTCAACACCTCGTTCTAAAGTTGCTAGCCACACAAACTGACATTTATTACTTCCCGGTCTAGCGCTTCTACCTCTCCATACACGTCTGCAAGTCCATCCATGTAGACAATCTCGTGCAGACCATATCGAGCCGGAAGATCTCGAAGGGCTCTGTCATCAAGGAGCGTGAGTCTCACCCGCTGCACCTCGTGTCAGGCATTAACAGCAGCTAATAACGTCATGCTAGTCACAAAAAAGGCTCACGATGCCGAGATCGAGCTCTCGTCTCAAGTCTTATCTCTGAAGTGCCCTCTCTCCTATATGAGACTCAATACGCCCATCCGCGCAACTACCTGCACACACGTCCAATGTTTTGATGCCACCTCATATCTCCAGCTGCAGCAGCAGGGCCCTCAGTGGGTATGCCCTGTTTGCAGCAAGTCAGCGCCGTTCGAGCGGCTGGCTATTGATGAGTACGTTTTCTGTCTTTCTTTTTCCAGGGCTTCTTGTGTGTTCTGGATTGTGCTTTTGCTAATCTATTCCAGATATGTGCGAGACATTCTAAACAACACTCCCACCTCTGTTGAACAGATTGACATCGAGCCGAGCGGTCGTTGGAAGATGCATAAGCCTACGGAAGCCTTAGCCAATCCGGAACCGCAGTACGATGCCTTCGAGCTGGACGATGATGATCTGGTTGTCTCCGAGATCAACCAATCCAGAGATTATAGCACCAACAGTCCGAACACCGTCGGTCCTGCAACTGGAGTCCTGACGCCAGCTTCTGGCTTCTCTAAAGAAGGGTCATCCTCGATATCGAGACCTGGAGGAACCAAGCGAGCCCACGAGGTCATCGACCTGACATTGTCGGATGAAGATGATGAAGAGTCTTCACAACCGCCGTCTAAGCGAATTCAGCTACTTCGTTCCTTCCCTAGTGGCCCGTCCGCCTTTCTCTAGTCACCAGGCGATCCTCTTGCGCATCACCCGAGATCATGGGGAACAGCTGGGTTGATAAAAGCAATACCAGCCAAGAGGGGAGGGGGGGGGGGGCCACATGTTGACCTGTGTCAAAGACTATGCATGTGGGAAATGGAAGCCTCGACCGTTCCGAGACGAGCACTGGAGGGACAACAGCGTCTCTGGTGCCGAACAGGCATTACCCAAAGGGTATATCGGTGGATACGTCTTTCTTGAGGGCCTGGGTGACTGCCGTCGGCGGTGTAGACCAGGGGCTGCTGCTTGCTATTAGGATGGAGGCAAAGGAATAGATTGTTTTGGCATTGCAAGGCGTTCTAGGAGGGTTGGCGTGGAAAGGGGTTATACCAAATACCATATGGCGGCTGACTGGATGGGACGGTGCTGAAAGGAATCGGACACCTCATGAGGGTAGCAGGCAGTACATGCGGACTAGGATGAACGAGGATCATAGCTGCTGAAGAGGCTGACCCAAACAAAACGAAGAAGAAAAAGCACAGTACGCGCCAATCATGAATGAAGACAGACGACTTCAGCCTCACGAACATCACCGGCCCTCTCCCAAGACCATGTCAAGCTTTCAGGCATACTAACGTCATCCCACCGCCCCGGCCTAGCCGTGTTCCTGCAGGTCATTAGATTTCGAGGATGCGAGATGACGCTATCTCCCACTCCCGTACGGGGCGAGGGCCAAGATATGTTCGTAGGAGTTACACAGTTCAGAGTACAAGCCAGCCCTGGGGCAACAAAATGCGGACCCTAAAAGGGGAGCGAGGACTCCACGACCCACTGGTTGCATTTTCGTTCCTCAGTTTCAAAAATAAAACCAACGTACTATGCACGCTTGTTTACCTCCGATTCCAGATGATCTCCCCACCTTTAGTTTTAATTACTTAGTTATAGCGGTCGTGGTATATAGCTAGAACAAGAAGACCCCCCCCCCACCACCACTATCCTTGTATGCGGCCTCTTTTGTGACACCTTGAATTGCTGCGAAATACAGTGCGACTCCGCAAGGACCGGGACTTGGATATGAGGGCGTTCACTTGCTCGCCAAAAGGGAGCTTCAATAATGCTTCGTACTACTGTAGTACAAAGCATCATAGTTGAATGGTCCTATGGTGTGTATGTTGCTGTAATATACGGGAGAAAGGAGAAGAAGAAAAACAGGGTCAGTCCAGAATCCAGAGGTACGAACTGTTCGAATCCCCACCTGCACAAGCACATGCTGGATTCGCGGCATCGTGGATATCGCCTGCAAGGGCAAATTGGGATATCGTGTATGGATGTGTGCGTGTGTGCGCAGGGCGGGTAAATGAAATGGAGGGTGATGCAACACATACACACAGTTCCAATCGTGTGAAAGGAGAAGATCTTCGTGGGATTTTAACCTCTTCCCCCTCTTGGTTTCTTCCACACACATTCATCAATGCAGCCAGAGGTGCTAGAAAAATGAATACACGCACGGGCATGAGATGATCATCGGGAGGGTCCAAAAAAAGGAAGAAAAGAAGAATCAAGGAAAACGAGCTATAGTGGTGATCAAAAGACGTGACCTATCAAACTGGCTGGTGCTGGGGGCGGCTCATTGGGTGGCATGGGTAGGCGAGATGAAAGGTTTCTGTATTCGGATACCGCAGGCTTGAAATTAGGCGCGGGCCGAGTGACAGAAGGCCAATGTTGACCTTGGTTTTTTAGTGTTTTTTTTTTATGCACACACACACAGAGGAGAGAAAGAGAGAGAGAGAGAGAGTGTGTGTGTGTGTACCATAGTAAAACGAAATAATAGGACAATTGGATAAGCAAGACGAGGGAAGTGAGAGGCAAAAAAGGACAAGGTGGAAGAGATACATAAAAAAGGAGAACTAATTGCCTAGGATGTCTTGTCAGTCCATTCTGGGGTCAAGATACATGGTACATGATAACAGCACCGTGGGACAGAGACGCGGCGGGGCGTAGAACGTTCAGCCCGAACGTTGCAGGGTGAGGGTGCATTTCAAGGACGGTCCGAAGCGTGGTGGGAGGCACAAGAGACCTATTGGACGTGCGACGAGAGCCTTGTACACGGCCAAGGCGTGCCGTGATCATTGGGGAACCAGGGGGAGTGTTTGATGTGTATGAGAGAGAGAGGTAGGGCGAGCCTATTGGCCCGGCAGGTTCTTTCGGAGGCTAAAGGGAACAGAAGACAAAAGGACTGGTTTCGATGTTGGACGTATATCTGGACAGAAGGACAAAGATAGAGACAGTGTGTGTGCGTGGTGGTGATTTTGATACTCGAAACAAACACCAGATCTCTTTCCTCTCTTGGTGATATCTCGCAGATGGAGAGTTTGTGTCAGCGCCATGTCTCGCACAGCGGGTTTGAGGGCGACACAACTCTTAAGCTCAGCATAGCACCAAAGGATAGTTTTCGGGTCGCGCGCGCGTGGATTTGTAACCTTGGACCCTCGTCTACCAGCACACAGCACAGCATAACACAGTACGGTTGGCTGGGTCAGTGTGCCGTCTTGGTATGAACTTCTGTCGTGAGGGTGTCACATAATTGTTATGATAACGAGGGACCGTTTAAGAGACATCAATCGTGTAGGGTGACGACGATCCTTTTTTTTTTTTTTGAGGGAGGGGGCAGGGGCAGGGAGGGATCGGGGGTAAGTCCCTTCCCTCTCGCGTACATAGTACGGTGCTGTACTATCATGACCCCTTGTTCTAACGGACGGAGAATCTACCCCACTAAAAGCAGTCCTATAGTAGCAGTACTGCGTAGCAACAGCAGGCAAGAGGAAACGCCGCCGGAGATGAGAAAGGACGCTAGAGCCTCCAGAATCTCCCGTTAGGGACTAGCCCCGCAATGGGCAGGGTCCACATGCTCGGGAAGGGGAAGAGGGGCAGGGTGGTGGATGAGAGAGCTTGGCATGGGTGAGTTGCGCTATCGAGCTTGAGACCATCTCATGTCCCTCGACTCGACGGCGCAGCGCGGCGGGTACCTGCACGTAGACCTGAGCCGATAGATGAGCGCCATTTGGGGAGTAACCTGTATTATTGGAGAGGAGGCCAGAGAACAGGACACAAGGGCGAATCAAAAGACAAGCATCCTTAGCATTTCGGTCGAACCCCAGAAAGGGTGGTACCATCGTAGTAGATGTTCTTTCGTCTACGGGCCAACAGAAGTCCACGCAAGGTGTCGGATGTGCCTTTCTTTTCTCTCTTCGGTAGTCCCCCCTTCCTCTTTTATTATGTGTGTTCTTTTCCCCTTCTATCTCTTATTCTTCCTTCCTCTCGACAGCACCATGGAAGGAAATACGCTGTTTCAGGAAGGTTTAGCCTGTACGACGGGTATTGGCAGGAGGACGAGGAGGATTCACAGCAGAAGAACGAGCGTGGGCCAGGCGTGGAGGTCGCAGCCCGACAATGTCTGTGTGTGTGTGTGTGTGTGTGTGTGTGTGTTCGTGAGTCTTCCATGGTCTTGGTTTGTGATTTGAGTGGTAGTGATAGTAGTATCACATACCTCAAGCGATGAAGGAGGAGGGGCTTGTTACCTAGCTACACAGTATAGAGAAAGATATCACGACGAACACGGGCCATGCGCTGCCCTGACTGTGATCGACCTGTACACATCTGGGGCTGGTGCCACCCGAGACCAGATCATTCAAATCAGTTTGGCTGGAAGAGGGGGGGGGGGAGCGAGCAACTCGCTGGTCTCGTGTAAGCACCAATGACTGGGTTGGCCTGACTGCACCCCATATGCATAGTCATAGCTGCAAAATCGTCCTCCACAAATATCCTGACCAGGGCGTATATCGTCCTGTCCTGAGGCAGCCTGACGGCTTCTTCGCTCCCTCCAAAAGGTCATCATTTCTTTACTGGGCCTGGTGTCTGAATGGATGTGGGCGTGCGCTGGTTGTTGGTGAGTTTGTAAGAATAAAGTAGGGTCTCCCCTCTGCTTGCAAATCAAGAGCGGGTCAAAAAGAGAGGGCTGCTTTGTAATTTGACGGAAGTATTTCGCCAGGCAGGTGTCATCATCTTCTACACTTCTTCCTTTCTCCCCTTTGCCGACCCCTGTCTGGTCTCCCCCCTCGCGCCGCCCTGCCCTGGCCCTTCTTCCCTGCCCTGTCCAGTCCTGCACTGTCGAGACTTGTCTCTCCGTTCCCCGTTGTCCTAAAATGCCATCCCTATCCCAGCTCAACCCCTTCCGCTAGATCCTCTCTCTTCTTGCCCCATCCTGGCTCCTCGTCTCATCTTTTTGCTTCCAGCCTTTCTTTTCCTCCTTCGAGCCAATTTGAGGTAGCGACAGCACTTATCAGCCCAGTACTACAGTACACTCTGCTCACAACAAGTCATCTCTTTGCGAAGTCCCTTGTTATATTTCATTAGAGAATTGTTCTGTGGACCAAGCCTGAAGCTGTGACCTGCAGGACATCCACACAAACACACCCCCTCTGTCTCTCGCCCTGAACCGAGTTGACCTGTGGTTGTGAACTCTACTGTACGCGTGTATCTGTCCCTATTCGCTGTTCCCATCTTTGTTTCCCTCTTTTGGGTACCCTCCCCCCACTCCTCAGATCATCGGTCTCCGTTTGGCCTGCCTGGGCACTCTCACACCCTCTCCACTTCTCTTTTCTGGCCCGCCTAGGCTTGGTATCCAGTTCAATTTCCATCCAGGTCCCAGCCGAAAGAAGAGAGACTTGTGCTGTACTCGAAGGGTTACCGACCGACCGTTACCTCTTGACCCTCAACCACACACACACCATCTCCCCCCCCCCCTTTTCTCCCTTCTAAGTCCACCCCAAAATTTCCCAGTTTTCTTTCTTTTTCCCCATCCCACTTGCGCAGCATCATTTCCACCCGTCCACCATCTCCGCCTCCAACTCTGGTCCTGTCAACCACTCAGCAGACCATCCACCATTCCCATTCCGACTTCTTCCTAAAAAAAAAAAAAAAAAAATTTCCACACGGATTTGTGCTCGAACACTTTGATCTTCTGCAGCCGAAACTACGACCACCAACAAAGACGAGGGTTACCCCCCCCCGGCAGCTCCGTTACCCTAGAACTCGGCCTACTTGCCAGATATTCCTGATCCTTCCCGGGAATCAACCTTCTCGCTTCTACCTCCCAGCGCAGATTGAGACCGACGTTGGACTTCTGTCTCGTTTGTGCCTGACCTGACCGTGACCTGAGAGACGTTTTTGCATCGATAGATCAATCATCACACAACAACGTACCTACTAAGTACTGTGCGTGCTCGCGCTGGATTCCTGACTGGGGTGCTACGATACCTCCTGGACCTATCCTCCCCACTCTACTGCGCATCTCTCTCTCGCTGGCGTGTCTCTCTCCACACCTACCAGCTTTCGCAGACAGGACAGTCCGCCTGCCGGTCGACTCGATAATTACCACCGTTCTAATAGAGCCTAGGGTGGGTTTGGTTTCCACCTAAGCCCGTTTCGACTGGCCCGTTACCGCTAAAACTACCCTCTGCCAGCCCGGTCCGGTCCCCTAAGGGCGCTGTGGTTTAGTGGTCTGCGGTTCTGTGTGGGTACCTCTGTTTAGCGGCCGCACCGTCCCGAAGCACACAGTGCTGGGCACGCCGGGCTCATTTCAGGTGCTGCAAGTCAAAGGTCACCAGGTGCCCTGTTGTCCACTCTGACCCCCCCCCCTGGAATTGGAATTGGCATTGGCACTGGGGGCCCTTTTCCGCACAGTCCCTCCCCCTCTCCCGCTCACCCCCCCCCAAAGAAAAGAAAGGTCCTACTGCCCTCTCTGCTCTGCTCTGCCCTGCCCTGCACCAAGCCCTGCCCTTCGCTGCGCTGCGGCCAGTACCAAGCTTTTGGCTCCTTGGTTGCCTTGCATTTTCCCTTCCCACAAGCATCGATCCCAGCTCCAGTCTGCTCAATCAAACCCATCCTTCAATCCAATCCAATCCAAACCCACATTCATCCATCCATCTGTTCGGCCACCTTCCTTCCCATCCCCTCCCCCATCGTCCGTCCGACCGATTCCATTGAACACCACAAATTTGTCAATCGACAACATCGTCGGCGGCTTACCTTGCCGTTCCAACCTGCCCCCCTCCGCGCGGTCGACCGCCTCTTTCTCTCTCTTTATTTCTCTCGCGTTCTCTCTCTGCGTCTCTTGTCCAATTTCGAACCCCTTTGTGCACTGGCCGCGTCTCCTCCCTCCCTGCGGCTTGAGCGCTCCCCAAGATGGACTCACAACGACCGAACGACGTCTCTCCCGAGGCGATGCAGGCGCGCATCCAGCAGGCACGGCGTGAAGCAGAGGGTCTCAAGGACCGTATCAAGAGGAAGAAGGATGAGCTCGCCGACACCTCCCGTAAGTCTCGCAACTATTTCCCTCTCACCGCTCCCGATCTTGAACGATCAATCAATCCATCATTCAATCGTCCAACACCAGCCGATCGACTCATCGCGTTCTTTTCCTTTGTGTTTGGCCACGCCGCCCTTTATCTCTCTATCTCCCTGTCTCTTTCCCTCTTTCCATGGCTGACGTGATTAACTCCCAGTCCGCGATGTCGCACACCGATCACACGAGGCGATTCCCAGGAACCAGTTGATGAAGACGAAACGGACACTGAAGGGCCACCTGGCCAAGATTTACGCGATGCACTGGTCCACCGACCGGAGGCATCTCGTCTCCGCCTCGCAGGACGGCAAGTTGATCATCTGGGATGCCTACACCACCAACAAGGTCCACGCCATCCCCCTCAGGTCCTCCTGGGTCATGACCTGTGCCTACGCACCCAGCGGTAATTACGTTGCATGTGGTGGTCTGGACAACATCTGCTCCATCTACAACCTCAACCAGAACAGGGATGGGCCCACACGCGTGGCCCGCGAGCTGTCCGGCCATGCCGGCTACCTGTCCTGCTGCCGATTCATCAACGACCGGAGCATCCTGACCTCGTCAGGCGATATGACCTGCATGAAGTGGGATATCGAGACGGGCACGAAGCAGATCGAGTTTGCTGACCACCTCGGCGATGTCATGAGCATCAGCCTCAACCCCACGAACCAAAACACCTTCATCTCCGGTGCTTGCGATGCCTTCGCCAAGCTCTGGGATATTCGGGCCGGCAAGGCTGTGCAGACTTTTGCGGGTCACGAGTCCGACATTAATGCCATCCAGTTCTTCCCCGATGGCCACAGCTTCGTGACTGGCTCCGACGACGCGACATGCCGTCTCTTTGATATCCGCGCCGACCGGGAGCTCAACGTCTACGGCGTAAGCATTTTCCCATCCAGAACTGAGTGCGAAAGACATTTGAAGACTTCTCATTGCTGACGTCTGCTTTCATTTCCAGTCCGAATCCATTCTCTGCGGCATCACTTCTGTCGCCACATCCGTCTCCGGCCGACTCCTTTTCGCAGGCTACGATGACTTCGAGTGCAAGGTACGTTTCCATTACCCAGCTTCTATGGGGAGCCATCAACCTGACTGACATGCCACACAGGTCTGGGATGTTACCCGGGGTGAGAAGGTTGGGTCTCTCGTCGGCCACGAGAACCGTGTCAGCTGCTTGGGCGTAAGCAACGACGGCATAAGTCTGTGCACAGGCTCCTGGGATTCATTGGTATGATCTCTCCCTATCGCCATTCTGGCTTTTTCATGCACGTGACGGTCGTGCGAGAGGAACAAAAATTGCTAACACTTTGGGGAATAGCTCAAAATCTGGGCGTACTAGACCGCAGCTTGACGACTTCACGACGGTCCCCGGGGTAGAACCCGGTCTACGGCCGCTTTGCGTTCTCGATTGCTTTCATGGCTCTCTTAATTCACATGTGTACGCATTTTAATTCCACAAGCGAGCCGGCGCGTACAGGACGAAGTCACGAAACCCCTTCCGGACCCAACAATCCCGATCCGATGACGGCCCTAAGCCGCTGCAACGACGGCGAATCTAGTGTGCGACGTGTCAACTTGGCATCTCCCGGCGCTGGGAAGGCTGTCGGTCGGATCCGTTGGAGCATTCATACTTTTTCGCGCCCCCTTATATTACTTCTCGACTGCCATAATACCACGTCGACCTTCTATTTTTTGGCTCCGCCCTGAAATGCGGTCCAAACTACCCAGGCGTCCTCTTTTCTTCTTCTTTTTCTTTCTATTCCACAGTGGTGATGACTATCCGATGGGGAGGAGATCGGAGAGCTGAGAATTGCGAGGTGGTCATGAGCGCTGCCGACGGATTCCGACCGGCAGCGAGGCGCTTGTGACGAGGTCGGGTCGGAGCGGCGAATCGTACGCCTCGACCGTAACGCTGAAATTGTTTCCAGGAGTTGAGGAAAATTGTCATTTCCGAAATGCTCGTACGAAGGTATCTGCAGCAGCCAACAATAAACTCGATATATCATGGGTTTGTCGCTTCCTCTCAACGGGGCGTAAGAGGATGATGAGGAGAGCTTCGGGAGCACGGGACCCTCTTGCCACAGCGAAAGGGACGTTCTTGAGGCTTGTATGTGTGTGTGTGTGTGTGTGTGTGTATGTGTGGGAACAGGTTGTCCTATCCTGTCACCTTCATGTCGATATCGCAACAAAAAAAAAACTTGTGGGCTGAGGTGAGGAGGGGAAATCGTGTGGGCGTCACGTTTCTTACTGTCTATGTGTGCCTTGTAGGATGCACTTTCTTGTTTTTTTGTGGCAAAGAACGAAACACGGGAGGAAGGGAATTGGTCGCGGCATGTTCTCCTTTACATTTTCTTTGTGCTATTCCTTGACGACGGAGCCTTGGGCCGGTTCCTCTACTTTCCCTTTCTCCGTGTTTTCCTATCTCTGCTTCTTGTAGATATGGGTCGAGGGGTGGAGGTGTGGGATTTGATAATATGACGATGGGACTTGAGAGGAGGAAGGAAGAGAAGTGGGAGAAGAGTGGTGATCAGTCGGCGAAGCAGCAGAGGGGATGCAAGAAGGTGGATGAGGATAAGAAAGAAAGTACTGGTGTGGAATTTTCTTTATTTTCTTTTTATTATTATTATTTTAACGGTGGTGACGGAGGCTGCCACTAGAGATACCTCAACCATAGCCTGTTCAACTGTTTTTGTACTATATTCAACCCCTACAGAAAACGCTGTGTTCATCCATACCATCTTCAAACAAGCCCTGGTTCTCTTCCTTGCCTCCTCGTGATGGTGTTTCTCTGTAGTAGTGCTATCATCTCTCATGGCGGGCGGTTGTCATCAATGGAAAAGGAAGGGAGGGAAGGGGAAAGGGAAGAAGAAAAAAGAAGGAAAGGAAAAACCACCAATAAACGCCTCGCACGCGTCAGTGATTCGCTTACTCCATACATGCAGCCATCCAAACTGACTGGCCCCCTCCCCCGTCAGCCGCCAAAACAAAAACAAAAACACTCATGCATGCATCACTTGGACCCCTCGCGCCCGGCTAGACCGATTGGGTTGTGCTCCCCTCCTTCTTTCTTCCTCCCCATGAAGCTGAAAATTTCAAAGTCATGAGGTGTGCTTGTAGTTTCGGTGATATTATTTGGGGGTAATATATATATATATATATAATTTTTTTTTAGAACACAAAAGAAAGCAAGAATATTACCCTAGCAGTACCGTAGTATGCAGCTTATGAGGGTTGAGGCTAAGAAAGAAGAAGAAAGAAAGGGGGGGGGGGGGGGGAAAGACCCATCTCAAAGAAAGGCTGAGACTTTCGCCTGGGTGTGCACTGGGAGAGACAAGATCGACGGCAGACTATGGTTTTTTTTTCTTTCTTTTTTTCTTCTTCCTACTGTGGCCGCGCTTGGGGAGGACTTAGTGAGTGAGCTGTGCAAGCTGAGGCGTGGGCTGGAAGATGGGTGAGTATGTGTATGCGTGCGCATGCGCTGCCTTAGTTTAATGTGTGTGGAACTCGGGGGGGCTGGATTTGGTAAATGAATGTGTTTTTCTTGTCTTTTTTTACCTAGTCTTTTCCTTTTCCGAAAGGGAGGAGGAGGAGGAGGAGGAGGAGGAGGAGGAAAGTCTCACAGCGATAATATGGACGGGGGGAGGAGATCTGTGAGAAGGTCAAGAAAGGATTCATGGAAGCAATACGGCAGTATATTGCAATTCCGGTTAATTTGTAGTCAGGTTATTTTTTGAGGATTTTGATACGGGACTTGTGGGCTGATGTATGTTCCTTGCCTTGGAGCCAGGTCGCACAGCAGGACAACCGCCACAGACGCCCAAACATTTCTCCTGCTCGAAAGGGGGGAAAAAAATCATCGCCTTCATGTAAAACACATCCACATATGCAGACAAGACAAAGAAATATATTGAAGACGGCCTACCTTGAGAGAGGGGAAGGCTTGGAGGGTGTCCTGTCTCCTTCACACAACATGCGATCCTAGGACAGCGGGGGAAGTGAGGGACACGAGGATTTGCTGTCGAGCATTACACCTCTCACCCCTCTCCTGTTTTTTCTGAGAGAGGAAGGGAAAGGAAAAGAAGGGAGAAGAAGATTTGGGCTCCCTTAAGACCTCAAACATCGTGAAAGGGCCCCGGCACCGTAGGGAGACGACGAGGTCCATGTATATAAGGACCCAAACAGCCAAGTGGCAGCAGACATGTCTAAAATATTGGGTTACACGACCAGTGCGGGCTAGCATACGGAAACAAAAGTACGTAGCCACCTAAAACAGGTGACAAAGTGTTATTACTGTACCACCTTTGGACCACGGTCTTCCCTCCTTTCTTTTCCTCCTCATATTCCCTCCTCGGCATGATATACACGACATCACCTGGATGTCTTTTTCTCACTATTCCCCAACCCAACCCCCCCCCCCCCCCAGGTTTCCATTGTGTGACCGTTTCTCAGTCGCAGAGATGGTAGGTTGTGCAGGCCGACCTGTGATGTGTGTTTTTCCGCGAGGGGGAGGATGATACTGGTGGGCACTGAGAGATCGTGTGTCATGTCTGATCTTGTGCAGGGAAAGGTGTGAAATGTACGGGTAGAACGGGCGATGGTGGAAAAGGACACACAGAGGAGACGTCTCGAGAGCATAAGGCGCCGAGAGGAGAGAGGTCGGGGCGGGGACAGGTTCCCATCTCGGGACCACAAAGAATCTTGGTTTCATGGTGGTATTGCTTGCTTGCACTCATATCAAGACGATCTTGACATGACCCCGCCTACCGAATATGACTCGATATCAAGATCTGCCATGAGGGAGTCTTCGAATCAGAAAGAGAGCAGGCTTTGAAGATTAAGAACCGAAGTATGTTCATCCAGGACGTGCCAACTAGACCCGCCCCTCGTCTGGGACCAGAGTTCGAGCGATCTTCGAGGTTACCCCCTCCTCTTGCCAACACAAAACATCAAGACGGAACCTGCGTTCTGGTCTCAATGACAAGGGAAAGAACCAATCCGCCCCAGAGTTGGAACTCTCAAAATTGTGGCAAGCTCACGCGGTGGGACTATGGCGATCGTCTGGGCTAAATGAAGTGGTCTGTCTTGACGAGGTGGGGACTTCCACCACCAACGAGAGATAGCCCGACATCTATTTAGAGGGAGAGGGTCGTCGCGAAGTCCTCAGGTTGATTAGGACCGTGAATCGAGGCAACAAGTAGGTATAGCTGTTGCTCATCTGTCATTGAGTGATGTGACAACTTCTTTTTCTTCCACTGTCTGATTCCGTCTGTCAGCCATATGGTATGTATGTCTTCGTCCCTCTGTCCTTCAGGTGCTGATGGACGATCAGTTCGCCCTTGTCTACCTCGCCTTTGGGACTCACTCCTGATGTAGATGGCTACGTCTGCCCTTTGATTTGTTCGTGTTGTATCGACGGCGAGCACACAATACTGTACTGGGTTTGGGCGGTCGCGCATTGGTAGCCTCGAGTGAGTACGATGAGGAACATCAACGTAGGAGCTATGCTCGAATCCAGCTTTTGGTGATCAACCTGTCCCTCGATACAACGGAATTAGACACAACGCTGATCTTCCCTCGCCTTCCGTGAGGATCCCCTTCAGTCAAGAGGATCTAGTCGCATAAATGGCTCCTTCACCCAGTCTGGCAAGGTTACCAAGGGCCAATGTTGTAAGATGCCTGATATCCAACGGACGAAAAAAGAAACATCCGTCTCGATCTCTTGAAAGGCTCGGAAAAGGCCCAACAGACGAACACAGTCACTCACCCAGGCTTACTACCACGGGCGCAGAACCCAAGTCTCTCCCGCCACTGTCTCTCGCAGCCAACAGCACAACGTCTTACACCCCCTTCGGACTCCGCAACCTCAACGCACCCTCTACGAGCAGGCACTTGCCCACAATCAGCTAACATGATAGGTTGGAGATGACGAATGCAGGTATGAACAATCCGTCATGAACCCCCCCGAACCCCCCCCACTTCTTCCGGCTTCTTTCTATTTGGCGGCCGCACATTCAGACCGCTTGTTGGTACGTGGCGACTGACCTCGAAATGAAGCGAGTTGGTGTGGCTGGGGAGCGGACGATTGCCGCGACTGCGCACGAGACCATTTGTCAGGGTTTCCATACCAGGTGACTTTCATCCGAATTTCAATTTTGAGTGTGGGTGTGCATTATGTGCTTGAGATGGGAAACTTCTGGGGTGTTTTCGAGTCTCGCACCTTGCCCAAGGCTAGGAGGCACCTGGACGCGCTCCATAAACCGTGCGGGCGCACGAAAATCAATGTGAAACAAGAGAATGAGTCGCGGTCATTGTCCGAGCTTCTGCCAACACTCGTCAAATCAATGGACAAGACGAGAAAGGGCCTTCGTCATTGAATGATGATGCCTCAAGGCACGTGGGCATTGCGCGTGGATGTTGAAACAACTTGTGAAAAACTTTGGAAACATGTCTTCCCCTCTCCCCAGCCTAGTACGGGGATTGTTTCGTCTGTTGCGCCAATGTCCTCAACTAAAAGCTACGCATAAACACTCCCAGGCCGCCCTACAAGCTGCAGGGGCCCGCTCATGCAAAGCAGGAGGGCTAGTTGTACAACCTTCACTTGAAGATTGTATCCACGATGAACAGCAGCACCCGTCTCTGCCGAGAAATGACCCTGCCGGTCGGAGAATATTGAATAAGATTGTGAAACTACACAACAAGTCTCCGACATCAGGTCCAATGCTGAGATGGCCTTGCTCTTGTGAGGTCAGGCCCCAGGTTGGGGTTCCCCAGGCCATCAGCCAGCCAGCTCTCTGCTGCCTTTTCATCCGCTGGACAAGAGAGATATCGCATTCTGAAATTGCCCGAGGCGGGGCTGTGACGTAGGAATGTCCGTACAGGACTTCCATGACACCAGGCGCTCAGATGATTGCCGGGAAAATGAGCAATCCTACCTGTATCTCGGTTGTCGTCAAGATGTGAACAATACATTGGGGGTTGGGTCTGTATAGTAAGTGACACCGGTTGGTGAGCAAGGCAGCCAGGTCAGACAAGGTCCCTGGCTTCCTTCGCCCAAGGATCTGGACCCAGAACTCCTTCAACCTGGGGCTCATGACTCCGTGAAACAGACAACAGGGTCAGCAAGTAGGCAAGAGAAAATGCCATGCATGGTTGGGAAGTGTTCTGTCAGCTGTACAATCGCGCCACCAGCTGAATCTTCCGGAAAAGGGAATCGGATGATGACACATGCCACAACAGCACCGCGCAACTGTTCAGCCCTATTGGGCTGCACTCGAATCCAGTAGCCAGGAGAACATCTATTTGAGCAGAGGGACTGACTGGAGGATGCACTATCAGTCAGCCCATGCAGTGTGAGCATCTTTCCAGAATCAGGTTGTTCTGAGGGCGCTTTCAGCCGGCAGGACGAGATATCCGCGACGCTCTCGCCCATCTTGTGTCCCAAGACCACTTGATAATGCTCCCGAGGGTTCACGTGCGGAATGTTCATGGTTGGCAAATGCCCTGGACATACTCTCAGCTTGCATGACGTCTCGAGCGGAGACTACATCTCGGTTCCCAGCTGCAGCACTGCCAATAAATGGGCCAGGACAACGGGTGGTGGCGGGAAATAGCGGGACTCGGCGCTTGACCTCGAAAGCGACGATGGTTGCGAGGCCCATGAGGCAGTCAGCGAAAGAAGGAAGAAGGAGAAGAAGAACCCCCCCCCCTCCATTAAAATACGCCTGACAAGCGATTGGAGACCAGCATACCAAACACAAGAGTCAATACGTAGCCCGTAACCAGAGGGGCGCAACCGACAGGCAAGTAAGGGATAGATGGAACGGGAACGACGTGGTTGCTTTGGTACCGAGGTCACGATAGAAGAAGCAGATCAAGCATGTACCAGAGTAGTGCCGTAGTAGAATGAAGGTTCGTCGGGATCTATTTTTGTGTGACTGCCCTCGAGCATGTCCGAGCTAGCATTGTCCTCTTTTGCCCTTAGGGAAGGCGTCAGCGCAAAGGGCGACGTAGATCGACCGGGGGTGACCCATGCGCAACGCTGGCAGGGATGATATATGTATGGACAGGGGTACAGGGGTAGTTTGGGTGGCAATCCCAGTCAACCACGAGGACTGGAATTTTTGTTCTCGAAGGCCGTAAGAAGGAAGAAGGTAGGAAGGGAAAATGTACTATAGTAAGAGATGCAACAGGATGTGTGTGAGAGAGAATAGGGTGTAAAGAGACAAAAATGACGGTCAGCCAGATCTGAGCTGTACTATAGACCGTCTTACGCACGCATCTGTCGTGCATAGTTCATACGGAGCAAGATCTGTACTACCCTTAGGCTGTCCACTGTCATGCAGTGCCGTACGGGATGCAACACTGGACACGCCCTCCTAGGCCTAGGGAAAAGACGAACAATGGGAAGGAAGAACAAGAAAATAACAAGCGATCAATTTGGATCTTGATCCTTCTATCATGACCGGATGTGTATCCACTTCTCTGCCTTCTACCTACGCCAGGATCTGACCTCCTGCGATCGACAAACCCAGGCATCGATTTCCTGCCCAAAAGCTGCTATTAGAGTCACAGTGCTACTGCATATCCTCTCGACAAACGAGACACCACCTGGTCCGATGCCGTGTACCTATAATGAACCTTAAAACTAATTTGGTAGTACTATGCCATGACATTTTGTGCATGATCAACGGTCTGCCCGTCAAGATGAGCCAGGCGTATCTTGCTCGCATGATGGTTCTGGATGGTCGCCATTTGCCCCTATTCACCGCCCTGGTCCAGGCAATGAACAAAAAGTGCGGTACTACAACAGTAGGTATATTTTTACACCCGTATTATGGACCACAGTCATATTATGCCCACGTGGACTGACGCTTGCGCCACATAAGCCCAAGAGGAAAAGTAGGTAAGACAGAAGGAAAGGAAGGGGGAGAAAGAACAGATAAGAAGAAGAAGAAAGGTCTAGTCAGAGCCACGCAGTGGACCTGAAACACCTTGACACAGCGCAGGACTGACAGGGGGTGCTAGCCTCGCCGCTTCCCGACGCCCTACCTTTTCTCGTTTCCCCACAACAGCAGAGAAAAAGCCCACACCGCATTCTCCGTGCCCGCACCGCGAACCCAGCAGCCCAGGCCAACCGCCCAGGCAGCCCTGTCTTTGCCCTGCCACACCTAACACGGCTGTAGCACACCACACACCACGCCACGCCTTGCCCAGTGCAGCCCATCTCGCTCTCCCTCCTCTCGTGTTTCGTTACGCCGTAGAACAGCACAAGGCTTCATCCTCCCTCGACCACAACAACACGCACGGATTACCCGATCTCTGATGCATGTATGACCACCCTCCTCTCTCTCTCTCTCTCCTCTTCCCCAGTTCCGGCCCAACCAGAGCAGCCGACTCCCGGCATACCTCGTGACAATCTCTCCTAGCATCTGACACGGGATCCATCCTGACGAGCAAGACTGTTCCCTGCGTCCAGCCACAGCAACAGGCCATCCACAAGGTACTTTAAGATCCTAATTGGGTTCAGACCCTTGCCCCAGCGCCCCGATACCTCTGCCCTGTTGCTGGCCGGCTATAGTACTTACGCGTGCGTGGACCGCAGTACCTTCGACGCAACCGTGGTTCCGCTCCGCTTTCTCAAAACAACACCCATCCCTCCTGGAAACAGAGCCTGCCAACCCTTGCCCGACACACCTGACCACCCCCGACCTGCCGGACTACGCACACACAAGCACACACACACACGCACACACACACACATACAACCAGACCACCTCTATTAATACGTCGCCATCGCCTTGCACTCGCCCCCCGAACCCTTCCTGCTCCCCTTTCTTGCCCATCATGTCTAAGACTGCCGCCCAGGAAGAATTTGACGACTTCCTTGCTAAGAATAGTGCCGACCCAGACGACAACGTCCACCCTGAGGACAGAGAAGACGCCGCCTACGAGCGAGAGCTACACGCCAGAGACAACAGTGACGACGAGGAGGAACAGTACCGTGCCTCAAAGATCGACGCCGCCATGCGTATGCCAGGAAATGACCGCCCGGTGCAGCTGCCGCCCGCCAGCTTCGATGCGGGGCGCGCGACGGGCGTAAAGGGTGTTATTGCCGACGCGCGCAGCTTCGAGAAGGCCAAGAAGTCCTCCAAATGGGGCGAGAAGATGCGCAACGCCAGGAGGAGCGTCATCGGCCTGACCTCCATGAAGATGACCAGCGACTCCAAGAGCAGTGACTCTGAAGAGCACAGCGGCGATGAGGACGAGGAGCAATTCCTTCGGCAGTGGCGCGAGTCCAGACGGCGCGAGCTCGAGGCTGAGGACCGCTCGAGGGTGCGGAACCGGAGGACCAGCCCCAGCTCTCGGAACTATGGTCGCTTCGAGAAGGTTGACGCCATGGGCTACCTGGATGCTATCGAGAAGGTGTCCAGAGACACCACCGTCGTCGTCTTCGTCTACGACCCAGAGGTATGTGTCTCCCTTTTCTAGACCACCACCAACGCACATGCTGACCGCCGTTGTAGTCTGAGGTCTGCTCCCTGATCGAGTCTGCACTGGGACCACTGGTCTCGCAGAACCCAAACACGCGCTTTGTCAAGGTTCACTACGAGGAAATCGAATTTGACAGCGCCGGTGTTCCCGCCGTGCTCGCATACCGCAACCAGGGCGACCTGTTTGCCAACCTGACGGCCTTGATCGACATGATTCCTGAGGATGATGACTTCGATACCAGCTCGCTCAAGAAGCTGTTTCTGCGCCACGGCATCATCTGAGCGCGAGCTTGCCGAGGGAGGAAACACGGCGCTACTCTGGCGCTGACCTCGACTATAACTACTCAACTACCACATCACACCACTATCCTCTCTCCCTTCTCCGCGCTTCCGCATCCTCGGGTGAGATAGCCCGCATCTTGGACGCGGAGGGACATAAGAGGTATTCCGATGTCGGGTGCCGGCCCGGGTCGCCCTCAACAACCACAACAACAAGGACAAGGACAACGACTCGAGATAGGCCCCTACTCGCTCTTCACCTGATCTACTCTCATGTATGATTACGATGAATTGAATGAACGCGGCGCTACCTGACCCAGATCAATCCTCATGGGTCGTTTCACGCGAGGGGTTGGCCGTGGTGGCCAGATAGCGCGTTGATGATCATCGTGTATCTGTTGACGCTCAGCTCCGCGTGACTGAGAGCGTTGGCATGACAAGAGGATATAATGACAGCAGGCTATGATTGGTGGTTACTGATGAATCCTGGGTCCAGGAGTGCGGGAGCTGTCTGGCTGGCTGGCTGACGAAAGTATGGTCGACCTGGTTCTGCGGACGGTTTGGGGAAGGCTCGCTGGAATAGGACTATACGAGACTTCAGGGCGTTCACGGAATGATACATAGACTCCAAAGACATAAGAAGATACCCATCACCGAGACGGTATAACAATACAGACTATCAAGTTTTGCAGCCTCAACGACTCGGATCACACATAGGAGTCCACTACATGACCTCATTTTGGAGATGGGATGTGACTTGGCGAAAAAAAGGGGAAGAGAATTAAAAAGGAAGAAGAAGAGAAAAGAACACCGCGTATATATCGTCGTGCGTAGTGTAGCCCTGGCAGTAAGTCTTTTCTTGACCGACATGTGCAAGCGTGCGCGTATCTGCCGGCTTGACACACCCTCCTCCAACCCTCCTCCTTCTCGGCCTAGGTTTAAGCATGGTTGTAAGTGCCGCTTGACCATCTGTTGTGGTGGTCCCAAAGTGTCCTCATCATTCATTCCCCTCCGGCACCGTGGCCAGAGCGATTCGTCGATACGGCGGCCCACAGGGCTGACGATAAGACGTGGGGTAATGAGGCCTAGGTGGGGACCTGTCAGTCTCCCGCCTAAACCCCACTATATCGCGACTTGATCACCTTTAACAGAGCGAGCACCTTTGTTCTCTGGCCGCGGCTGAGCTTGACCGTCATAACCTAGCGCAGGTGCCGGTGTTGTCGGGCTCGACCACGTAGAGAGGATCGGCGAGAATGGTAACATCGAGGGGGTTGAGGACGCCCTAGCTGACTTGGGAGTGGTGGTGGTGGTCCAGGTTGTCAGTGAATAACTTATCAAGGCTCTGGCGTTTTAAGGCACATGCCAGCTGTTTAATGGGGCTCCTGCAGTCAATTAAACCCCTAGTTCCAGGGTACTTGCGAACCCTTTACAGTCTCCTAGGCCAGGGAAGGAGGGGTCACATACGTAGTAACATGTAAGCCTGATAGAGCGTTCACCCACTGGTTAGGGCGCCTGCCTGGACAGATCGACAGGCTTTTTTGCACTCTGCCCAGTGGTTGCTCATAGCTGGTTCGCATTTGGTTCGCCCTTTCATTCTATCCTAATAGGCTTCCCCATCCCCCCTCCCAGCCTGGTCCTCAACCTGACACTTGACCTGACTTCATAATCCCAACCCGCCTGATCCGCCCCTCCGAAATCGTTCCCCACTCTCGACACCCTTAAGGATCGCAGTGGTCCACCGTCTTTTGACAACTCACAGCAGCAGCAGCGGCAGCAGCAGCAACGACGACAACAACAACAAACAATCACCGTCCCCCGCTTGAGGAAGCAGAGTGTGCTTTACCTTCTCATCTAGACAAGACGACCAACACGGCCGAACAAGCCGTAAACCATTCACCAAGCCCTTAATTGACTTGCTCCATATTCCCCTTGAAATAGGCTGGGCTGCCAGCTGGTCCATGGTTTCCCCACCTGATCCTGTCGAACAAGGCAGCTTCAACCTCGGGGACGCCAGGCAGCATCCCTATTCACAACAAGGCGAACAGGGCAACCGGTTTCCGGGCAGAATCTCAGCAACTGAACAATACCACCCACCTGTCAGTTGATAGATGATTTCCCTTCTTCCTCTTTCTTTTTGTGCTCCTGACATCGAGATTGTCGTTCTATCAACCAAGCACTAGCCCCCAAGTCTTTCGAGGTTGCTCCTCCGTGGGCTGCTCTTGGTCGAGCTCCCTCCTCCCTCCCTCCTTGTTCCATCTTAGCTCAGCACCTACCATCCCCCTCCTCTTTCAGTGCCCCTCACCCCACCAACGCCACAGTCCGCCTCACTTCTACCTCAGATACCTCTCGTATCAACGTCTAAAAAGAAATACGTTTTGGTTTCCAAGTCGTCCTTTCACTGTCCCTTCCTGACTTGTCTGAACCTTATCCTTTGAACATCTCAAGTCATCGAGGTATGACGTGGATCTGGCGAGGCTGACATCTTCCCTTGCGTGATGGAACGACAGCCTGACTGTCAGAACCCCCGAGACAAGCAATCCAGCTCTCCTACTGCTGAAGAACGCCCGACACGGTCGAGATCTGACGACTCGGTCTCGAGCTCTGTTCCAACCTTACGATTTCCACGCCCACAAGGTAGTCAACAACTTGCCATCTGGGTATCGTCCAGTTCGCCTGACATCATGGCGTCCCGACCTCGTTCTCAGGACTTGTCCGAGAATGGCCTGTCCGAGTCTTCCTTCGAGTTCATCCCTCGAGAGCTTGAGGAGACCAGCAGCCAGGACGAACGAGCAGATTCCATGTCCGAGTCTCTCTCTGAGTTCGAGCGGTATCCCAACCCGGAGGAGGTCCAGGCGTTCCATGGCCTGGATGACATGAGCGTCAGTGCCGCCAGCACCTTGGCCACGGATTCCGAGTCTGAGTCCGAGGCCGATTTTGAGCCTGAGCATGAAGCGGAGCAGGAAAGCGAGAAAGAGGGCGACGGAGATGGTGATGACGAAGCCCGTTCTGAGCGGTCTTTTTCTCCTTACGAGCGTCCAGACGCAGATGAAATTCTGCGGAGCTCCCTCGACCAAGCCAGACCGTTCGCCCCGGCCTCGAGCACGACCATCCATACCGGGTCCATCGAGTTTACCGAGCCGGACGATGCTGACGTTCACATCGACAAGATCTCCGTCAAGCACACAATTCGGGAGTTTAGTGAAGAGGAGGCCGCTGGGTTCTTTGAGAAGGCAGGTTTGGGCCATGCACCGAACCGCCTGTCTGCCACCATCAGGCAGAGCATGTCCCAGGACTGCCTCTCTACCCACGAGGTCTTCCACGTCCTTTATGTTGGCGACGCGGTTTTGCAGGGCGAAATAATACTCAAGATCTCTCGTGCTATCACTTGTTCTTCCTCAGGCGACTACAATGCGAACAAGATGCTAGAGCTAAGTACTGAGGGTGTCTACAACATCGTGCCTGTCACTTTTGGAGCTGTCAAGGATCGCCATGTCGAGCTCATGCAGGCGTCTGCTTTTCAGATCAAGGTGGATACCTGCATTGACGCCGAGAGGATACCCATCGACTCGAGCTACTTCACTGACGATATCATCTACTCTCTGACGCTCGATAGCGGAAACGGCGGTAAGAAATACAAGTCCGTCCCGGCTGGTGGTCCCGAGGGAGCTCGTGTCCAACCTGCGTGGACTCTGCCTCATATCGCTGTGTTCTTCTGCTCCGATGCTGAGCACGAAACCGATGAGTCGCTGCGAGTTCTGCGTACAACGTTGGAATTTTGTCGTCGCCATGCGATTCCCACTCTTTTCATCTCTGAAACCTCGGTTTTCGACGACCGTAACGGCCCAGACCCGAGCCGCTGGCTCAACTGCATGCATGAGCATGCCGTCTGCATCTCGCTCGAGTCGAGAGACTCAAAGACCGAGCTGCGGTTCCCTATCGATGTGAACTCTTTCCTCGACATTGACAACCGCCAGATGAATCAGAATCTCGCCTTTTTGACCGGTCTTCAGGAATCAGCCTCAGGGGCTGCTGAAAAGACGAGAAAAGATATTTCATGGGCCAGCAGTGAGAGAGAGCCCTCTGGTGGAAACTGCAAGGGTTGGAAGGCTTCACTCCGAGAGACCGCGGATGACTTCCTGGAGCGATGGGACCGCGACCACTGTTACCGGTGGTCCGTTGTTATGTTGGGCTTACTGGCTGCTTTGATGACTTACGTGGAAATCATCGCGCCTTGTTTTACTCCACTTTCCGCTTCTTCCGACTCGACTCGCGTCCCAGAGGCTGTGAGTGGTCAAGCACCGGCGGCCACTGCGACTATTACCATCAATCACACTTCAACAAAGACGGTCAGGATTGCGGAGACACCCTCGTTCGGGGGCCTGCTCTCTGACATTGCTCATACGGTGAGCTCAGAGGGGCCCAGGCGCACGGTGTGCTCCGTACAGCCGTACAGCAGCAACGAGATCCTCCTCAAGCTTTCTTCTGGGACGAAAGAGGCCTGGCTGGCCAGGGGAGCAATCGATATTGATGTCTTCCGTGGTGACACCGCCATACAGACAAAGTTGTCAAGCACTGATGAGGGTCTCATCATTGAGATACCTTATGAGGAGGCGCATGGCGTAGTCAACGTATCCATCGTCACCACACGAAAGCCTAAGATCAACGAGACTTTTGCCGTCGATTTCGGCCCTGACTATTTTGATGATATCTACAAGGCTATCAGATCCGCTCAGACCGTCCTTCACCACGTAGCCCAGAAGGCGGGCGATGCTGCCGACGGTGTGTACAAAACGGTGGAGGAGAGCTATGCCGCCGTCCTTGCCTCGGCCGACGCGCCAATTATCGACAAGGCTGCCTCTTGGTGGGACTCAATGAAGAATACCGGCAAATCTGCACAGGATATTTGGTCAAAGAAGGCTGAAGAAACGTACGATTGGATGAGAGACTCGATCCGCTCAGACGATGCCGTCACATTCTTGAAAGATGTCCAGCAAATGGCCAAGGATCGTCACCGCCACGTCGAAGATTTCCGTGATGAGAGCGAGCTCGCCCTCATCAAGGCTCAGATCGCCTCCAAGCTTTGGTGGCTGAAAATCCAGGGCCAGACAGAGCAGCACGAGGCATACGAGCGCGAGGCTCGCAAGTTCATGTCGAAAAAGCACTCGGAGTTTGCCAAGGCCAAGAAGGCACGGGAGACCCAGACTGAGGCTGCCAAATGTGCTCGTGCTGGCAGCTGTAAAGACAAGGGAAGATGGTCGATCTAGTAGGTCGTCCCTGACAACGTCTTTTGATGTGCTGTTTGGTTGAGCCTGCTGCCTTCACCCTCCGACGACGACAAAGGGATAGCATATAACGGTGATAATGCTCTACGATGGAAGGAAATTGGCGTCCCCGGCGTGCTTTGATATTCTGTTTCACTCGCACGTTTACTTTATGTGTTTTCAATTGATATCGGCGCACTACTACACCATTCCCTTCTGCTTTTTTAACATCCCCCCCCCCCGCATGTACAGTCACGACACGCCAGACAGCGTCGCCACCATATTCTTGTGGCACAGGAGTGAGACGGCCAGGGAGGTTTTTTGTCTTTCCTATTTTGAACGTTTGTTACTTGTGCTGGAGAACCGCGAAAGTGGTTCACCAGACGCAAAGTCATGGTTCGCCCAGATGGGGAGGGAAATGGTTGGGATACTGCTGGTTGGTGTTTGCACCTGCTTTAGTTGATGAATTTAACACTGATATGCATTGCAATACCTTGGACTTGTGCGAATTTTGAGTGCTGCTGTGTCTATGTGTACAACATGTTATGGTCCGTAAATGCTCAGGCACGTGTCATGGTCATGATTACGCCCCCCCCCCCCCCGGCTGTGTGGGCCCTGGCGAATTCGCACAATGGTGGTCTGTGCGTTGGCTGCCACTAGACCCACCCTGACTGCCTAACTTCCAGGCTCTGACTGATGAGGGGCAATGTTGTTGGTGGGTAGTTTGTCGACCTGCCTCTTCTCCTGACACGAGAAACTACCAAAACTTGTTGATACCCAAGTCTTCTTTGTTCTTGGTTCGCAGTCGAAGACAGATCCCCGTTCACCACCAGGTAAGCTTCGGTTCCCCCTTGCAGCCCTTGCTTCCTTGGAACCGTTTCACTTTTCCATGCGTCAACTTTCCAGAAGGCTTGTTATCTGCCGCGTTCCAGTCACCCCGCTAACGTAATTTTGGCCTTGTTTTTCCCCAGGGTCCTTGCGAAGCGTCATCAGATCGCATCTCTTCCAACAACTTCTTCTTTCACCCCCCACCAAAACCCCTCCATATACCTGTCGTCACCATGTCTTCTGCCGAGAACGTCGAGAAGCCCGTCGAGGAGACCAAGCCTGAGGTACGTTGGAGCTGCGTTTGGAAGCTGTGGTTGTGGGCCTTGTGCTGGTTTTGTCTGGCCTCACCTTGTTTGCCTGCTGGCCGAGCTTAATGGTTTTGTTACTACTAAGAGGCAAGGATACCAAGCCATGCAAGCAAGCAAGCAGTCAGCGCCAGACATTTTTGAAAGCTTCTGTTGTGGCCTGGCCTGGACGAGGAAGAGATAACACATTGCTGACTCTGGTTCGACTATCTTCTAGGGCACTGCCCCCGTCACCTCGTCCGCCGTCTTTTCCATGTTCGGCGGTGGCGCGAAGAAGGAGAAGAAGGACGAAGACGATGACCGTGGCGATAACTCCGGCAGTGCCAAGGCACAGCGCGATGCTGCCGCCGCTGCTAAGGAGGGTGATGAGGTCAGTTGGAACGCCCTTCCCCCAAATGAACGAGTTCATTTGTGTTGCAATGGCACGCGCCACAACGCCAACCTGTCTCATTTATCGGGACGTCGTTGCTGACAGTTCTCATCTCCCTGCAGGAGGACGCTCCCGAGTCCGAGGACGTGCACTTCGAGCCTGTGATCCGCCTGACCGAGAAGGTTGAGACCAAGACCAACGAGGAGTCCGAGGAGCAGCTCTTCAAGATGCGTGCCAAGCTCTTCGTCTTCAAGAAGGACACCCAGGAGTGGAAGGAGCGTGGTACCGGCGATGTCCGTCTGCTCAAGCACAAGGAGAACGGCAAGACCCGCCTGGTCATGCGTCGCGACAAGACCCTCAAGGTCTGCGCCAACCACTACAGTATGTACATATGGCTGCCGGAGCTCCAATCGGGGAGATGGTCTTTGAGATAGCGGGGCTGACAGTTGTGATATAGTCGTGCCCGAGATGAAGTTGTCCCCGAATGTCGGCTCTGACCGGTCCTGGGTGTGGAACGCTGCTGCCGATGTCAGCGAGGGCGAGCCCGAGGCTTGCACTCTGGCCATCCGCTTCGCCAACTCCGAAAGTAAGTATCCCGCCCCACAGCCATACTTCTGATTATCCGTGCTAATTGGTCTCCAGATGCCAACCTCTTCAAGGATGCTTTCATCAAGGCGCAAAAGGACAACGAGCAGCTCTTCAACGCCAGCTCTGCTGCCGAGACCGAGGAGAAGAAGGTTGAGGAGAAGGAGGCTGAGGCTGCTTAAAGAAAATTGGGACATTTTGTCTTCGCTCCCCAATGCGCGCTGAGACTTTCTCCAGATGCAGTGACAAGCTCATCATGGAAACCTGCCCTTCATCCACATACAATATCCACACTACCTATCGCGATCATTCCGACACAGCACACCAAAAAATCCCTTCAAGATTCCCCCAACACAACAACCTACCCCCCCCCCCTTCTTTTTAGATAGTCCTTCACCAAAGACAGATGGATTGAAAAGGATGGATATGCCCGCCCACTTTGATCTGCGAGATGCACTAGTAGTTTCTCTACGGATCTGGAGCCGTCGAGTGACGGCTCCTCTACCTGCCTACACTTGGACCGGTCAAGTTCGGTAACTCCCTGCCGGTTGTCACTACTGACCGCAACTCAAGAAACTGCCGAGCGAGATGTTCGGTTTGGTTCGTGTAGTCAGGTCAAATAAAATGGCAGGATGGGCGAGGGAAACCATAGAGAAGAAGAAAGAGCACACCGATTATATGCGATCATGATACATGGAAAGCCAGGCCCCAAAACACCCGCATGTATATATCTGGATCTGTGTTGTGTGTGCCAGTCTGTCTGTCTGATACCGTCATGGCAGCGCTGCTTAGATGATTGTTTCTCGTAGATAGTTCAACGCCCGGTAGTGGTTGTGTTCCCCTCCCCTCTCTTATGGCTGACTCTGGTGATTGATGTATCGTATTTGCAAAGAATTATGTGGAAGATCTCAACCGTCCGTCAAGCGTGGAGGGACTTGCTTCACAGAGGTTTTGGGCCATTTCTGCGAGTGCCGTTGGATGCTGGCTGACGACTTGAGTATCTTGCTTTTGGCACGAGAGTTCCTGGACTGCTATGTGTATGTCATCTCCTGAGACCTATGTGATCGAGTGGTTCTTGAGGTGAGAAGGGTACAAGGAGGGGAAACGTAGGACGAGAAAGTCGCGCCAACGACCACGTCTTATACCGTACAATGACCATCGGTCCGAGGTCAGGAGTATAATTTTGAGGTGTAACAGCGTAAAACCTGGAAGAGAATGTAGACTTCAAGACTCTTTAGACATATGTGATATGCGTTGTATAACACTTCTTCGCAAAGTGCTTAAGAGCTGATTAAATAGCTTTGTTCGAAAGCAGTAGTCAGCTGGAGCTGAGATCAACCATTGAGATTGTATGATAGTTTTTATGATATGAACATCATGGCATGTGAACCAGTTTTCACAAAGGAAAAATCCACAGGTCAAACAGAGAATAAGAAAATGTGCAGGTCATTATTCTGCCCAGCTAGAAAGTTCGACTCACTGGTTTCATCAGCTGCAATATCCGCACCAAGGACAGAGAACTTCCATCATAGGAGCCAGATCCCTTAATGGAGCAGCCAGAAGCTTCGACTAAGTAGCTAGAAGTTTCGTGAAGAAAAGAGAATAGTGTAATACCAACTGGAGAGAAGCTGTCCATGATAAATATTGCATCACATCTCCCCTCTCTCTTTATACACATCTTTCATTTGAGTCAAACCTTGAGAGCCCTGGAGGTATCTCACCAATAGTGGCGGCTGGCCGGCACCTGTGGCTGGACCACAAAGCATTTGAGGCTATCGTGACCTTGGGATTTGCTGAGGTCGTCCTGCCTGTTGACGACAGGACTTTCTGTTCCTGATGAATAGGATTTGGGTTCAAAGAGATAGCTGGCCTAGTAAGTCGTCTGCTTTTTGTTACTGCGACAACCTCACCAGTGCTTGTGGTCAAGGCCAAGGTTATCACATGTATACCAACAATCTCTCAGCGCCACACACCACTGCCACACATCTTCTACCCCCGCACTACACTAATTCACACTGCACCGCCACATCTGCACTGCCACACGCTAATAATCATCACTACCCATCAGCTCAGCCCAGCCACCATGGATGAGCAGGAGGATCCCAATTGGGGCGTTCCCGAGCTATGGTTCTGTGACAAGCAGAACAAGACCTCGATCCGGCTGGCAACCAATCCACGCGTACGTTATGATGACCGTTCTGAGCCAGCTCACCAATATCAACGTGTCAAAAGACTAACAATCTACCGTTTGTAGCGTGAATATCCCATTTACGACCCCGATTACCTGCCTCAAGACAACGCCAAGTACATCTGGGGCGTCAACACTAGCAACCTCCTCGAGACGCAGACAACGTGGTGGGTCAGCGCGACACAGTACTTCAGCTACAGCTGCCCGCGCTACCACTCCCCCGGCTGCCACCATCTTGCGCACCTCTACTCGGGTATTTTGATTGCCCAGTTCAACGAGCTGCCCAAGTTCTACCTTGACGGGGTCGCATATAGCGTGCGGGACCTGAACATTGGCACGTGGGAGGAGCTCCAACGACGCATCTACGGCACCAACCTGGGTCCAGTCGTGCCCGAGATCAAGCGGACGTCCCTGGACTACCACGATACCGACAGCGAGTCTACCTTGTCTACAAGCCGCGAGCAGGAGGAGCCCACCACCGCCCACAACAACGAGAACGGCTCTGCCACCGGCGTCATTGTCCCCATCGTCACAGTGTCCAGCAGTGCAGAGCAGGAGGAGCAACAGGCCGCAGCGTACAAGGGCCCACGAGTTCGACGCCGAGGCCACCGCCGTGTCCAATCTGATACGACCTGGAAGTATAACATCTACTGGCTAGGCTGGCCCGTTGACTCTTCTCGTCACCGGTGGAGCTCGTCCTGCCATCTCCCCCGCGACGGTCCTCCTTAAAAGAGGAGGTGAAGGCTGCCGGGATAGGGCAGCAGGGAGAGATATCAATCTCTCTTGTGTCAAGATTACTATTGTACTATTATTGATTTTTCAACTGGGAAGATTGCAGTCAAGATGATGGTCGAGGTGAGTAGTTACCAAGGTTGGCGGTTGCCTTTGTCCTGCCCTCCCTTCTTTCACGGTAACCAGCCCTGTCTTGTGTGTGGCATAAAGTGCTGTGCTGGGCCAATGGCAGAGTTGGCCTGGAAAGTTTCATGGTCAACTTTTGCATGTGTCAGTATGGGATTGTCACAATCCTTTGGACGCCCCCAGTGTGGAAGCTTTGAGTGTGAATGAACCCTTGGGCCTTCACCTGCCTCCCCCCATCCCCAAAACAACAACAAACACGCACCAGACACCAAGGCACCTTCACCTTCCTTTGGAGGCCTGCCCACCACTGCTTTCAGACACGAGACATTGCCTGTTTGTTTTCCAAAATCTGAGCTGCCTGCTTCCTTTCGTTCCCCAACCTATCTCTCAAGCCAGCTTTAAGGCACATTATTCAACCTCCCTTGGTCAAAAGCCTCGCGACCACAACAGAAACCTGTTGCGCTCTTCCCTTTCTTCCCTTTACCAACTCACTCTGCTCTTGCCCATCGCGCCTTCACCACTCTGCAAATATGGCTCCTCGTTCTGCTAGAGGCCGCAATCCACGTAGCACGCGCCAGACACGTGGCCGCGCCTCCCCTCCCCCTTCCATTTTCGGCAGACGCGGTCATTTCGACCGTGCTGAGGCCCCTGGTCCTAACGATACGCAGAGAACGATCAAGCTCGTCACCGAGCAGCACATCATGTACGTCCACACGTCAAGGCCACGCCTGGAGCAGCGCATGCCTGCGCTCCCGGTACCATCGCGGCCGTAGTATGACAACACGACTGACATGATATGGATAGCGAGAACAAGCCTCCTGCCTCGGAGGGCTTCCCGTTCAGAAAGTGGAACGTGAAGATCTACATTCTTGATCAGCAGGGCAACCAGCATAAGGCGGACTGCTTCACCAAGGTCGTCTTCAACCTGCATCCTTCGTTTGACAACCCCGTCCAGAGTAAGTTGGCCCCTCGTCCGTGTTCTGTTCCTTTCTTGCAGGCCGTCCGTTTGCTGAGGCTTCTTCGTTCCCCTGGCCAGCCTTCCTCGAACCTCCCTTCATGTGTGAGAATGAGGGCTGGGGTGAATTCGAGATGCAGATTGATCTCTACTACACCGACAAGAGCGGCAAGATCACCATCCCCCACGACCTGAACTTTCAGCAGAACCACTACGAGGACACCCACAACATCACGTTCAAGAACCCTTCTCAGAACCTGCAGCAGATCCTTCGCGAGACTGGCCCCCTGCCGAATGATGAGGACCGTCGCAATAGGAAGGTGGACGGCAGCATCAAGAAGCAGAAGAAGCCCTTTGACGTGGAGAAGATGGCCGAGGCCCTGGTCAAGCTCGAGGAGGACGATCTCCTGCAGGTCATTCAGATGATCCACGATCACAAGGCGGATGACACCTACATCCAGAACAATCTTGACGGTATGCAATCCAACAGACCACGCACGGGCCGCCCCCGCCAGCCCCGCCCCTCTTCCAACCAAGCGCTGACGAGCGGTTCCATTGAAGCCGGCGAGTTCTCTGTTGACCTCTACACGATACCTGATAATCTTGGCAAGATGATCTGGGAGTATCTGGTGAGTAGTAGCAACCCGCCCTCACTCGCCGTCAGGGTGAAGCATCGTCATGCTAAATCGCTGCATCCAGGTCAAGGGCAACCTTGTTGACGTCTAGAGACCAGCTGACTCTCCCATGGGCTCTAATGGATCTATCGCACAGCATGGCGAGTCGCTACGGCGACTACCTCGCATCGTACTGAAGTTGGACTAAAGCCTTTTGGCGACCTCATCATGCATTGTGGCTCCAGAATAATCCTGAAGTTTGCTGCCCGACAAACCTTCCTGTGATTATCTGCGTCTTTGTTTGACGACTTTTTTACGACTGTGCTCTGTCCACCCCCACCCCTTTTCTTCTCGAGATCCTGCTAAAAGACAATTGATACTCCTAATATCCTGGCCTTCTGAGCTGGGGCCATTTGCGATACGTCTTCTCTCATGATTCACGGTGGGATGGAAGCAATGACGCGCGGGTCATTCTCGTCGGCTCGTCGACTAGGGGTTCAGGGTCTTCGGAGGTAGTGCGTTTTGTTGTTGGTTGGGAGGACTTTGATTGTACAATACGAGAGAGATGATTGATTTTTCTTTTACGGTGAGAAGGTCTTTGTTTATGCGCGAGAATCAAAAGGACCACTTTTCAGTCATCAGAGAGATCCAACACTCCGAGGGTTGCGCATTGAAGGGAGGACTGGCAGTTTTGATTTGATTATGACCATGGATGGAAAATCAAAAAACAAGAGATGGATGGAGGTGCGGTGGCATCAGCATTCGCGGGCACTCTTTAAAGAGCCTGCACCGTTGATTGACCATGAAGGGACCGTACCAAATCAATAAACGGAAGCTTGTTATTACGAGGGCAATAATATTTGGCGCTGCGTGATATGTCCCGTGATGTGCCTAGGATGGGTGGGTGAGCTGCGGTCACTATCGGTGTCAGCCCTATCGTTGGTGACCCCCCGCGCCCCCGACGCCTAGAGCCGTTTGTGGCAATAGCGCTGTGACCATATTAGGCGGTGGCTTAATAATCTCAGAGCTGGGCAGTGCCTTTTCCCACACCCTGTGACTCGGATCAAGTGTGTTAGCTGAGAGGCTGATGATGATGATGATGATGATGACGAGGACGACGAGGAGGAGCGCGAGGATGAGAATGACGAGATTGATTGCCTTCTGCAATATTTGAAGAAAGAAAGCAAGAAAGAAGAAAGAAGAAATAGAAAAAAACGGGCCGGGACCAGCTTGGATACCTACCAAGTACTTTTACTATCTATGGTACTTACTTATCAACGTAAGGGGCATGGAGATATTGGAAGGATAGTAGTATTGCGGTCGCAGCAGCGCAGCGGATGATCCGAAGAGGCAGGTGGACTAGGGCGGCCGTCTTGTACAGATCTGGTATCAATTGGAAATGCGGGATTGCTACTGTAAGCTTGCGTGCTTGCGTGGGCACTATTCCCTCGTCTGGTTGTCTCTCATGTATGTCTTATCTCGGCGCATATGAGGGGAGAGGGTGGCCGAGTATCCGATGATTGGAAATGCTGGGTGGAGCGAGTGAGAGAGAGAGAGAGAGAGAGAGAGAGAGAGAGAACGCGTTTGAGAAGTTTAACACGTAAAGTTAATTGCGAGAGATGAAAAGCCCACGAGGCTCTTGGCAGTAAAGGTTTGGGTTTATGAATAGGATCACTTGGTAAAGTTATACAAAATCTCCAACAGTTTTGTTCCGCCGTGTGCTTCTTGGTTCTTCCCCAAGAGGGCAGATAATAATAAGGCGAGGGATACTAGATAGTTACTGTGCACAATCCATAGTACATGTATAATAGTACTACAACGTACACTAGTCAAGAGAAGCCAGTTGGAAAAGGGCAAGCCGGGAAACTGGAGGGTGTCCCACCAGGAACCGGGGGCAAAGTAACCTATGATATATCACATCTGGGGAGGTCGGGGTCCGCTGGTCTCCGTTTCTCTTTGTGCCACTTCAGTCTTTTGTGCTATCTGGCAGTGCATGCCCCTCTCTTGCCCTCTCAAGGGAGGCAATCATGTCAGTATTGGTGTCCAATGTCGTTCCTAGAGCAATGAAGAGAAAGAGAGGGACAGGAGAGACAAAGAGACAAAGGGAATGACCAAACTCGACCACCTACCCCAATCAGCGAACAGGCAAAACTAAGTACTTGCACAGGAGAGATCAATCCCTCGTCAGTTTCCCGCCGAGTCCTATGTCCTCGTGATTGTTTGGATTTTTCCCCCATTGACTTTTTACTTTTACTTTTCTTGTCCATTGTACTCGGCAGCGAGATCCCACTAGACGTACACCACACCGTCTCCCCCCCTGTACCATCCCCATCGAAGCTCCAGCGGCTCCCACTAAAAGCTTAGGGACAAAGCAGCAGCTGCCCCTCATCAGCAAGAGGAAAGAGCCCCCCAGATCCCAGCAGCCCTCGAACCGCACCGCGACTTCTCTCTCGTTTATCAAGGGCGCCCACCCCTCCTCCTAATCCCCGGCCTCCACTTCGACTCTCTTGTCCCGCTTTGTACGGCCCTCACGCCTCGCCAACCCGTTGCAAGCCGAAGAAGACCGCCCTGCGACCTCTTGCCCAGCCAGCCCGCGTGCAACCGTTGAGAGGAACCACATGCCTCGTTGCTGAAGGTCGCCCGTCCATTGATTATTGGACGCATCTGCGCATACACACTCACACACACACACACACACACTCACACACTCACTCACTCACATACCTCCTTGCCCTGTCGCTGCCGGCTCGCGAGGCGAGGCCAGGCCGGCTGCTGTGTCGCAGGCGATGGCGCAGGCTCAGGCTCCGTCACAGGCACAGGCAACTCATCAGCCGTCGGCTCACTACGTCGACACCTCCCCACCGCCACCGCCCACCGCCGGCTCCTCTGCTTCCAATCATCCAAACGACATTACCGCCACTACCACCCACTCCTCCTCCTCCTCCTCCACCGCGAAACAGCAGCAGCAGCAGCAGCAGCAGCAGCAGCAGCAGCAGCAGCACCAGGAACAGCAGCAACAGCAGCAGGCCAGCACAGCCCAGCACAAGCGTGTCTACCAGGCATGCATTCCCTGCCGCCGCCGCAAGGTCCGCTGCGACCTGGGTTCCGTCGATAACCCGCATGACCCGCCGTGTGTGCGCTGTCGCCGCGAGTCTAAGGAATGTTACTTTAGTGCAACCCGCCGCAAGCGAAAGACGGAAGACGGCGATAATGACGGTGACGTTGGCGACCTGCGCGAGGACGAGTACATCCTGCGCAACGGCCGCAAGAGACCGCACACCGAAAGCTCGCCTCCACCTGCCCTCGACCGTCGCTACTATAGCGATGTGCCGCTGACCCCAGGCGGGTCTGTGGGACGCACCCAGCCCCTCCGAAGACCCGGTGCCGTCCGCGAGCACTCGCGCTCTGACTCTCGGAGCTCCATCTCCGCCTCTAGGGGCCGCGGCGGGACCACCGAGTTTGGCGGCGACGAGCCCAACACCCCGCTGGAGAACTACGAGGCCCGTACGGTCATGCGAAAGGAGGTCTACGGCCCACATGATGCTCTGGATCTCCTGTACAAGGCCGCCCACGACACGAGCTCGCACGCCCTGGGGCTGCAGCAGACCCCGTCGCTGAACCTGTCCACCAGGACCGGTGATGGGATGCTCTACGCCCAGCACGGCGTCTCCCAGCGGGCCTCTTCCGATGCACCCATCGACCCCCAGCTCACAAAGGCCCCAGGCGCCAGGACAGAGTCGCTGCCGTCACATGCCGATGCCCTCAAGGCCTGGACGAGATTCAGGTTCGTGAGGGCTGGGTGGTTTACTGCCCAGGAGGCTATCAACTACATTGACTAGTAGGTGTTCCCACCTAGACTCAAGCTAAGCGAGCAGCAGATCTTTTCTTTTCTTTTCTTCTTTTTTTTCTTTTCTTCTTTTTTTTCTTTCCTTTCCGTTGGAAAACAAGGAGGTAGAAGAAGAGAAAGAAGAAGAAGATATGATGATGATGATGATGAACAAGAAAAAGAAAAGAAAAAAAAAACCCCCCGAAAAATAAAGCTGTGTGGAGGTGGGATTACTCTCGATGCTAACTCTCTGCCTCAGCTACTACAAATATCTGTCCCCACTGACGCCCATATCGCCGCCGACGTTCCAGGACCCTGCCACGCACCTGACACTTCTGACCGAGGAGCCTATACTGGCCGTCACTCTCCTGACCATTGCCTCTAGATATCGCAAGCTGCCAGGCACGGGAGGCCTGTGTCGGGCAAATGCCATTCATGAGCAGCTGTGGACGTACCTCCGGGGCATGATCGAGCGGGTGATATGGGGCCAGGAGGCCTTTGGAGGTGGCTTCTGCGGCTCTGGCGCTGACGAGTCGCAGACCTCGAGCACGGCCCCGTGGCGGGGGCTTCGGAAGGGCAGCCTGCGGACGCTGGGCACCATCGAGTCGCTCATGATCTTGACAGAATGGCACCCCAGGGCCCTGCACTTTCCTCCCTCGGAAGCCATCGACGAGCTGATGATCCCTGCCTATGACTCGATACCGCCGCCCGGCCTCGACGGCGCCAACCCTCCTGCCCTGGGCGTCGGCGGCAGGAGGGTGGAGAGCTGGCTCGAGCCCGCGTGGAGGAGCGACCGCATGTGCTGGATGCTCCTCAACGCCGCCATGGGCCTCGGCTACGAGCTCGGCGTCTTCGACGACATTGATGAGCTCCTCGACTCGGGAGCCATCTCCCGGCCCGAGTACGAGGAGGAGACGTACAGGCTGCGGGCCGACCGCATCAAGCGGCTCATCCTCATCTACCTGAGCCAGCTGGCCGGGCGCCTGGGCTGGACCAACATGGTCCCCGAGGCCCTGCGCAAGACGACGACCATGGCCCGCAGGCGGCCTACATCATCTGCTGTGGAGGGGACTACTCCCGGTACTAATATTTCATCGCTTTCTGCCCCCTTCAATTACATACCTAATCTAGCGCTAGACGATGCCATCATCCATTGCTGGGCGGGCATCAGCAATGCCATGCACAGCGGCAATGAGAGGCTGTTCAAGTCGAGAAAGCACACCACCGAGATCATCCAGACCGACAGGTACGTCGAGCTGCTCAAGGACTTCCAGCCCATGCTGCAGGACTGGCGCACCCAGTTTGAGCGCTACGAGCTGCCCCCGTACATCCGGCACATCCTCACCATCGAGTATGAATACGTGCGCATCTACGTCAACTCGCTGTCGCTGCAGGCCGTCGTGGAGCGCTGCGCCAACATCGCCTCGGGCCAGTCGCAGGCGGCGGCGGCCCCCAGCAGCAACAACGGTGCCGCTGCTGCTTCCACGAGCTCCGGCAACCAGCTGAGCCCCAAGACCCAGGACATGTACGGCAAGATGCCTATCGGCAACATTGGCGGCGTCAGCGCGGCAGACCAGGAGTACATTAGGGAGGTCGTTGAGGGGAGCCGCAACCTGCTGCGGGCCGTCGTCGAGGGCCTGCTCCCCGATGACTATCTGAAGCACGCACCCGTCAGGACCTACTTTCGCATCATCAGCGGTGCCATGTTCCTCCTCAAGACCTTTGCCCTAGGCGCCACCAGGCACGACGTGGAGGTCTCCATCCGCCTCATGGACAGCACGGTGGAGGCCCTGCGCACCTGTGTCGTGGACGACGTGCACCTCGGGATCCGATTTGCTGATCTCCTAGAGAACCTGACCATGCGGCTGCGAAACCGCTTCATCTATGTGGCCAACCCCACGAACCAGACCCAAGCCGCCTCGGCAGACGGCAGGAGTCCAATGCCAGAGGTCGGACCGGGCGGCGCCGGCCAGCACGTGCAGCACAGCCTGACTGTCAACGGGCACGAACATGCTGGCTGGCCCAAGATTAACGCGCCAGGTACGTTTGTTTTGTTTCTTTACGATTATTATGATTTCAACCACAGTACCGTCATAAACAAGGGCCATCCCCACCCTTCCTTTGCACCGCTGACAATTTTGATTCTTCTTTCGTCGTCGATGCAGAACGCGCCGTGACGCCCGCCAACATCTCTGCAACGCCCTTTGACATGCCCAGCAACTTCGCCATCCCGGCTGCTTTCGGCGCCACCGGCCCTGCGACACCTGCTGGTACCGGCGTCCTGGGTGGCCAGAACATGGCGCCAGATGGCAGCGGTACTGGCAACAACAACAACACCACTAACAACAACAACAACAACCATAACAACAACACGCATGGCGCTGCCGGCATACCCACTGCAGGAGTGGCTGATATGTTTGGCGGCGACGGCACAGACTGGGCAGGCCCCGCAGGCGACATGTGGTTCTTACCCGCGGGCCCAGCCTTTTTCCAAAACGTGGGCGGGCCTGGCGACAGCGGCGTCGGTATGTCGGCCGAGGGGATCAACGTGGGTGGCATGGACTTGCTGGACTACATGGCTATGGACCAGTACCCCCTTGACGGGGGCGGGCCGCTGTAGCTCAGGTAGCTGGCGGTCGTCGTCGTCGTCGTCGTCGTCGTTGCCTGACGATCCTTTCCTACTAGGTGGACAAGGAGGTATTTTTTTATGATTATGAAATGAGATGTAATACATATATATTACACACATTATACCTGTGATAGCGTACGGAAAATGGACAATGAAATCACCTTAGATGCTATGTTCTCCCAGCAGACATGATCCATGCTTGTAAGAGCTATGGAGAGTTAAGTGAGCTGTGGAGATTGTATTCTGCACCTTGTGCGTTACTCATAAGGACTGAAGAAAAAGGCAAGGAAGGGAGGGCAGGGAAAAAAAAGGAAAAGAGAAAAGAATGTAAACTCGGCGAGTGTAAAGGAGATAAGTATGTCTCAAGAAGATACCAATTTCCTGACAAACAAGACTACATGACTGGGGACTTATACTGCAAGCATGAATAGTAAAAGAGGATCTCAAGTATGAGTATGTCATCTCTTGACCACATACATACTTTCTGCACCACAGATTTGGAAACCATACACAGGCAAAACAAGAGTACACGAAAAGCTTAATGGTACGAGGCAAAATTTCAAAGTCATTTCGTCATGAACCTATCATGGTATCTATCCGCTCCCTTCTCAAACCACAACAACGTTCAGGGCAAGTTGCAGTCCCTCTCCTGGACGGACGAATAGGCCAGTCAAGTCCCACCCTTGATCTCGGACGCCATCCGTCTCGACTCTGAAATACAGAGAGATCATTTGAGACACTATTGGGCTGGGGGGAGGGGGGGAAACAAAGCACATACATCGCCATCCCAATGCACCAGACAAATCACACAGCCCAGGGAAAGGAAGAGGGGGAAGTAGAAATATGAAGAAAAAAAGACCTTACTACCACTGCATGCTCTTCTTCTTGGTAATCTTCTTCGGGTCCAGCACATTCTGGAAAAAGGTGCTGACAGACGCCTGGCCTGAGCCATACGGCCTGCCGCCAGGTCTCGACTGACCCGACTGTTGCTGCTGCTGCTGCTGGGATGATGATGGCGCCCCCGGCCGGAAGAGGCTGGTCAGCGTTGAGCTGTTGAAAGGCCCCATCGCCCCAGGGCCGACACTCGTAGGCCTCTGTGGCTGCTGCGGCGGAGGGGCAAAGGTCGGGTGATGCTGCTGTGGCGGGCCGTAAGACTGCTGACGGGGTGGGTCGGAGTTCTGCCGCGCACCCGGCAGCGGCCGGCCGCCTGTGGGCAAGAGGTCCTGGCCCTGAACGCCGTACAGCTGCCGCAGCCTCTCCGTCTCCCTGTCCACCTCGGCCTGGCGCCTGCGGTTCTCGTTTTCCTCCTGCTTGAGCATCTCTTCGACGTGCCTCCTCTCCTCGGCCTCCCGCCTCTGCCGCTCGCGCGCCTGTCGCTTCAGCTGCTCGTCGTCCTCCTTCTTCATCTGCTTCATCAGCCTGAGCGTCTCCGGGTCGATCCCTGACCCGTTCGGTTTTGTGGAGGAGGACGACGACGATGCCACATTCGCTGTGGAGGTCGACGCGAGCGGCGGAGCAGAGCCGATGGCCCCAGACATGGCCACTGGAGTACCATTTGTCGGCGCCCGGCCAAAAGCACCAGATGGGAGCGGAGGAGAAGGAACCACTGTCGGGGGGCTCGCCCTGGAGTTCTTGCGCCTGCCGGTAGCCACAGCGACAGGGACACCGGTGCCGGTGTTGAAAAGATCAGGCCTCTTCTCGGGGGCCAGGTACAGATCCCGGATGACCTCGGCGCCGAGGACCAGCACAATGTCCAGGCCCTTGCGGTCCTCCATCTCGACGCGCCGCAGGTTGGGCTCGTAGACAGTGACGGCGGTCTCGCGGCCCATCTTGAACAGGGCGATGGTGATGTCGGGCTCCTTGCTCTTGTGCTTGCCCAGGCTCTTGCCGACGTTGTAGCACGTCATGTCCTTGGTGAGGCGCCCTTCCCGCTTCCACTTGAACATGTTCCGCGGGCGGAAGTCGGCGATGCCGCCCGCCTGGTTCCCGCCCTGCCTGTCGAGCTGCGAGGGCGTGGGCATCTTGAAGCTCTGCGACAGCATCTCGAACTCCCAGCTCTCTGTCCTGGTGAGCGAGCCAGGGATGTACCGCACGACGACTGACTGGTCTGGGTCGTAGAGCTGGATGGTGAACGTGTCTGGGATCACAGGCGCGGGCGCAGGACTGTTGCTGCTGCTGCTGTTCTGCCCTTGTCCCGTTGCTCTGATCTCGGCGGCGGACAGGGTGGGTTGCTGCCACTCGGGCGAGACGACGACTTCGGCGTAGACCACATCCTGGGCGTATGGGTCCTTCAGTGCCACGGCATATTTATTGGCGGCCGCCGGGGTCGTGCTCGGGTGTGCGCGCTCGAAGACATACTCTGCTGCCGGCTCGGAGCCGTTCCTCGTGAAGTAGACGGGGCACGACAGTGGCTTCTCGGGTTGCTGCTTGAACTGGAAAGTTGGGAGGTTTTCGTCGAGCATGGCGAATGGTGTGTAGTGTCGAAGGTTGTTTCGTTACTGCGAGAACAGGAAGACAAAAAGAGGTGGTCCAGTTTCATGCGGTGCTCTCGAGAGAAGACCAAGGGCACATGTCTGTTGGAGGCGGGGTATGGGTAATGTTTCTGGCTCAATAACCACGGGAGTGAAACTCGTCTTTGGTGTGGGGGCCTGACTAGACGAGGCTGTGTTGGGCGAGACTGGGACAATCACAGCCTCGCGGGATGTCACTGTGAAGCGTTACGAAATGGTCGAGATTAAGGGAACGCACAGGGCGAGGAAGAACGAAGAGGGGAGAGAGAGAGAGAGAGAGACGAGAAAAGTGACGAGAATCTAGCCCCTAGCCCCATGCATTACACATAAATTAATGAACAGGACGAAACACACAAAAGACGAAGAGAATTGTGAGGAAATAGCTGCGAATGGGAGGAGGGGTTGTGGATGTGGAGAAGGAGGAGCAGCAGAAGAAGAAGGAGGAAGAATGAAAGAAGGCGGCTTGTTTGTGATCAGCCAGTCAGCCTGCGCATCATTGCTTGCGCATCCCACTGCATCTTGTCAGCTGGGCCAGGATTAGGTTCAAGTCTATGGGGTGAAGCAAAACGGGCAAGAACCTGGGACGTCATTTTAGATGGGGCTTGCCGAGACACCCCTATAAGCCTGCTACAAGCCGCGCCCTGCCCATGTCGTGTCATTGGCCACAGCGGGTCCTCGAGCATTGCGGGACCCCTGAGGCTGTGCACTGAAAAGGCGCCTAATGGCGGTGTTATACAGTAGAGACAGTTCGTTCCTGGCCAGTTACTGAAGTTGCGTTATAGTACATAGGTTCAGCACGCAACAACTTCAGACCAAGTTGATACAATGTCTCAAGACGGCACACACAAAAGCCTCTTGCCGAGTCTGGAGGTACTGGCCAAGAAGAAGCGATGTTCTGCATCCACTACTTACCCAAGGCGTAGGTTGATCAGAATGACAGGAGCTCAATGTTGGAGAGATGCACGCGCAGTGTAGAAACTATCCCCAGTCTCCACGAGAGAGTTGTCCTACAGGAAGTGGTTGTCATTCTCATCTGACAAAAGAGAACATTGTCCTACGATGCCACAATTACAAACCACCCTTTTTTCAAGCCTTGTAAAATTGCAGTATTTGTATGGCTGTTGCTTTCTGTCTGCGCAGCTTGGCTCTGAAATGATAATTGTCAATCTGCACGATCCTCCCAGTTCTGCCAAACTCATCTCTTTTGGGACTTGTGTTTGAATGAATTGTATGATCAGGTCTGGAAATACAGACAAATAGAGAGAGAACGAGAGATCTTTAGAAGATTTTGTATGAGAATATGTCTGATAGAGTCCCCAGGGTTGGAAAGATGGGATGTCAGCCAAGAAGTTTCTTACGTAACACCAACTCCAAGCAATATAGTCTTGTTGTTTTAAATCCTTGCACAGTACAATAAGCTACGTAGCTCAGGGGAAGAGCGCCGGGCTCATAACCCGGAGGACCTTGGATCGAAACCAAGCGTAGCTATTTCAGATTCATTTTTACACTTTTTGCTTCTATTTCGTTGCTTTTGTCCTCTTCTGTATCATTACCTTCTTTTTCTTTGCCTTTTTCGTCCTTGCTATTATGCAGCAATACACACAGATATTTTGAAAGGGAAGAACGTAGTCTGCTTATGTAAGTGGGGTGTTAGGACAAGTCCTTCAGGTGATGACTCTTGCGCTGCCACTCAATGGGTCAATATCGATGTCTGCCTCTGTACATTCTTTTTTTCCCTTGTTTCAATATTGTTGTGAGCTGGCTAAAGCTAAGCCAAGACCTCAATCACCCTGAAATAAGGCGCCTCATAATGTAGAATCTTGATTTCATCGTGCTGTTGAGCCTGTCCTGGAAGAACCCCAGACCTGTCTATATAACACCCAGCCGAATGATATAATGAATAGATGCCTTTTTGCCTGGTCAAGACGCATTCCTCGAAAGGATTGAACAAGTTAAATAATAAGAAAAAGATCATGGGTTGATGATCGTGGGTATCTTGTTGTTTTTCCAGACCTCGTTTTCCCAATCCTTGACTATCTCGCCCCGAGCCACAGTCCACCTCATCGCCCAAGATCATCCGACATTATGATTAAAACTCCTTTGTCCTAGGCCAACCTTACCATCATTTTAAAAACCCACCTCGAATTCACTCTCTTTCCCCCCCTCCTTGCCTCCTGTATTCCCTACTTCGCCCCGCTCTGCATCCTCCTCATCGCATCCCGGTGCGCCTCCATGAGCTGTGCCTCCGACCTCATCCTCACCTCAAATTTCCGCTCCCCTCGGGCCCTCTCCGCCCGTCTTGCCTCCCGCCTCGTTGCATCCGCCTGCTTCTGGTTCATCAGGAACTGGCGCTGTACCTCGAGGTCCCGCGACACCTCCGAGTCCCACACTTGGGTCTGGTGCGGCAGCAGCGAGTGGCTCGTCGACGTCCCTGGGATGCCGTAGACCGAGTTGATCAGCGCTCTACCTCCAGATGCTGCGGTCCCCATGTGCTGCGCCTGGCCATGACTTCCTGTGCCGCCGCCGCCCAGAGGGATCCCCAGGGGTGTCATGGCGCTGCTGCCGCGCATGCTGATCTGGGAAGACTGGCGGAGCCCACCGCCGAGCTGGATCTGGCTGGGCAGGTCCGAACGGCGCTGGAGGTGTGGTGCGGTAGAGACGTTGCTGCCGCCTGTTGCCACGCCGCTGGGGCCGAAGCTGCTCCGACGCGAGTTGGGACCGCGTGCCTGATTGTTGCTGCTGTGCATGGAGGCGATGCTGTTGCGGCGCTCACGGATGATCGCCTTGCGCTGGCTGAGCGGGATATCATCCAGATCGGCGTCGGCAGTGGGCCCATGTACCCCCGAGGTCCTACGGCTGCTAGGACTGCTGTCCGGGGGGCTCGTATCGCTAGGGAGCCCCAGGGAGTCTGGGTGGAGAGCCTGGTTTTTTGCGCGCAGGAGCATGTCCCTCTGACCGATGAGGGTTTGTGGGCTGTTGTAGGACACGACACCTGGCACAGGCGGCCGAGAAGCGGGCACAGTACCAGCGCTGTCTGGTGGGGACGGAGGTACGCCCAGGAACGTGTCCCCGCTGAGAGCAGCTCCCGCAGCCTGCACAGCAGCCTGTCTGCTGTCACTGCGCAGAGGGTCGTCGCGGCCACCGTTCTCGCGAATTGTATTCACCATGTTTGAAGAGATCCGTCCTTGTTCAAGAAGGGGGTTGGACGTAAGGCCCGTGTTCCTTGGAGAGCGCGGAGGCGACTTGGTGGGTGTTCCGACATGAGGCACAGCAAGGTTCTGAGCAGATGACGATCGGCTGCCGGTTTGAAGCAAGGACAAGACTGAGACAGACCTGGGCAGAGCTGGAGGAGGAGTGGCGTTCGCTGCAGTCTTCTGCAGCTCGACCACGTTCACGGGGGCCACGCGGTCCTCGGCTGCCTTGACTGCTGGCTCTACAGGTTGTGGCAGATTTAAACTGTCTGGCGCGGGGGCCTCGGCGTTGCTCAAGTGCTTGACCCACTCGTTGGTCCGGTATGATAGAGCGACCTTGGACAGCCCATTAGGAAGATGATCCTTGGTCAGGACTATAGGGCCCGAGTCGGTCTCGGGGGTCGATAACCCGTCGTCAAGCTTCGGTTCTCCCTCCTTCTCAACCGTGTGTGCTGTCTTCTGCTCGCGTTCCTTTTCGTCAGACCCCTCTACTTCCCCTCCGGCCGGCATGTCTTTGTTTAGCGTAGCCGCCACGCCTGCACTCTCCTCTTCCGAGACCTTGTCTCCGAGCTCAGCTTTGATTTCCCTGCTGACCGGCTCTTCATGAACGGACCCTGCCGAGATGTCGTCACCATCGACTGAGCTCTCGGCGTCGAAGGTAGCAGTTATCGAGTCACGCTCTCTACGAGCGGGGCTACTTAGCTCTTCTTTGCTCTCGGCAGCTTCCCTAGCTGCCATCTCTAACTGCCTCGAGAGCGAATGTTGTGAGATCCTTCGGAAAAGATTAGCCGAGCTCGCAGACAGACGCTTGGCAAAGGAACTTCTCCGGCTCCCGATGCTCCGAGTCTCTCGCAAGTCGTCGTTCTGATCGATGTGAGCCGCTACAGATGAGTTGTCGTCAACATCGCCGGTGTTGTTTTCGATGCTGGGCACTTTGAATGGCAGAAGAACCACCTCGGGGACGGGGGTTTTGTTTGTCGGGCGCGACCCTTGTGTGGAGCGTTCGTTGAATACCGGGACCTCTTCCTCCTCTCCACCAATATTATGTGAAGTCTCATCCAGGGCCTTCTCCTCAGGTGTTACGGGGGTATCTGTCTCTTCCACTACCACCCGAACAGTGACCTTTCCATCTTGGTGATCCTTGGTCATGACCGGCTCTGCCGTGATCCTCGCTTGCGGGGGAACAGGGGACGGCACCTCGCCATCAGTCGACAATTCAGCCAACTCGATATGTTCTGAACCGTCAACTGGCGAACGCTGCGAGACTGTTGTGAGACTCGCACTGTGGTTGAAGATCCTCTTTTCGCTGTCCGCGTCTCCCAACCCGGAGTCACGGGCCGTATGCACACTTGAGGATTTCGTGGCCGTGGGATCACCATACACTGCGTCCCAGTGGCGTCTCTCCTGGGCATTTGTGCGCTCAACATCCCGCCCCACATTCTCCTCCTCTGCCTGTAGGGCGGCCTGGGCCTCCAGGCGACCTGCCTCCCTCCGAGCACGTCGTTCCTTGATGATTTTCCACACCCGCATCTGCGACATGATACCACAGAGGAAGAGGATGATGGTGATGGCCTGCTCGACGCGGATTCCCCTCGTGAGGGGGTAGGTATCGGCGCCGAGCGGGAAGAGATTGTCGTTCAGGTCCCAGATCCAGGCCCAGTACTCCTTTAAGCCAGCACGGCTGAAGCAATCAATGCCAATGACGGCTGCTGTAGCCCCGCTGAGGGCGATGCACCCGATCATGACGTAGGCCCTCGTCCTACGGCTGAAGAAGGCAGCCAAGCCTGCGGCAGAGAAGAGACAAATGAAGATGACATTCCCAGAGCCGCCAGTGCCGAGAAGGCCTCCAGCCTTGAGGGTCAAAAGCCACATGGAGAGGCAGAAGCCACCGAGCAGACACCCGAGACACTCGAGAACGTCTTTAAATACGAGTGAGCCACCACCCAGCAAAGCTCCAGATCCTGCCGCCGCGACGACATAGGCTCCCTGCACACTCTTGCTGATCGGCGGGTCCATCACGTAGAGAATGAGCACCGTGACACCAAGAGCAGCGAGGTAGCCCACTGAGAAGAAACAGTGCAGCCAACGTGTCTTGATACCAACCATCGCGTAGGCAACACCGGACGCTATCAGGATGACGCCAGCGACTGAAAAGCCAGGTGTGATCTGCGGGTGTATAGGTAGTTCACCAGCTGCTATGGTGATGTTGAAAAGCGTGCTGTTGAGGCTGGTAGTTGCGGTGGCAGAGACGACCGACTGAAATGTGGAGGTTGTAGTCGGCCCAATGGAAGTGCTTGAGATGCTTGAGATGCCCGAGGTGGCAGCAGTCGTCCCAGTCGCTGAAGTGGCTGCCACAGAAGGGGTTGTAGAAGTGCCATCACTGGTTGCTGTCAAGGAAACGGAGGCAGAATCTGTTGATGTGACAGCCTCGGCGCTTGTATCCTCCCGTCGTGGAGATAGTGGCACAATGCCAGCCAAGGCGAGGTGCAGACACAAAAACAGGGCCAAGAGAGCCCATATCCTCGGGGCCGTGGCAGTAGTCCTCATAGTGTGTGTGGAATTAGAAAGCCCGAAGCTCGCCTCAGCTTCTTCGCAACGACCAAGTTCCGCGTTCCCCCACCTAGAGAAGAGGATTTACTTCCGTGACGAAATGGGTTGGAAGTGCCAGCACGTAGTGGGATGATCAGTCGAACGCATCATCCACAGCACAGGACAGGGACGAAAGAGGGAGACGGTCAAGCTGTCTGTTCGGTGTGCCTCTGGAGAGTAGACTGTGGAATCCAAGCCCAATCTGTGGTCGTGTTGAACAAATTGAAGGTTTCAGGCGGTGTGGGAGTGGCCAACAAAGCCAATGCGAAGGAAATTTAAAGGTAGGAGGAATAATTAAGTTGAGTTCTCACTCGGACGGGGGTTGCAAGGGGGGATCTCCGGGCTGGCTGAGAGATTGTACTATGTTGATTGTACTTTGAGGTGACGATGGCCTAGTCCTTTTGGCGTATGTAACGACTCGGCTGCAAACCGAGCGTGCAAGCTAACAAGCTGATAGTCAAGTGAATGAAAGTAGTAGAAGCTGCTATGTGGGTAAGGAATGACAAGACCGAGCAGTAGCTTGACTGCACGAAGGCGGTAATGATTGGCGACGGGACGCCGGTGAGAGGAGGAGGACGAGGAGGACGGCGACAACGAGAACGACGAGGAGACGTAAGTGGTCATTTCTTTGGCATGCCACCCTGATGCGATGCCATGACGACGGATCTGCAGAGTTGTACCATAGTACGACGAGCAGGGCAGGGTAACTCAGCTCGCACGCTCTTGGTGTACATAGTACAGTACATATGTTGTTGAGAGCACTTGTACACTGTGCCCAGGTCGGCCTGATCTTTCTTCCATCTCTCTTCCCCTCCCTCTCTCCCCTTGCTTGATTCCGATTCATCCACTGATCACTGACAGTAGGGACATGGTCTGATGCTTTTCGTCCCGCCTGAGGGCTAGCGAGTACCGTGTACATTCCAAAGTATGGAAAATACGCATGCATGCTATGGTAGAAAGTAAGTAAATTACCCATGGCAGTACTCCCATCGGGACGTACTATGATTTGGGACGGACGATGAGGTGCGGGACCCACCAAAATGCACGAGCAAGCGCGGCCTGAGCCTGCGCCTTGTACGGATTGGGCGTGTTGCTGGCCATGCTGGCGCCATTGAGGTTGCATTCACATGCCCAAATTTCCCTTGTGTGTCTGCTGTTCGTCCGCTTTGGTATATGGTTTGCAACCTCGCCGACCCTGGCTGGCCTGGGTCAAGCTCTCACCCGACTAGTCCGGGCTGCTCGGTTGGTGTGTATCGTATCAGCTGGTTGGGAGATTAGACCAGCCAGCAAGAGGACGGGAAACAAGGAAGAGGAGACATGCAAGAGATCGGGACACATTGTGGGCCAGCCAGGATAAGGATGGGACGAGATGGGAGAGGATGGGATGGGATGGGATGGGATGGGACGCAGAACAGGTTCTGGAGGAGGTGGATGGGAGAAGAGCACCACCAAGTAGCCAGCAAGTAGAAACAGCCGCAGTCTGGAGCTTGAAGAAGCTGGGGGCTTTGGCACTTGGCAAGAGCTAAACAAGATCAACGCCCCAAGTGGAGAGGAAGGCGCATATGGGAATGAACAGACGGAAGATGGACATTTGAAGATCAGGCACGAGCAACGCTTGTCACTAGTGTGAGCAGGCTCTCTACAGGGATCTGCCCGTCCGTGCCGGAGATTGACAGGGGGGGTTTGCTCACCGGGACCTGCAACAGCAGAGCGGCAGGAGCAAAAACTACGAGGGCATGCTACAGAAAGGATGCACCCATGAATACCAAATACTATGTGCATGGTACTCTGCAGATTCGGGTCCGTTGGCCACCGCAATGCATACAACCAATACAGTACAGCACACTCCAATGCAACCTCAATAATGCCTGCATGCATGCATGCATGCATGCATGTGTTCATTGCGTGGCCCATGTTGACTGGTCTTTCTCTCTAAACAGTGATGATCCTCTCTCCCTGCTATCAAAGACACAGGCTGTGTTAAAAGTCCCTTCCCGCCTACCTGCATTTTATGCTCCGAAACACGATTCAATACTGCAGGATTTCATGCATGCATGCAATCATCATGACTCTCTCTCTTGCTCTCTTTCTCTCTTTCTCTCTTTCTCTCTCTATTCTCTCTATTCTTCTTCTTGTTTGTCCTACACAGCCTCAGGGGCACTCCCAGGCTTGATCGACACAAGGTAGTGGCACCAAGATCAAGCCCAGGCTTAAGCCCAAGCCTTACCGGTATTAGGTCTTCACCACCCAGTGTTCATTTCAAAGGTACGTTCTGTGTAGTACATCTGCAACTTACCATGCTGTGCGTGCAATAGCGCTTCCGTATAGCAAAGACCTGCAGCCGAAACCATCCGTCGTATCCTATAGTAGCAACGCCAGTTGGGTGCTGTGTGACGATCTACCTGCCATCGAGGCATTCTTTTCAGTGCCCGCCATGCTACCTGGGCTGGCAACACTTCAGCGGACCCTGTCTCGTTATCTGCATGCATGCCATTTTTGCCTCTCCAGTATGTCGCCATGACCGGTCGCACGATAAGGCAACATCTACCACCAACTCGTAGCACCTTGATGGCTCTGTTAGGTATGTACTATAGGAGACAGTAACCATGATAGGAGCAACAATCGATTGAAACAATCTTTTTATTGTTAATTTTAAGTCCATTATTCTGCGCTTAGGATGCCTGGAAAATTGGTGCATGCCGCCTGGTGTCCCTGATTGCTGTGGCTGTATATTTGTGGCATGCCCATGTGGTCCTGATCCTTATATTTATTCCACCGTTGCGCCTAGCCTTGTGGCGTCGTGACCGACTTTAGGATTAGAGTGAAATTATCATCATGCGGAAAGGAAGTTTACCTGTATGTATGAAACTGCTGTGGGCTGCACTTGGCCCACCAGCATTATTTATAGCCGCTGCGTCTCGAACCCTAGCGAGTAACCAGCTTCTTCGGGTGGCGAGATCATGCACCTCCGAGTCCGACATAATTGCACAAGCAGACAGGAGAGGACAGACGTACTACGTATGCGACTAGTGGACTGTACTACGTATGTCATCGTACGTAGGTGCTGAACGCATCTTGGGTGTGAATACAGTGCTACTGGTCCAGTCGAAAGAAGAACAATAAATCTTGTTTTATGTTTATTGGAGAGAAGAAAAAAAAGGTAAATAACTGGGGCCGATGATGATGGGAAAGGTCCTCTAATGCAAGCTGGCTCTGAATAGTCACCCTGGTTGGTAAACGCCGTTGACCATGGCGATTGCTCCTGCCAACTGCTGTGCCTACAGGAAATCGACGGACAAACTGGCAGAGGTGCCACTAGACTGGCTCTGTCTGTGACTTCCTTGTGAGGACCACCTCCCTCCAACTTGCGTCATTGCTCCTCACATTCGACTACCTTTCATGCCATGCCCCGACAGAAATGAGAAAGTAGCATGTTGACTCACGTCAGAACCGCGTATACCTGCGTGTAATGTGGCTCACTCACTTGGCCTAAGTTTGTCAGACCAAGATCCCAGGTAAACAGGATGGCTTCCCAGAAGAACATTATGGCACTGATGTCCAAGCAGAAACCTCGACCGAGACTCAGCCTCCTTTGTGCGCACAGCACGGCGTTCGGCACGTCCGCCCGTGTTTTGCTTACACACACACATGCACACGCACACCGCATGGTTCAAGCAGGGCTGAAGAAGAAGAAGTGATCCTTCGATGAGATCCCGTGACGAGGTAATATTGCGTGCAGTCTATTCGCGGCGCTGACTCCCCCTCCAACGCCAACGGGCCTTGAACTATCTGGTTGGTTATCACCTGAAAGGGAGGAGGAGATGACGTGGTTCCGAATTTACTCACCAGAGTACAGCCTCGCGCCTATTATTTGTTGGCCCTGCTGGCTTACCTATGACAGATCACAGGCACTGGCTGGATAGACAAGGCTGGGCAGCACCCATCCACGTGCGATGGTTCTGTCAGCCCGATACCGTCCGAACGGGTGGGCGCCTGAGACTTATTGCGGCTGACTTGGGGGAACGAACGCCGCGATGAGGAGTTCTCACTCGTACCTGCATGAACAGTAGAGGACCTGGGGGCGATAGATGCAGTGTGTGCAGGATGGGTGGATGGCGCCCTATTGGTGGTCCACAGACTTGGAGGGGTGGTCCTATCTGAGTACATGGCCTTTTCTTTTTGCCCTTCTCAGACCTGCTCTTCCAACATTGCACGCCTCATTCCTTGTGGTCTGATGGGCGCAGACACCTCCTTGCTGCTTCGAGTTGAAGCTGACAGGCACGAGGCAAGCAAGTCTACCTCGTCTCGAGTTTGTTTCCCAGCGTAAAAACTGCACACGCTCAAAACTGCGCCTATGGCCGACTCCCATTTTTACTATAGTACATCACCCACATGCTCATACCCGTGGTTGAACGTGCCAAATTTGGTTAGGGATCAGCATCATGACGACGATCAAACCCCAGATGCAAGCTTTCTTGCTGGGTCAGTAAGTGATACCAACTTACCTCGACAGCAATTGGCGGAATTTGGCGCTCGTTACCCATCAATGAGTGAGGAAGTGCATATTTCCAACCCTCCAAAAGATAAGCGACTCGTCACACGACGAATGATACCGATGGGATAGACCCTTTCGGCAATTTGAGGTGAGGCTGGTATGACTGATTGCCCGCCCCACCTTCTCCCCATCGGAGCTCCAGGAGTGGCTTTGCTTCCCTTTATAACATAAGTCAGGTCTCGTGGCCTTGAGAAGGACTTTCCGTCAGAATGGGTGAATGGGCAAATCTCGGTCGGACAGACTCTGCTTCAGCTGAGGGAGTCCTCTGGTCCCCAACGGGCTGAACTCGCTGACCACCTTCGTCCGTGGAGGAGCAGCAAGTGCGATGCCTTATTGCTTTGATGATACGAGGGCGATGACACGAGTACATGCTGAGCCTCGAGAAGCCACCTCTGGAGTCATGGGAACAGCTGTTCGCTACCAGCTTTGGGTGTCCTGCCTGGTTGAGTGGTCATCATAATGTACTGTAAAAGATGATAAGCTGCTGCTTGGTGATCTGGCCATAAATATGACTACAATCCCCAGATATCAAGCACCGAAGAAAGAAGGAAAAAGAAGACTAAATTGCGAGAAAAGCCCTGCTCACTTGCCCAACTGAACGTCAAACGAGCTCAACGTAATCTTCACCAAACCAGACACAACCCAAATAATCATCTACAATATGTCTTCTCGACGCAACTCGGTGCGTATATTCTCAAGGACACGTGATGGTTTACAATAAGGGAGGGCATCGCTAACAAGTTGCAGGATGGTGGTCCCTCCTTGACGCCTGAACAGGCCACGGAGTTCACCGACAAAGTCGAAGACGCGAAGCCCGACTTCCCACACGAGTCTAAGTACAACGGAGATTATATCACCACCATGAATGGTAAGCAGAGCACCCACGCACAATGCACATGGAAGAGATGCATACTACATCCGTCATACAATCAATCTCTCTCTCTCTCTCTCTCACTCTTTCTCTGACACACAAAATCTTACAGGTGCTCCGGTGCAAAAGCCAGCAGCCAGCCAGCGTATCGGCAACCAACTGCGTGCCACGACGCTCCTCCAGGACATCAATCTCCTCGAGCTGATCCAGCACCTGACCCATGAGCGTATCCCAGAGCGCCTGGTTCACGCCAGGGGCACAGGCGCCCACGGCTACTTCGAAGTGACAGACGACATCACGGACTTGACCAGCGCCGCGTTCCTGAACCGGGTGGGCAAGAGGACTCCACTGTTCACGCGTTTCTCGACCGTCGCTGGCGAGCGTGCGTCGGCCGAGACGGTGCGCGACACCCGTGGGTTTGCCTTTAAGCTCCGGACCGAGGAGGGCATCCTCGACTGGCTGTTCCTGTCCACGCCTGTGTTCCCCATCCGTGACGGCGCCAAGTTCCCGTCCTTCACACACGCCACCAAGAGGAACCCCAAGAGCGGCCTGCCGGACCACAGCATGTTCTGGGACTACTTCACCCATAACGAGGAGGCCATTCACTTCCTCATGTTTCTCTTTAGTGACCGGGCCACGCCTGTCAACTTTCAGCATGCCGACTGCTTCAGCATCAACTGCTACAAGTTCACCAAGCCTGTAGGTTACATTTGCTTGTCCCTGCTTTCCTATCCTCGCAGCTTCATCGCCGGCGCAGAGCCAAGACTGACACTCTTCTTTCTCTCACAGGATGGCAAGTTTGTCTACGTGCGCATCCACGTCAAGACAAACCAGGGGGTCGAGAACTTTACCGTCGCCGAGGCCGCCACCGTAGCAGGCGAGGATCCAGACTTCCAGACCCGCTCGCTCTTTGAGGACCTCAACGCCGGGCGCACGCCCTCCTGGGACGTCTACGCGCAGGTCATTGAGCCGGATGCTGTCGCACGCTCCCCTGTCGACATCTTCGACGCCACCAAGACGCTGCCGTTCAAGGACTTCCCCCTGCGCAAGTTTGGCCGCATCGTGCTGGACAGAAACCCAGAGAACAACTTTGCCGAGGTCGAGCAGGCGGCTTTTAGCCCGACCAACATCGTGCCTGGTTGGTCTCTGTCGCCAGATCCAAGTATGTTTCGTCACTCTTCCTTCCTCTCCCTCCTCCTCGCCTTTGTTCTGTGTTCCCCCATCTCGTACGAGTCCACACCCAGGCTAAACATAGACCCTCTTCCTTCCTCCTTCAACAGTCCTCCAGACCCGTGCCCTCGCCTACGCAGACACCCAGCGATATCGTCTGGGCACGAACTTCATCCAGTTCCCCATCAACCGCCCGGCCTATTCCTTCACCCCCCTCAACCGCGACGGCCAGGGCGCCAGCGGCGACAACCTAGGCGCTACCCCCAACTACTACCCCAGCTCCTTCTTTGCCTACGGCGCCGCCGCCCAGTACGCCACCTCGGGCGTAAACGAGGAGCGCTTTGACGGCCCCGTGGTCGACTACGAGTCCCCCCTCCGCCCGGATGACTTTGCCCAGGCTACCTCGTTCTGGCGGGACGTGCTGGCCCGCGAGAAGGGCCAGCAGGACAACTTTGTCGGCAACGTCGCGGCGCACCTGCGAAGCGCGGTGGCGGCCGTGCGGGGTGATGTGTATGCGCTCTTTGCGCGCGTGGACGAGGAGCTGGGCAAGAGGATCGCGCGGGCGACGGAGATTCTGGTGGCGGAGGCGGCGGCCGCAGAGGAAAATGGGGCTGTGGAGGGCGACGCGGCGCAGGCGACTAGGAAGATTGCGGTGCTGCATCGGCAGAAGGTTGAGATTGCTGGGGGTGAGCGAGGGGTGGTCGTGCAGAAATGAGAAGCTGTTTGAACCAGGGGTGTTTTCTCGTCCTTGGATGTTTCTGTTGACTTTTTTGGGGGGATGGTAACAAAGGGAGGGGTAGCTAGGTGATCCAGAATGTTTGTCTCGTGAAGGAGGGTTTCAATCAGTTCATGTTGTGACAGAGGAACTCATATGTATGTTGAGGCAAGCCAATTCCTTCAGATACTTAGCAAATTGTCTCGCTCATACCGCCATAACTTGGAATACCGAGTGAAAGGAGAGAAGATGCGGGGCCCCTATGTCTGCTTATGCCCTCACCTAGAAATCCTCATCGTCTTGGATCATGTAGCCTTGATGGGCCACGACCCAAGAGCTCGTGATATGCAAGGCTGTAGAGGAGGAAGAATAATATCGGTCAACACTTTTTACTTTCCTGTCGTCACCAGATTGGGATCATACCCTGGGGCCTTAACAAGCTTGTGGCATACCAAAAAGTGATCGTGTGTCAACAATCTTCTTCAATTTCGTTCTTGTGGACGGCAGTTGTCAACTGCATATGGTGTTCTCCCCTTCTAATCCTCGCGAGGCCGCCCTCCCCCAGTAAATTTTTTCTTCCTGTTGGTATCACTGTAAAGCAGCCCGCTTTTGACCCCATGACCGTGATCGACTCGAAACTACATGCACATCGATGCGATGACGGGCTTCAACGTGCAGCTGCAAGAGGCATTCCAATCCATGCGGGTTTTCATTTTCATTTCACGTGTAATCCGTCCACCAGTACATCGCTCGCAGGGTCAAACAAATGAATAATTTAAACAAGGAAAGAAAAGAGAGAGGAATGAAGAAAACAAAATCCTCCGTGGGTATCATGATTTTGTGGTCGCCAAGATGGTGAAAAAGACCGGGAGCGAGCGAAGGCTAAGCTGGGGACCACCAGTAAAGAGCTGTTGATTGTGGTTCACGGGCTATACCGCCTCGACAGCCTCGACGGAAGACGATCCCTATGTCGATCCTTGTCCGAACCGGAACCGTTCCGTGGTCCCTTGAAGCCGGAATGCCGACCTGCCCTGCCGTTCTCGGTCCTCCCGTCTTTGCTGCCGGGCTGGCGTCCCTTGAAGCAGAAGCCTGCGATCGTCCGGAAGGGCCACATGACAATGTACAGGCATAGATGGTAAGGAATGATCACAATGGTCAGGAACCAGTCCGTGACCCACGCCATCAGCGCCGAGATTCCCCACTGGGACCGACTGCTCTGCTTAGCCGCAGCCGCAGCCAGGGCGATGGCGTCGTTCAGCCTCATGTCGACGGTGCCGAGCCTCGACTCTGTCTGGAGGGCGAGGACCGTAGCCTTTTTCTCGTAGCGGCGCATGGCACGGTTCAGCGCATCGAGCTCCGGCTGTATCGCGTTGCGGACCTCGCGGACGAGGGCAGCCTCCTGCTTGCTGCCGCTGCTGCTTCCTCCTCCTGGCCCGCCGTCCCGCCGCGCCTGCTGTGCTGCTGCGTTCGCTAGAGTGGTGGCAGTGACCTCCTCGTTGGCATCGGCGCGGACCTCGAGCTGGCCAAGGCGGGCCTGCATCTCCTCAAGCTGCAGCGTCGTCGACCGGGCCACGGGGGTGGACTGCACAATCCGCTGGAGGTGGAGGGTCCGGGCCTGGAGGAGCTTCAGCGCGTGGGAGATGGGGCGCAGCTCGGCCGCGAGGAGGAACACGGTGATGTTGAAGTCTGTCATGAGGCCTTCGGACGGGCGGCTCAGCTGGGCGCGTATGGCGTGGAGGAGGTATGCGCCGAGGGCTGGGCTCAAGAAACAGGAGATCAGAGCCAGGACCTCGTGCAAGTAGAGCTCATTGATCGCTGCCTCCTGGGCCCTGGTACGGCTTGCCGCCTTGTCTGTCTGGCCCTTCGCCCCGCGTTCCTCATCGTTTTCTTTTCCGGCCTGACTTTCCTGCCCGTCCTCCTCCTGCTGCTGCCCGTCCTGGGAGGATTCCTCAGGGACCTCGTCCAGCGTCATGACGGATGAAGTCATCATGCGTGCGGGTGCCTCTCCGTCGCTGTCATCCTCGATGACCTGTTCAAGCCCAACCTCTTGTCTGCTCCGGACCTCCTGGGCCTCATGGTACCACCGCCAGGGCTGGGTGACTGTGTAGCGCAGGAAGACGAAGACCAGCCCCAAGAGCATCACGTCCGTGACAAAGGAGCTGCCTCCTTCGAAGAAGATCCCGACCAGTGCGGGCAGCAGGGCAAAGGCCAGCGGCAGGGTCGAGAGGAGGGACTGGGTTTCAGGTGCGTCCGGGCTCTGCTTCGCGCCGCTCGGGTTGAGGATCTCTTGTGTCCCGTCGCGAAAGGACCGTCGAGCCTCGGACAGGCTGAATTCGGACAGGTTCGAGCTGCGCCGTCGCAGGCCTAGGGAGGCTGGCGCGTCGCCGCCCTCGGGGGATGAGAAGGAGGAGGCCATGATGCCTGGCCTGCGGCGCAGTAGTGGAGAGCCATCGTCCATGGTCACAGACCGCCTGAACGCGTGACCTGCTGGTGCAGGAGCAGAGGAGGCGGAAGCTGTGGCAGAATTGGACGAGGGAAAAGCGTACGAGGAGGTCGTAGCATGAGGAGAGACCGTAGGCGGTGGGGAGGGCAGACGCTGTGCCGGCGCGTCATTGTCCCTATCTGACGTTATATTCGCCATGATGACGATGACGATGGAGGTGGCAGTGGTGGCGTGGCGAGGAGCATCTGTCGAGTGTGTAGCAGCTGAAGACTGCAGACAGACACACTCTTCGAGAAGGAGGTCGTAAAAGGTCAAGAGAGGCGAAGCCGAGGATACTCGAGAGGTCACACAGGAAAGGAAAACGAGAGGAGAGAAGAGAGGAGGGAACACAAGAGACGGAGAGGAAGGGTGGTAACGAGGAACGAGGTCAAGATTGAGGGAACTGGGCTTGGAACAAGTCTGGAATGACGAAGAACAAGGATTGGTGTGTAAGTGCTATGTAAGGTAAGTAGGTGAGAGCTGAGGGTGCCGCCCTTGCCAGTCATGGTCGAGGGACCAGGACGCCATGACGCCAAATACGGCAATTAGCTGCACTAGTACGCGCAGCGTGGAGTTTTTTGTGGATGGGAAGAAAGTCCATTGCCAATCGAGTACAAACGCTGTATGCGTTGTACATGCAGGTGAGGCATGCAGGAGGTGCATTCGTACCAAAGAGTTTTCTTTCTTTCTTTCTTTCTTTCTTTACTTGTGTAGATGGTGGACTGGAGTGTAAGTTGGTCCTCTCATGATTGGTTCCTACATGATTTTACCAATTTTTCCCTTCCTGCTCAGGTACGTGGATGGTATCCTGCATACTTCTTATCAGTCCCACAAGTGGACTTTGAGATGGGGAACGAAGCCATAGATGCAGTGTGCACGAGCCGATTCCTGTCGAGATGTGGACCATTGACTCGGTTTACATTGTACAGAGACTAGGTCAAGTCGCACAGTGAGTTCGACTGACAAGACGCTCTCTCGGTGTAAACTGTCGAGGCTTGAGACAAGTGCAGTGCAAGGCTGCAGTGGAGTTGTAGCTGCGAAGAGTGGGAAATGTTACGTGACATGACATGACGTGACGTGACGCGAGGTAGGGACAGTGAAAGAAAGAAGGAAGAAGAAAAAGAAGAAATTAATAGAGGAGGAAGAAGTTGAAAATGCATCGGGTGGTTCCGAGCTGGAGGAGCTCCCATGGTACTTACTTGGCACTCTCTGGCTGTCGCATTGACCTCCTATAGTCAGTTATTCAGTATTTGACAGGCAAAGCGAGAGAAAAAAAGAAGGACAACCAAAAATCACATCCTATCCAACGAAGAAGGAAGTTGAAACTTTCAGGTCATTGAATCCTAACAAGTGGGCTCGGAGATTCTCTTGAGCGTATCCACCGATGACATACGAAGACTAATGACAAGGATAAGGATATGTGCTGGCAGGGGAAATCTTATTATCGTATCGTCCGTTGATTATCTACAGGGAAGCCTTTCCAGACTCTGCCCTACCATGTCTTGGATGAAGAATGATTCTGACAACTTTGCTCTTTGCTGTCTTTCTACTTGGAGGGACAATACTGAAAGCACGAGACAGGCATCTGGTCAGACCTGCAAACTTACTGTGCTCATCCATCATCCCACGAGGTGAGCCCCCCTTGCGCCTCAGATGCAGCCCTATGGGGTCCAAACTGTGCTTGAGGGGAACTGGGGGCCATCCTATAAGATGACCCCTGGCAGATGGTGGCAAGGTTGCCTTACACCACAGGTTGAAGAATAAGATATTGAACCAAAGAAAAAACCCTACCAAAAGAAACGCCTGCTTGGATGATGGCCAATCAGTTGGTTGGTGGAGGGATAATAGTGCATAGTAAATGCCACGGTAATGCCATGCACAGATATAGTATGCCCAGTAGTAGCAGGTACTATAGTGGTAGGTGGCTGGAAATAATAAATCTTGAATGTGATAAGCCAGCCAAGGCCGGGGGGCGTGGAAAAATATGTCATTGTGGTGGAATTACCGTGCAGAGCGCAGCCTTGTACAATGGGGACCTGGACACGCCGATGCTCAGCTCGTAGGTTGGCGCCTTCGGAGAATAAATGTAAAGAAGAAGAAAAAAAAAGAAAACGAGGAGGAAATTACGCGGACCCCATAATAAGAGACACACACGCAAGTGTGTATGAATGTATATATTTAAATCATATAAATATATATCAACACGTGCATGTGTCTTGTGTGTCTCGACTTCCTGTCTCGTAACCCTTGCATGCAGTCGACATACTTTTTGTAGTCTCACTTCACGATAAATAGAGACACATACACAAGAAAGGTCAAACACTCTTGAGAGGTAATTTGTAAGTTTTGTCGCACGGACGCAAGCATAACCACAATTTCCTTGAAAAAGCAAAAACATAAATCAATCCCCCTCCCCCCTCTTCAGTCTTGCGACATACACATCATGACTTGCAGTCAATGAACAAGGCAGACCGGAAAAGGGCCCTTCACACACACACACACACAAAACAACACGAAAAACGACCGTCGGCCATCTGGCGTTGGTTGTGGACAGGTGTCATGGTGGTGCGATCGGGCGACCACTGCTGCAAGCATCTTGACCTGCAACACGCACACGCACACTCCTCTTCCTACAACTCGTCCTCTTCAACCTCGATCTACAGCAGGAGCAGCAGGAGCAGCAGAAGCAGCAGAAGCCGCAGCGTTGGTGTTGGTGTTGGTCGCCGAGCTGCTGGTGGGTGCGATACCCGTCCCCCCAACTACAGCCCGCCATCCCCTACCAACGGCAATCTGCAGCAGCAATCGCGGCACCTGCAGGAACTACAGCACCAGCACTACTACCCGCTGCCAAGTCTAGGCCCGGCCCTGAACCTGCAGGCGACCCTGCATACGACTACGGCGCCACTACTGCAGCAGCAACAGTTCACGGCCACATCCTTTCCTCTTCAGGCTCTTCTAGTGGGAGCACTGCATAATCCTCATCTCACCACCCAGGATCCTGCTCTACGGCACCACCGAGGAGCAGCACATCCACCACATCCACCTCCACCTCCAGGTCCCGACCCAGGTCCAGCAGTAGCAGCTACTACTGCAGGGGCCTTTCACGATTGCCGGAAGCACACCCAGAAACGTGGGAGCCCCTGTTGTTCAATCTCCTGCTCCTCCTGGCCTCGCCCGCCCGCTGCCACTGCCTCGACCCCACCGCAAAACTCAACCTTCTTTGTCCTCCAAGTCCTCGACGAACTCGACCCCCTCCTCCTCCTTCCTGGTGGTCCAAAACAGCGACGACCACGACAACATCTGCACCGTCACAGGCCTCGTGACCCACCTCATCATCATCGACGGCAACAGCAACAACAACAACAACAAACACGACGACGACGACGACGAGACGTGCGCCTGCAGCTGCTGACGACGCACCTCGACCAACTGAAATACACGAGCCCGGCCAGAAGGGGACTCGAGGCCGTCCTGGCGGCTACTGCTAGTTCGAGATCGTTACCACGGCTTCCCACGCTGCGTCCAGTACTGATCGACCGGCTGAACTCGCCCCCCTGACCACCACCGACATTGTTCCCAAGCCAGCAGGCCCCAATACCACTGCCAATGTCAATGTCCATGTCGAAACCGACCCAGAAACCGAGCCTTCTTCTGCCACTTGCCCTCAACATCCCCCTCCTGCTGCGCTAGCCACTGCGCCGCCCGACAAGCCTCTGCCTGAAGTACCCCTGCCGCCGCCGCCGCCGCAGCCTCGGCACGCTCCTCTTCTTCAGCAGCAGCCGCAATCTCCCAGCAAAAGCGAGCACGACCACCACCACCACGACCGCCACCAGCGCCACACTCGATTCCCGAGCCAGGGCTCCTACCTACAGGAGCTGCAGCAGCATTCCCCCTTCCGGGTCCGCAGCGATTCCTCCACCAGCAGCCATCGCCGGTCCTTTTCCGCATCCCGCCTCTGGAATCCGACCAATTCGACGCGCAGTTTCCTCTTGCGCTCCACCCCTCGACCGCCGGCCCGACCCCCAAGCCCCGCGACACCTCCTGCCGTTCCCATCCCACACCTAACCCTCGACGTCTCCTCCATCAACCTTGCCGGCGTCGTCACCCCTGCCGGAGAGGTCCCACTGTTGTCGCCTCAATCAGACCAACAACAACAATCCAAGGCGGGCCGGACGAGCCTACAGATCGACCAGGCAGGACGGGACAGTGTCAGCCTGCCCAGGTCTGTCAGGCATTCCTACGACGAGATACGTAGCAAGAGCAGGAGCAGCCTCACACCATCCCCGGGCCATCACCCGGGCCAGGCTGCAGAGGCAGGATCACCGAGTGGACGACCCGAGACTGTCCAGGAGCTGGAACCAGACGCAGACGAGGGGAGACCTGCGCGAAAACGCAGAGGCAGTCGCAGCAGGCCGGCAGTGACGGCCACCGGTCACATCTTGGACAAGGGCAAGGGCAAGGCAGTCATGGCCTCCGACAATGATGCCGGCCAGCACGTGGGAGCGTCTTTCGAACGGGACCTCGAACAGGGACCCGACCCCCACCGCAGAGACTCGATCGGCTCGTTGGACGACGATGGTATAGGCTCTGCCATTGCATCCAGCGACTCGTCCATAAGGGGCGATCCAGATGCACCCGTCGTTGACGAAGAATGGGGGCCTCAACACCCGTGCTTCCCACATCTAAATCCCCACGTCCCGGTCGACTCGCCAGAATACGCCAACACCCGCATTATCAGGATAAAACGAGACTGGCTGCTCCAGGGTGACTTGGCACCCACCTTTTCAAACTTGTACCCGGAGATCCTCGACCCCGCGGGCCTGTCCGAGGTGGAGTTCCGGAGGGTCATCGACAAGCTGAACTCGGAACTCGTCATGGTGTTCGACCCATACAGCTTCAGGAACATCATGGACGGTGTGCTAGGCCTCCTGACCGGCTGGCTGTGGGACGACTTCGGCCTCACGTACGCCAAGGCCCGACTGGCGAGGCTCGAACGGTGGATTGAACGATGGAACCAGGAGATGGAGAAGACCGCTGGTGGCGACGACATTGTCATCCCCCCAAAGATTGTGCCTCTGAGGCAGACGGCATATATGACAGTGAGTCAAACCCCCCCCCTTTTCTTTTGCTAGCCGAGATGATGTTACCATGCATGCCTCCTGGTGGCAGCACGACGTAGCAGCAGCTGACAGCCTTGAAGCTCGATATCCAGATCTTTGCCCCTCAGATCCAGCCGGCCCAGGACACAACAGGCGGCGAGTCAAGAGGTGACGAGTCCGACATGCCCGCGGCACCCCCCGCGGCGGCCATGTCGAGCTGATTGACCCTTCTCTGTGCCTGCTTCCCCTGACCGTCCATTCCACGAGACGAGCTACTACAACGCCCCGAACTGATTCTTTGTCTCTCTCTCTCTCTCTTTCTTTCTTCCCCTCTCACGCAAAATCTCTCATATATGAAACACATTTTAATTGGCTGCGCGCGATGAATTACGACAATACCCCCACTTTTCTTCTTGCTTTTACTATTACTCTTCCTTTTTTTCTTGATCCATACCTTCCTGCGCTTTTCTAATACGTGAGACTTTTGGGTCTCGAATGTACAAACCACAACGCATAAGCGTGAGGCGTTCTGGCTTTCGGTGCTTGGCCTCGCGGCCACTTTTTCTGTGCACAGTTTCCTTGCCACCCACCCGCTCCCTTGCTTTCAGTTGTGGTCGATTGGATGATGGAGGCGGAGAAGGATGCCGCAGAGGGACTTGTTTATGATTTCCGATAAGTGGGTTACCAGAAGATGAAGTTTTATAAGTTAATTTGTTCCGAATTGAATGGGAATCGCTTTGAGCATGCGTGCGTTCCTTGTCCTGTTGAGGTGTCAGAGTCATGGATATTGTGATGGTGATCGAGAGATGTAATGATGAGGAAATTTGGTAAGTACAACGCGATCCGATCTTTTGACGCATATTCGACCTCTTTTTTTTCTTCTTGAGTAACGTACAACAAGTTTCCCAAATTTCTCCAGGGACTGTATTGCTGATGACCAGGCTCATTCCGCAAAGGAAAGACAACGTTTGGCTCTCATTCTGCTCAGCTTTGTCGCTTACACAAAACTCAGGGTAGCGAGGTCACCCTCGTTATTATTATTATTATTCTATTTCATGTTATCTTCTGGTTAATCCAGCCAGCTGTGTCACACTGGCGTACGTTGCCGGTCGTTTGGTACTGGAACCCACTTATCGAGGAGTTCTGGCTGGTGAAGCCGAAGCACTGGCCTGGGTAATCTGCGTCAAAATTGTTGTACCAACAGACGGCGTTGCTAACATTCAACATTGTACGTTAATTAGTTCATGCTGCTCATAACAATGTATAGGTAGAGTCGCCTCGGCCGAGCTAAATTCTGAGCATTCTCTCATATGCTTTGGATACTGTGAAAGGCAGACCAAAGGGGGCGAGAGAGAGAAGGAGGAAAAGTGAGCCAGGAAAAAAAAAGAGATCCACACATACCAGACCTCCCCGCCCTGCGCGATCTCCGTCGCGTTCATATTATTATATTCCGCACACAGGTCGATACAAGCATTCAGGTCCGTGACCGGCTTATTCACCATATCATCCGCATTGCCCAACAGGTTGGTGTTGCAGAACTTGCGGAACACATATTCCTCCGACCCAAAGGTGACTGAGTACAGCGTATTGTTGGATGAGGGACAGTCACGGTACAGTGTCGACGTCGGGCCGACAACGTCGGTCGTGGTGACGGAGACGGGTTTGGTGGAGGTTTTTGTGGGGGGGGAGGAGAAGGAAGAGGAGGAAGCAGAAGAAGAAGAAGAGTCGCCTGTTGAACTTTCGTTGCTCTTTTGAGAAGTCAGGGCGGCTCCGACGCCACCTCCCACTGCAGCGCCGATAATCATCGCGAGGGATACGCCGAGGACAATGTAAAAGGTCCGCGGGGCCAGGCGACAGATCCGCTTCTTCGCAGGGAGGGGTGTCGGTCTCGATGCTACAGCTGGTGGTGCCTTATCGTACCTGGGGAAGGGTTGGGAGGCGTAAACAGGCTCAGGGAACTGGTTCGGGTCTGTGACGACTTGGAGGCGTTGGCCTGTGTCCGGTACTACCTGGGGAGAGTCGCTGTAGTGGTGATCGTCGTAGGCCATGCTGGAACCAAAGGTTCGGCCTGTCTGGTTTTTGAACAAAAAAAAAGAAGGATACTTTGGAAGTGGGATGTAATGATTATTCAACTTAGGTAAGAAGGGAACGGTTGGGTCTAATACTCATAAGGAAGCAACTATGTGAAGGGAACCCTCTTCCATGACACAGGTGTTTTGGATCCTACCTTTTTTCTTACTGAGTGATGATGATATATCTTGGCTGTCAGCCTTTCCAAGGTTGTGGAAACACAATTGTGAAACTTACGCCTGATCAGCTTACTTAGTACTTAAACTTTCAACGTTCCTGCATGAAGGATTGAGGCTGCCTGAAATGACGGGCGGTCACTGTGACCTATTTGCTTGCAGTATTTCCAAAGCCAAGTCCATTCATATCTCGCTTCAGTGGCGTGCCTGGCTTAGTAGAGCTTTGAGACGTGATAATGCAATCTGCTCGCTCTTCCTATCTCATACTTTTGGTGTACAGTAAGGTTGCAGGATGCGAGTCTTTCTAGAAACGTAATTAGGTGAGCAGCAGGAAAAAAGGAGGGGAGAAGGAAGAAGAAGAAAAAGGGGCTGTCTTTGAATGTCTGAGCCCTCCTTATTTTCGTTCTTGCAACACGACAGTCAAGAACAATTTCTGTTCGAGTCTAGATGAAATCCTGAACGGACCTCTGCGGCATGGTTCACAGTTGAGGTTTGTCTGTCAGTAAGAAGAAATTGAGAGTAAAAAGAAAAGAAATAGAGGGCGAGAAGAAAAAAAGACGGGCTGATGACACAAAGCATGGGCTTGATAACAAGGTTCTGTCCATAAGCTTTATGCTTAAATTCATCGTTTGGCTAGGACTGGGTCAGGGTAGTTTCGTTTGAGTTATATGGCAAACTTTTCCGTTGCAGTAATGAATGAATACTTGATCCAGAAGGGAGACCCTGCCTTGGGCCACACCTCAACATCGATGCCCTCTTAACCATGAGGACTGTTCTTTCCACCAGCTCTAGGTCCAAAAACACCATCATGGAATTAGGTTCGGATCGATTCACCCGAATCTGTGCTGTAGGAGGCTCCACTTCGACAGCACTTGCCTGTCATTGTCGTAAGGCAGAAGATGTCCGATCTTCGCAGGGGGAGCGGCAATAAGGCGGGCCTTCTGTGTGTAAACATGACGAACTCTGCTAATCTCATCCATATCTCTCTTACACCATCGGCTTTTTTTTTTTCCCCTTCCCCATTCGTGACAAGATGAAGAGATTTGAAGATTTCACACATCCAGGATCAACTTCATCCTTCTGATCTCTTGCAGCTTCTCCTCCTTTTCTGTCCTTTCTCTTTTGGCTGTCAAAGGAAGGAAAAAGAATATTAGGATTTGGTGCTGTTGATTGTGAATATAAGCCAGGTCCCATTCACAACTTTTCCTTGTCTTGTGGTGGTGATTCCTCCTTTGGAGGGAGGAAGTGGGTGCGAGAAACGATGGTTGTGACAGCCAGGATACCAGATGATCATGTTGAGAATGAACAGAAAGGCAAGAAGGTGACCAAGGCCCGAAACAGATACATTCAGTTCCTCTCTGAGCAATGGCTGGTGATTTGTTTCGGTCTGGCTTGTGTGTTGGCGTGGAAATGGCCCGGTAAGCCCCAGCACCACCATCCTTTGTGCCTTTCTTTCATTGCATTGTTAGGACAGAAGGGGGACTGACATAGTATTGCCAAGATGTTGCCGCTACTGGGGGTCCGATCAAATCAGAGTACACCATCCTGTACGGCTCCGTTGCCATCATCTTCTTCATCAGCGGTCTGCAGCTCTCGACCCAGAAGCTCCGCGAGAACCTCTTCAACTGGCGCCTGCATATCATCGTGCAGGGAATCAGCTTCGTCGTCATACCTGTGATCTGGCTTGGTCAGTGTGCCCCTAGCAAGAATCTCTGTTATATTCAAATCTTGGTCCTTGATATTTGTAAGCCGGAGTTCGAGCTTGCTGACCCAAAGTCTTCTGCTTAAAGTGATCATGTGGATCATGATCGCGGCCGGTGATTTGCAGACCAAGGTCATCGAGATCCCTGTGCTCACCGGGATGCTGGTGACAAGCTGTCTGCCGACGACCATTTCTTCCAACGTCGTCATGACCCGTAATGCGGGCGGCGACGATGCGGCGGCCATCATCGAAGTGGTTATCGGGAACGTGTTTGGCTCCTTCATCAGCCCTGGACTCATCTATGCTCTCATCCCGCGCAGGCCCGAGTTCACATCGTGGATGCCAGCCTCGCCGACCACCCTGGGGGCCATGTACAGTGGCGTCGCCGAAAAGCTGGGACTCACGGTCATCCTGCCGCTGGTGGTGGGACAGTTGGTACGGATCCTGTTTGAGAAGAAGGTGGTCTGGTGTGTGACGCATCTGAAACTTGGGAAGCTATCGACCTTCTTCCTCTGTACTTTGATATGGTCAGTAGATTGCCTACAGTGTCCACAGCTCCTTGTGCCAAAATTCGAAGGAGAACGCGAGGACTGGCTGGGCCAGGCTGACTTTGATCAGGTCCACCTTCTCCAACGCCTTCAAGACGGGTGCACTCTACACGATGCCCAAGGCCTCTATTTTCTTCACAGTTTTTATGAACATCGGACTCTACGTCTTGTTCACCATAATCTGTTTTGTGTTCGCCCGGCCGCCGCACAACCTCGTGAAGAAGGCGATAGGACCGCAGCTTGCGAGTCTTTCGATCCCACGGCCCATCAGGCACTTTATCACCCCCAGACAGATGTCCAAGGAGCAAACGATCGCCGTGTGTTTTTGTGGCGCGGCCAAGACCACCGGTGTCGGAATCCCGCTGGTGGCGGCAATGTGGTCGGGCAGGGACGAGCTGACGAGGGCATACCTGCAGATCCCCGTGCTGCTGTATACAATGGAACAGGTGTTTCTGGCCCAGGGACTGGTGTACGTCTTCAAATGGTTCTTGAGACGGAGCGTGCACAGCGAGCTGGACGTGGAGAGTGTGAGGGGAGAGCGTGGACTGCGAGCTCTGGATGGGGCGGACGAGACGCCGTCTCCCACGACGGAGACGGTGAGAAATGATGAGAGGCTGCGTGCGGACTGTGCTGGCGTGGAGGAAGTCAAGCTTTGAAGGGTGTTGTTCGCTTTCTTATGTTGTGTTTGGTTTGTGTGATATTTCTACGGCTATAGATTATACCCATTTGTTCTTCGAGAATGTGTCATCGGCAGTGAATGAACTGAAGAACGCATGATCATTGTAATTTCTGTTGATTGCCTCTCCAAACATGTTCAGTTGAGGTTTCGAGAAACGCTCTGCTGTGTGCCCAGATATTCATAATATCGAACCGGTCTATGGCTCAACTTATTAGCACTTCAAGATTTTGGTTCTTGAGCGCTGCTTATGAATGATGAGTCGAATGTGGCCGAAGGAGGTGAAATCCGTAAAACAAATAAGTAGTATCCTAATTATTTGGTCATCTTTTTCATTGTTTTGCTTCTTTCCCTAGTCAATTATTAAATAGGTTCTGGCCTGGATTCTAAAGTACTTGTGTATTTAAAGTGATGATCGAAGGCCATACTTGATCAACGTATACAGAATTAGGACTTCCTGTCTACAGCGGTGAAGAGCAGCAGAATCACTACATCTGTGTCAAGGCCGGGCCTCGGTTCAACTGGATTAGAATTATCGTAGTACTCATGCACTTTCGTGGAATCGTTCGTTTTTTGCCGGAGGTGTTGAGATAGATTGTTCCTGTCGTAGCGATAGAGGATCTGCACCCCTGTTACTGCACGTCCAGGGCTTCAGTTACTAGACATGGGTTCATACAGTACTGTTACAAAACCTATTGCAGGGCCTTTTCGTCAAACGCTACCAGACCAGGGGGGGGGGTCCTTGACTTCAGGTCTTATACAGCAGCTGCTCCAGCACCCCACCACCTTCCTCAGTGAGGGCTGCTTACTTATACAATAATCAGTCAACAATACTTACCTCAGGTCCTCGCCCATCAATTGAAGGGATCAACCCTCACTGTTGAAGATGGGAAGCGTCAGCAGTGAGAAGCTGCTCGTCAGCTCCTCCCTTTCCTCGGCGTCGTCGCCACCCCCTCCAGCTTATCACGAAGCACACGCGTATCCCAAAATACAGCCAGGTCGGCGCCTGCGGAAGACCCTCTCACTCCGCCTCGTTGTGGCCCTGCTGCTCGCTATCCAGCTGTCCTGGCTGTACCTATGGAACAATCGCACACGGGGGCAACTACCTCGAGCTGTCCTATCGGCCCTCGAGGAGAAGAAGTTCGAGGCAGGTCTGGCGTCCTGCGCGGCCCTCGCCACATTTCCAGCGAGGGTCGAGCCCAGGGACCGCAGGGAGAACCCAAGATGGAATGATGTGAGCGGTCAGGCCAAGACGGTTGTGTTACGAAATGCAACACTCTTTGACGGCGAGGCGTTTCTTGAGGGCTCCGTCGACATTGTCTTTTCCAGGGGTCTTATCACCTCGGTCTCCCCTGCTGGTGCAGTCGTGACCGTTAACAACGACGACGATGACAACGACGGCATCAAGGAGGTTGATCTCCGTGGGGCATACGTGACGCCCGGTCTGGTAGACATGCACGCGCACCACCTGGTTTTGGCATGGCCTACCATCGAGGCTACAGATGATTCCAACGAGGTGCACCCCGACTTTGGTCCGCTCACACCTTTCGTGAGCGCCATCGACGGCATGAAGGCCTATGATGCGGCCACCAGGCTCATCGCCTCCGGCGGCGTCACATCCAGCCTGATCATCCCGGGCAGCGCCAATATCATGGGTGGCGAGGGCGCTGTTGTGAAGAATGCGGTCAAGGCTGGGCCGAACGGCGAGTACGTGATCGAGGAGATGCTGTTGGATCATGGGATCGAGACGGGCGAGAGGCACCGGTACATGAAGATGGCCTGTGGCGAGAACCCCAAGAGGGTTTATGGGCACACGAGGATGGGAAACGTGTGGGTGCTGCGGAAGTGGCTCGCGAGGGCCAAGGATCTCATTGACAAGCAGGACGCTTGGTGCGAAGGCGCTCATATGGCGGCGGCGGCGGCGAGGAGCAGCACCGAGGCCAAGGCGAGGATGTTGGCCGACAAGGGCGGGTTCCCCGAGGAGCTCGAGCTGGAGAGCACCGCGGCTATGCTCAGGGGCCGTGTGGCCATGCATAACCACTGCTATGAGCCCGAGGACATGGAGACCATGCTGCGAGTCTCTCACGAGTTTGAATTCCGTGTTCGGGCTTTCCACCACGCCATTGAGGCCTGGCAGGTCCCTGAGATGTTGAAGGAATATGGCGAGTAGGTTTTTGGGACTTTTCTTCTTTTTCTTTCTTTCTGACTTCTCCTTCTTTTCCCAACCGCATCTCATCACCACTCACACTGCTTGAGCTCTTGTGTCGTGTCTGACGCTGACCTTGCGTGTATGTGACAGGAACATCACAGTCGCAACATTTGCAGAATTCGCCCTCTACAAGCAAGAGGCATACGCTGCTAGCCTGTATGCCGGCAAGATCCTCAACGACCACGGCGTACCGGTGGCTTACAAGTCCGATAATGCCCAGGAGGATCTCTCGGCGCAGTATCTGAGGTTCCAGGCCGCTGTTGGCCACTCCTTTGGCCTGCCAGCGGACAAGGCGCTACAGTCCATCACCTCGATCCCAGCCAGGGCCATCGACCTTGATTTCCGCGTGGGCTACACACGAGCAGGGTACGATGCTGATATTGTCGTGTGGGACTCGCATCCTCTTTCCGTCGCTGCGACGCCGAAGCAAGTCTACATTGACGGCGTGGCGGCCCTGGACCCAGTCAAGGTCGAAGAGAACACGGCGCGTGTTGTCTTTGAGACCGCTGACGGTGTGAATAGAGGCGCGGGAAAGCCTGAGATGCGCGCCACGATTGATGAGGAGGAGAGGTTGCAGGTCTGCACCGACGTGCGCAAGCCGGGCCAGACCCTTGTGATCAGCGGAATTACCAAGTCGTTTCTGGACGAGAGGTCAGGCGTACTGCCCACGAGCGAGAGCGAGTCCCTAGGTTCAAACCTCATGCTCATCGTAAAGGACGGTCAGGTTGTCTGTCTGGGCTCCAGCGAGGTTGGAGACTGCGCCAACACGGGTATACAACTCTCGAACGACAACGACCATGTCGTCCATATCCGTCTTAAGAATGCCCACCTCACCCGTGGCTTGACGGCTGTGACGTCCTCCTTGGGTATCGTCGAGATCACCACAGATCCAGACACTGGCGACGGTCTGGCCAATGTGGTCAAGCCCAAGGAGGCTAGAGACGCGGAAAACATTGACTATGCGAAGTATGCCGTCAGCCTCGCAGGTGGCGAGGTGAAGGCCAAAGCATTTGCCCGCGCCAGGCTAGGGGGTGTCACCAGGGCTGTTCAGTCTCCTGTGACACAAGGCGGACTGATCGCAGGCGTGTCTACAGGTCTGAGGACGGGACTGCACAGCACGCTTCTCAATGGAGGTCTGTTCCAGGAAGACGTTGCCATGCATGTTGTGCTGGGACAGGACGCCAAGGCCAATGATGGCGCTGTGAGTATGGCCATCGAGAGGCTCAGGGCGCTTGTGAGGGCTGGTGGGAGTGCGAAGAAGGTGAGGGACACTGATGCTACAAACCCCTGGGTCTTGGTTGCCAATGGTTCGCTGCCTCTAGTCATCAGCGCTGTCTCGAACGTAAGTCTTGTTGTTCAACTGCCCAAAGTCTCTTGATCTTCCTTCGTCCTACTAACAAGATGTTTGAGAGCAGCACGATATCCAGCAAACGATCCTGTTTAAAAAGGACTATCCTCATGTCAACGTCGTCATCTTGGGAGGTCATGAGGCGCCTCTTGTAAGTCATTTTTCAGATGGATTTGCTTAGCCCACCCTCTACAGAGAAATTTGTTGCTGATGATCAATGCTTCTTTTACACTGTAGTTTGCTCGGGAGATTGCGGAAGCAAAGGTTCCTCTGATCCTGACGGCGACTCGCCCTGGTCCAGACAGCTGGACCAAGATCAATTCGCTGCCTGGGCCGCCCCTTAGTAGAAGCCCAGCAGACGTCCTGAGCGAGGCGGGGGTGTTTTTTGGTATCTCGATCCTTGGTCAGGGTGGTAAGTTCATGCCCCCCCCCCTATCTCTTCTCCTCTTTCTTTCTATCGAATTATTTCCTCCCGGTCATCATCTCTTTGTTCTGTCTTTCTGATGCTACACCCTTACTGACATTCTCCTCACCAATCAAAGGACCCCCAGGAGATTCGCGCATCCAATCTACCGCCCTCGAGGCGTCCTGGGCGGCCAAGTATGCAGGTCTGAGCGAACGAGAGGCGCTGGCCCTTGTCTCGACCAACATTGAGCAGATCCTGGGCCTCGAGGCGAGTGGTGACATTGTGGTCTGGGAGGGCAACCCGTTGCAGTTCGGGACGCCGGTGCTGGGTTTCCAGGCGCAGGGCGGGAGGCTGGAGGTTAGCAGCTGTTGGCCTAATGAGGTGGATGAGTAGATGGTTGCTTTCGAAACTGTGCTGCTGAGTATTGGTCGATTCTCACTCCTTGGCGGCTGTTTGGGGGTTTCAGCGTGGCGCTGGATACAAGTATTTATGTACTACATAAGTGTATGTATTATTTTACTTGCTACCTCCGCAGCTCGTGATCTGACGTGGATCGAATTCTGTTTCTCCGTCCATACTGGTTGCCCACCATTCATTCATCTTGTCACGAGCACAAGAAATGCACCACATCTATTCTCGTGCTCATTGACCTGCATATCTCATACATAAGTAGGTGGTCAGAGGGAGTTTTGAAGGGGGTGGGCCTAGTCTGGTCATAGTCTGGTTAGTGATCGGACCCCCACCCACCCTCCATAGCCCCCTGAGACGGGCCTAGATCATGGCAGGATTGCATTCTTTTGCAGCCAATCTGCAAGACTATTAAAGTTTGAAACAGGACTGCGTGGGGGGGAGGGGGGAGAGGCCTGTCTGAATAATTCACTTGAGCCAGTAGAGCCAGAACAATCAGCCGCTCAGTTCAGTGAAATGTGGACCAATCCGTTTCTCTCTCTCGTCCCTCTCCAAGCAAGCCATCTCACACACCACCGTCGGCTGCTTTCCCCCCTTCATCTTCTCCTTTCACGGACGAGCGTGCACTAGAGCAGCTAGGTACTTTAAGTAGTCAGACCCATTTCGGGCCGTTTGCTGTACAACCCCATGAATGACGAATTGTCCTTGGCGGGAGTGAACCGAGTTCTTCTTCGCGCCGAAAGGGACGAGCCGCTGGGTGAGGAGATCAGCGGCTATGTAATGCTGTTATGGTGGGTTGTTATCTGTTCTACATGTATATTTATAAATACAAAAATGTTACCCTAGATCGGACGAACATGTTTCGTTTCCCGCATCGTCTTTCGGACAGATCAACAGAAGCTTATTTTCACTCACTTGCAGGACGTGCAAAGCAAAAAAGCTCCGATCGATTGACAGCCCACTGAATTAGATTTCTGGGGCTCCACCGTCAACGTCAACGTGTTTTGGTTTGTGTTGGAGCCTGCTGGGCACGATGGAGGGGACCGGGGGCTACAACATCGCTCTGCATTTCGATACGATCTGCAATGTTGAAGATCGAGGTTTGATAAATCGGTGCCGAAATGTTCAAGACACTATAGTAGTACATGCTGCTACAATGTATGCTGCCCAAGTACCTCGTTAGCTACGCGCCCCGCTCGACAAGGTCTCTCCTCTTTCACAGTCTGGGGCGGAAACCCCTTGATTAATTACTTAGGAGTACGTGCCCTGGCGAACGGGACCTCGCATCCATGTGTGCCGCCCGTGCAGATGTGGCGTATTCCCCCACCCCTTCCCCCCCTCTGGTCTAGCACACCCACCAATTTGCACAGACTTGCTTGTTTGACATTGATGTGTGGCGGACCTGATGATTGCCACGACACCACTCTGACTCTCTCTTCAGCTCATCTTGTTGCGTCAAGATATTCCGTCAGTCAGGACAACCCAAGCGCTGGCCAGGCTTGGCAATCGATGGATGAGTATCGCTATCTAAAAAATGACAGCCTAACCTTGTCGTTGGGAGGTTTCCAACATGTGTGAACTCGGCATTGAATAATAATTAGTAAGAAGAGGAGGACGAGGAGGATCATATCATTCTCCAGCAATTCCAAGTCTGGCACAGCTTGGGAGCAGCATCCCTTATCATTCTGGCGTTCATGCGCCTCCTTCAAATCTAACCTTCTCGATCCTCTTTTTAGTCGGCTCCTCGGAACAACTTAGCTCTGACGGCGGTTTTTTATTTATTTATTATGGACCACTATCGCTACGGGTAATAAATGATGCAGGGGAGGCGGCTCGGATGCACGCCCCTTGCCCGTTTATGTAAATAAGCAAGCTCTAGAGCGCTTCAGCTCTGGCTTCCCCCTTCCTCCTCCCAGTTCTGGTAATGCACTCATCAGGGTGGGAGGGGGAGAGGGGTGCAGAATTGAGATTGGGTCTGTGGGCGGCGGCCCCCCTCCTTGTATCTTGCATCTGGCAAAGTACAACAAGTAGACATTGTAGTCGTTTTGCTTGATGCCAGTAGGATGATTGGATATTGGCACCTTGCCCATCTCGGATGGGTAGGCTGCTCTGTTCCTACTACATAGACGAATGGTTGCCTTGTCTTCATACGACCTTCATTTTCATTTGTCCTTCTTGTCCTTTCCCTCTTGTCTTCCTATACTGGTTTTTCCTCATCCCTTCTTGACCCCTTCTTGACAGGCTTGACTTGCCGTCAACTTACGCTCCTTGATTATTGGTCTCTTGAGAGATCATATTCCTTTCGCTCTTTTTCTCTTTCGTTTCGACGCACTCATTTGGCAAGCTGCTAAGCACCACCCGATCTCTGTGACGATCACTGAACTCTGCCTGCATACACGATATCTTACTATTGTGTATATTGCAAACCCACAGTAGACAAAGCTTGACTTCTTACAGAGAACGATTCTTCTTCTTAGTACTGTATTTACAGAGAAATTCTTGAAACTTTTTCAGTGGATATTCACGATCATTTCCTGTCCCAGTGACAGTTTCATTTCTGCTCCGAAACAAGTCGAACAATCGTTCATTTTCAAGACTCACACACAAACCATGAAATCTACGCCAATCATCGCAGCGGCTTTGGCCGCCACCGCCAGGGCAGCCCAGGACGAGCGAACCTTTGCCGTGCTGCGCTTTTACGGCGACGGGCCGCTCATGGAAGGCCGCGTCGACCCGATCGTCTCGCCCGGAAAGACATCGAGCCATGTCCACACCATCCAGGGCGGATCCAACATTGGCATCAGTGCGACGGGGGAGGACCTGATGGACTCGAACTGCAGCAGCGCTCTGGTGGAGGGCGACAACAGCGCCTACTGGTTCCCCAAGCTTTATTTCTATGACAGCGACAACGATACGGTTGAGCCTGTGGATTTGTACTATGCCAACATCTACTACTTTTTTGAACGTACGTCTGTCGGATTTCCAGAAAGGGTTTCCCTTTTTTTTTTTCCTTTTTTTTTTTTTTTTTTTTTTTTTTTTTTGGATACTTTGTTCTATTTGCATTGGTTTGGCTTGCTTCCACGCGAGGCTGATATAACACTTGTATTCTCTACTATCTTCTTAAGACAGACAGGAGAGAAATCTCTCCACAATCTTCTTCCATTTCTCCTACTATACCAGAAGACTGACTCCTGAGGATCTCAATAGCCACCGATGACGATGTCGTCGCATTCCCTGTGGGACTGCAGATGACCAGCGGAAATGCCAGTCTTCGAGAGTGCCCCAACTTCTACGGATCTCTTCAGCTCGATTCGGGCAACTCTTCTGGTATTCAACCAACACAGTGGACATGCCCACGGTCGAGCTACGAGCCTGCGTCCTGGGAGTGGGCTTCTGTGTCGGATGGCTCGACGGCAGGTATTCAGGACCAAGGCAACCAAGGAGCTGGCCAGGGTTTCCCATTGTACGTTGAAATTTTTTAATTTTTTTTAACGGATTACAGGCACTCCCTCGCCTTATTTGTCTTGACCTGACTACACTTTTTTCTTTCTTTTCTCTCTCTTTCTGGAACAGTCGTTGACTTTTTGAGTGACAATAGCGCCGAGTGTGATGGCCTCTATTCACCTCTACGCCAGGATCTTCACTTCCCGTCCTGCTACGACCCATCCAAGAGCCTGACCGACTACGAGAACAACATGGTCTTCCCGACCACAGACTACACCACCGGCAAGCAGAACTGCCCCACGGGCTTCACACACGTGCCCCACCTCTTCTTCGAGGCCTACTGGAACACCCAGGTCTTTGCGGACCGCTGGACCAGCAACTCTGGCTCGCAGCCCTTTGTCCTCTCCAACGGCGACCTGTCCGGCTGCTCGGCCCACGGCGACTTCATGGCCGCCTGGGACACCGAGGTGCTCCAGAACATCATCGACACCTGCAACGCGGGGGATATCGGCATGGACACTTGTCCTGGCGTCACGGTGCGCGACAAGAGCAGCACCTGCAACGTGGCGTCTCCGATCGAGGAGAACATTTACTCTGGGCTGGCGGCTCTGCCTGGTGATAACCCGCTCGTGGGGTGGGGCAAGTCGGAGGGTGGTGTTGGGGCGGCCAGCGCAGCCGTTGCGTCTTCTTCTTCTTCTTCTCCTTTGTTGAGCACAGCTGTTTCTGCCTCGGCGAGCAGCACTGTCATCTCGCCTACAGAGGGAGGCAGCGGTCCAGGCACCGTGTCGACTCCTGCTGCGTCACTGACTGCCACAAAGTCTGATGTTATTTCTGCGGCACCGACATCAACGGAGGCGGCGGCGTCGACGATGATAACCACGACCCCTGTTGCGGTCGAGAGTGTGGATCCTGCATCGGCCTCTGCCCCGGCAGCCACGACGCTCGTCAAGCAGTGCAACAAGAAGAAGAGGAGATCGGATAGCAATGCGCATGTCCATGAACACATGGCTCGGCACCAGTCTCCCCACCACCGGCACTAGATGGCCGCTGGACATAGTCGGCTTGCGTAGAATAGTTTTATTTTGTGCATCTGTCCAAGACAGGGAACCAGATTCGGACTTCACTTCATTTGGGGACGATACAAATTTTATGACGGTGTTTTAAGAGGGGAGACACGGTTGTACATTACGGAAAAGAGGCTTGGGGAAATACAGATTGGGTCTGTTTAAAAAACAAGTTCTTGTGGAACTTGACCCGAACAACGCGCTGGTTGTCGAGCAGGTATTTTGACAGCCACTTCTTTCTGCAGGTGGATGGTCTCAGCTATGTCTGAGTATACACGTATCCGAGATAGAAGATGTGCTTGAATCCAGACTTTCGATTCTACTTCGTATGATTGTGTGCCAATTTTTATCGCAGCCAGTCTGAACAACTATGTCAAATGTGATTTCGAATTGTCAATGTGCCCATATGCTAATTTTGAGTGATAACAACTTTTGCTCCTATCTTGGTCACGTAGACTGGCATGTGCTTGCTGTTGAAAGTTGCTTGGTGTAGCAAGTTGTGCAAAGATATATGCTGGGCGTTTCCAAACCTTTGAGCTGTGGAATGTTATCATAGGATAGGCTTAGGATTGAAGGCATCAATGTATTAATGGTAAGCCTCGCACTGTACTTACTCATCACTTGACAAGCAAAACCAATATCCCAAACCCTCCAAGCTCCAGAGTATGTCTGTTGATCATGTCCCTGAAAATCGCCTTTCCCACAAACTAGTGGCACATACATTGAGTGAACGCACATCCATAGGTAAACTTTACGCCAGGCACACGTAGTGGTGTGTGGTCCAATGAGATTCCGTTCCTGGCACAGAAAAAGGTGCCGAGGCATCACCAGCTCAGATCAGATGAATTAGTCTGGCTATTGTAGATGGACCTTGGTAGATCTCGACTTTCTAAATTCAATCACGTGTTGGAGAAGAGCGGTCTGACTCTGGGTCTCGAGATACAGTATTATTAATTGCCCAATACCACTATAACACTCACTCATCAGGAAACTAATGGAATCGAGGAGACGCATCCAAGGTTCTTTCATGATGTTTTCTTACCATTTATGACAGAACAATAGCTGTTGTATTATGATATTTCTACCTACTAACAAATACCATGAGGCCACGTACAAAACCAGAGGTTCGAGGGGAATAGTTCTATAACCTTCGGCCAATATTATACTTGCCGAGACACACGTTACTTCGAAAGACTACAGGGGCAGATCAACCCCTCTTCCCTACTTTCCAAGGTCTTGTGCTCCTCGGTGGCTTCTCAGCCAAAGGAACTGAGCAGATGACCCCTCGAGAGAGGAAGCGGGCACCACCCTTCTGACCTCAGGCTGAGCACGCCACGCCAAAAAAACACCTTGTCTGGTTGCTTTCATGACGTTATTCCCGCCAGCCCCAAAACATGAGTAAGAAAGCCATTTGGGGGCGTTGTCTGTCCATGGGTCCGGACCGTCATCAACGGGACCCCTGTGCGGATCTGCGAGTGATCTGTCATTGTATGATTGGGGAAAGGGGAAAGGGAGGGGGTTCTTGAGTATGGACAGGCTGGAGGCCAAAAGCTGACATGGATATGTTCTTTTGTTTCACTGGTCAGTTTTGGTCTGCAGTCGGCGAGTAAGAAACCTTGGAGAGACCCGGGGATTTTCTGTTGTGAAGAGTGCAGTAGTGCTCATCTGATGGTCCAGACAGGCCGTCGAGGGGCTCGTCATCACAAGCTTAACCAACAAGTTTAAAAAAGAGTACCACCAGGGGGGTCTTGTAAGGTGGAAGAGAGGAGAACGTAGTACATGTGTTGCCCCCCTCTAGTCGGAGATCACCATTCATCTCCCCGCCAGCGAACCAAAATTTCAGTGGAATTATATCCTTCATGCTGCATGTTGCTGACTTGGAGGAATTATTACCAGGAATGCAGCAAAGTCCAAGAGATCGATCTGTTAATCAATCTCCCAGACGCCTTTCGATTGATTAAAAAAGAAGAAGAAAACCCTCCGCAACTACCTATCAAGTGCCGGCATAAGGCTTGCCTGAAGACAGGGGAGATATTCGATAGTTGAGTCCGGGTATTCCCGTGATCAATCATGTGGCTTGCCAAAGACAAGTCGTATCTAAAGTACTTACTTACTTGTCAGGACGTTGCATTTACAACCCTTGGAAAATGCACGTCACACCACTCCCACACCTCCTTGTTTTCTTTTTCTTGTTCCCTCTTCTACTTCTTTTTCTCCTTCTTCTCTGACAAGATTCTTGCATGCTTACATGCATACTAAGTGCTTTCAAGTTCACTTTCTTAGACTAATCATATGTCCTTTTCCCCTCCATCATCATCATCATCAGCAGCATCATCCTGCTTCTTCGGAGCAACCCATCCAAAAAGACCTGACAAGTCACGGCACGCCATGTTTCCCCTCCGGCCCTTCGGAAGAGGATGCATATCTTGTGCATCCTATCACGACACCGGACTTTGCGGGTAACACAGGCTTACCCTGCAGGACTTGCAGCTAGTTGTTGTTGAGTTGTTGGGGGGTGCCATGTCACCGCCACCCTTCTTTGGTCTCGTGGGGTGCGGATTCCTTTCTTTTCCTCTTGAGAAGTGCGAAGATGACGGGATCGACCGTCGCCCAGTGTATAGTGTGAGAGGGCCTTTTGGGCCACCTGGTTCTGTAGAATGACTCGGCAAGGTCATTGTGAGCAGCTATTAGGTAAGAGAGAACATTCCTACCCCTCGACCTTCACCACCCAGGTGTCTCTCGTCTTACAGCGCTGGTGGAGTCTCTCACACCTCTTCAACGAGTCTCGGGTCCATAGACTGCCTGCCACACGACCACGAAGCCATCCAGACACCGATACTTCGGCAGGCATGACGCTGCTGTCCCGAACCGTCACCCCCCCCCCCCCTCCTCAACACCCTCTCTGTCTCTCTCTCTCTCTCTCTTTTTCCTTTACTTTGCCTGGTGGCCCAAGCAGCAGCTGTCGCCCCGATTCGTGCGTTGGGCACCACAGACCTATTATGACATATGCAAGACATGCCGATCCAACCTCGGCCCTTCTGATCTGTTGACTATACTTACATATTATTACTTCTAAGCACCTTAATGACTATTAGGGTGGAGGGAGGGAGGAGGGGATGGGACGTCAGTGCTCGGCCGTGCGCCTCAAGAAGAAATACCACCTACACAGCTGTGGGATCGGCGAGGGCCATGCCGTCATTGAGGCCCTGTCTACATGCTCACGAGAACAGGATTTCCGGAGGCGGACAATGGGGGAAAAGCATGCGGTGTTACTTTACTTAAAAGGAGGTGGTTTGGATGTTCTTCACGGACACAAACACCTTCAAGGGATCTTACAATCAGCTATTTACTAGTACTCTCAGCCTGTGCCTCGAGTCTTTGATCCGAAGTGCTGCAGAAGACCAAAATTTCCTTTCTTAGTTGTTGCATGAAGAAGCTGTATGCTTCTGGTCTATCATTTCAGGCCCAAAGCTTCTTTAACTTTTCCTACATCAGCTATGGCATCACGTTCTAGACTCGCTGTTCTGGGCTTTATAGCCTCGCTATCTGAGTCTGTCCTCGGAGCACCGTTCGAATCTTCTTCGAGGGTGTCTCACGATAAGAGGGCAGAACTGCTGGCCATCAACACGAACTTTCCTGATCCAGCCATCGAACAGGCAAGTAGGAAGTTATTTGTCTACTCTTCTTTCCTTCTTCTCCAAAAGTCCTCAGTGCTGATGAAAAAGAAAAAAAAAAAAAATAGGCATGGGACGGCACATGGTATGCCTTTGCCACCACAGGCAACGGCTACAATATCCAGGTGGCCACGGCCAGCACACCAGACGGGCCCTGGACCTGGCTGGAGCAAGATGCCCTCCCCACTAGCGGTGCCTGGACCTCTGGCGTCGACAATTGGGCACCAGATGTCAAGAGGATGCCGCCAGAGTCGCAGAGTCTTTACATCATGACGTACTCGGGTGAGCTGGCGAGCGATACGGCCCACCACTGTGTAGGCATTGCAACCTCGCATAACATCGCGGGCCCGTATACACCGCAGGACACTCCTGTCATCTGCCCCGATGTTGCCAGCACGGGTGGCGCCATAGACTCTTCCATGTACTATGATGAGCCCAATAACAAGCGTTACCTTGTCTACAAGGAGTAAGTCTCTCTCTCTCTCTCTCTTTTGTGAATAATCTCCTCAGGTCAGGTCCTCCACGATTACAATTAGACCACTATTTTGTACAAGTTCTTTTCAAGTTACTTACGCTCAACTTTTTTTCAAAAGGGACGGCAACAGTGTAGGCAACGGAGGAGACTGCGGAAACAGCGTAGCCCCCGTCCACGCCACCCCCATCATGCTCCAGGAGATGGACGTCAACGACTGGATCACCCCCGTAGGCGAACCCGTCGAGCTTCTCGACCGCGAGTCCGAGGATGGCCCGCTTATTGAGGCGCCCTACATCATCGGCACCTCCGACGGCCACTATATCCTCTTCTACAGCAGCTGGTGCTTCACCGACCCGGCCTACGACGTCAAGTATGCCGTCGCCACCAGCATCACGGGCCCGTACACGCGCATGGGCGAGCTGCTGGCCACGGGCGACTATGGACTCACGAGCCCTGGTGGCGCGAGCTCGGACCCCGGCGGCAGTGTGCTGCTGTTCCATGCCAATTGCGATGCTGGGCGGTGTCTGCATACCGTGGACATTACTATCTCGGCTGGGGTCGTCACTGTTACTTCTTGATTTCTTCTTCTTCTTCTTCTTCTTCTTCTTCTCTGGAAAGTTGATGGTTGCTGATATGCTTTCCTTTATTTTTTGTTTATTTTTCATATGTATCACGTGAGGGTGCTGCTCTGGAAGTATTTACTTGTGTGGGATAAACGTTCATGACTGTCATGATTTTGCCGTTGCTTTTACTGATCCAGATACCCCGGACTTTCGTTTTAGGTGGATAGACACTCGAGATGAGGACGATGCAGTTGTTACTTTATACTTTCTTAGCAAATTTCTGTTGAGCTCAAAGACAATTTGTGGCACTGATTATGATGAGCTCAAAAGAAGCCGGGGAGGGCACTTTGTCAGATAAAAAAAAAAAAATTAAGCAAGAAAAAAAGTAAATACTAGAGGTAAAGATATATCTATTAAAGAACGAACTCCAGAACGGACATAGCTCCAAGTGAATCAAAATTCAGAATTGCGGTAGCGCTTAATCTAGATGAAACTCCTCCCAAATAGCAAAAAAGATCGCCTGTCGTGAATGTTGCTAATGATAACAATGAAAATAACGAAACCATACCAATTCAGCCAGTCCATCTCAGCATAAGAGGGTCTGGTAATAGTGATATCATCACGACCTCCAGTCGTCATTCCCAGAACCTCTCCACAGCCTCTGGCCTCTGGGAAATCCAAACCCATCCATGAATCTATAACAAACCCAAAAATTCCCTGAGTACAAGGCGATGCAGCCTGCCGCATCACCGCCCTCCTCCCCGATTGCCACCCTAGCCATGATAGCCAATTCCACCAGCACCTCCTCCATATGCTCCTCTGCCGTAGCCCTCATAACTGGTGCGCTGGTCTCCCAGGCCAGGGCTCTGCTCGTAGACATACGCGCCCCTGCCAGACCCTCCGGCCTTCCTGCTTTCAGAGAACATGGTAAACGAGAAGACGATGGCATGGATCAGCTCCATGGGGTTCCAGACCCAGACCCACGCCTTGATACCCAAGGGTCCTCCCTGGTAGCGGATCGGGCGGTTCTGAGGCGGGTTGGCATTGCCCACCACAGGACGCATCTCCTCCAGGTCATTATCGACGGTGGCGGCGAAAGCGGTGGCAGGAGTATGAGAAAGATGGTAGGACGTGACGTCGTAGGCCCAGTGGAAGAAGATGCTGAAGGGGACCATGAGGAGGCAGTTGATGAGCATGGGGATGCCGACGGTCATGTCAGAGTAGCTGAGCTGGGAGGTCGGGGCGAGAGGGGAAGGGCTGATGCCGTTGAGGATCATAAAGATGATCTGCAGGACGAAGTTGAGGAAGACGAGGAGCTTGAAGGCGAGGAGCTTGGCGAGGGGCTTGTGACTCGAGAGTTCGCTACGGAGGGCCTTGTAAAATTGGAGGACGGACATGACGGCCACGAAGAGAGAGAGGAAGTGTATGATGTTCAACTGCGTGGAGGAGGGGAAGAGAAAAAACCCGGCAAGACATGTCAGCTAATCGGAATCCCTTTGAACACATACGAACATCCAGTTGTGACATTCTTGGCCGCAAAAGGCGAAGGAGGAGAAGGAGAAGAGATCCAAACTTACCCACAAGTGCGCAAAGTACGGCTTATTGCTGGTCAGGCAGTAAACCTTGGCCGCCTGGGTGATGCAAGTAAAGATGCCAATGAGGATCGAGACAGGAGTGAACTGGAAGATGGCGATCCATTTCCTCTGCCACGTACAAATGTTCAGTCAGCATACTTTTATCAATCACATCCCCCATTGCAATCTCGCATAACAATAAAGACCTTTGACCTACCCTGTACCAGGTCAACCCATCCTGGGCTGAGGAGGCACCACCATTCCTTCTTTTTTTCTTGGCGGGCACCTTGAGCGCTGCAAAGAAGGTATCACGCTCGTTGCCATTGGGCGAGACCAATTCGCACAGCAGGAGAAAGAAGTTGCCGAGGGCCACCGCCTGTGCCAGATCCGTCCATGGGTGTAGGTAGACGTATGCTTCGGGAGCGACCACGGAGAGGAAACAGAGTATGCCGTATACGGGAATTAAGAGGCAGATGCGCATGATCCTATTATCCATTGTCACGGTGTTCTTGTCAGCCAAGGCGATTTTCTCTCTCTCTCTCTCTTTCTTCCTTTCAAAGAAACGCACTCGATGGGTGGAGGAAAGACTGGACTGGACTGAACTGACTTGAGCTGCTCATTCGGCTTACTGAGGTGCATTGCATGGTTTGCCATGAGTATGAAGATAGAAAGACACGAGAAGGCGACGGCGGCGCCTGAGATAACGAGGTTGAGTTTGTGAAAGGTCCAGGACCCGGTGATGGGATCGGTCTTGGACTCATATAAGGAGAGTGTTGGGCATGTGTGGTTGGAGGAGCTGCTGCCCCCTAAGGATTTAAAAATGCCCATCTTGACTGGAGACCGCTGCGGCAGATATTGATGGGCGATGTTCTCAAGAATTCAGGAATGTTCACGCAGTGATATGATCAGAGGTTCGAACTTCCGGTAGCACGTCTTCTTCACGCCGTAGTGCTTTGCTGGCTGCACTGAACGAATATGAGTCCTAGTAAATGTCGTAACGAGGAATGTGTAGACCAGGAAAGAAGTGCATATATGTATGTGTGTTCTGATTTTTGATGGCTGTGAAGGATAATCCAGTCCTATTTATCTATTGTCGATACAAGTACAAAGCAGGCGTTCGACAATGCAACCACTGAGCTTTCCTCCTTACCACACTTGAGAGGGCCAGTGTTCCCAAGGCTGGAGATCCTTCGACCCACCTCGATTCCATCATTGTGTGGCCGCCAGCGATGCTTGCATGGGGCAGCGAGCACTTGAAAGGCTTCAGCTTCAGCCACGGCCCAGAGAAGGATCGTCGCGGTAGCGATTGCGAGCGGGCTGATCCGCAAAAAGGCTATAGGCTTAACCCAACGTGGAAGCACATTCGAAGCTACTAATATGAATGCTATGCCTACAAAGTCGTGAGGCGCAGCACACAAACGAGACAAACGGGCGTAAGCACTTTGATCCTAGAATGCTAGTTGGGACAGGGGGTTTCCGTAGCCGCTTAATCACATCGAATTAGAAGATCAGAATTTGTTGTCGTCTCTTTTGAGTCACGGTCGCATCCAGCTGGGGAAGTTCACGTTTGACAGATCTACGACAGATCTTTCGGTGACCGCCTCGCTCATAGCCGTCTTAATGTTATGGCCTAGAATAATAGCCTTTACTCACAGGGTCACGTCACCCACGTCGTGCAAGCTGGCAAGCCCCCAGTCCCGAGGGGGAGCCTGGTTCCAGGGCCTCGGGAACAAGCCAATCATGTTGGTCGCAGCTCGAAAAGACTTCCAGAACGGGAAACTCCGCAGATCATCAGGTTTTGGCTGCTCGCCACGCCGCGCTGTGCTGTATGGATCACTGCAATTGTACATCAAGATCAAGGAATTACCTATTCAAAGTGCCACCCACCATCGATTTATTTATGATGGTATCATTTAAACAGCAGCATAGGCCGAATCCCTGCTGGCACTTTTCCACGTGGACGGAGACTGTGGACCAGGAACAACCTTTGAGGCTGTCATTCGTCGAGGTGTGGAACGCTTACGCGCTGAGATACTGGAGATATGAGCTGTTTTGCATCCTACTTACTTACATACTCGAGTGCTTAATTCTTGCATATTATACAGAAACAACAGCACCCGCTGTCAAGTTACTTTAAGGTTGCGCCTATGCACTTGCTTGTCACGATGTTGGGCAAATGTTTCATATATTTCTAGTTTTTATTGTCGAGAACACCTGTGAACCCGATCCAATCCTGTATAACATAACAACCGCCAATACTGAACCAGTATCATGAAAAGGAATGGATCCAGTTTTGAGGAGTAAAGAATCATAACTCGGGCACCAACAGGCCAAAATTTGGTAGTAACGATGTGGCTGCGACTTTCTTAACCTTGTTAAGCATTGCTCTCGGCTGAGTTAGTTCCTTTCCATCCCTCTTACGTTTAAAACCACTGTCGGTGGTTGCGACTCATCTAAATATATATAAAGGTGGCCGAGTAAACGGGCATGAACTAATTGTCTCTCAACTTTGTCATGGGATAGCATATTGTGAAAAATGGGGCATATTTAACCCTAACCCTCTGTTTTGGTCCCCTCATAAACCATCTCAGAGCCTGGTTTAGTTACTTAGAAGATCTTCCTTTTGTATCAGATAGATTCAATCTCAACACTCATTCAGCCACTTCCACGTGCTCAGCTCATACGTTTCTCCTTAGTTATGAGCTCGGTTTGCAAGAATCGGGTTTAATCTTCCTCTTATCTATCGAAACAGACTGAGCTGTTCACTTCTTATTCTTTCAGAATACATCTTTTGTTCCAAACAATCATACTCACGCTCCATCAAAGCTCATAATAAAGCGCGAATCTGATGATTTTACGCTCTCGATAAAGTATACCAATACCTACTCCTTTCCATTCTGATACAGCATTTTGCAGTCCTAGAGCAAGGGAAAGAGTGTTTGGGAGTATCTAGATCTGGATAGCTCAGATGCGCTCTCTCTCAAATCTGAAAACTTCGATCTCGAGTTCTCCAAGTTTATTCAGAATCTTAAGAAGAAGTGCAAAAATATTATAACAGAGAACTATAAGCTACTCTTTATCCAGGAATAAGCTATTCTCTATAATTAGGAAATAAAATGCTTTCAGCTTTATTAAAATAAGCAGTTGCATGCTTACTAGAATATATAAAGAATGTAAAACTGGATTCAGAAAACAGTACTTTCATTAGTTCTTATTCCTTATATGCATATCTATTCAGGAAAGAAGTTTTCTTTGATTTAACAGATGCTTAGAAATCTGAAGAAAGATCTCTGTTTGTTCGAGAAGAGCATGAAACAGATTGTTCGCTTTTAGTACTGCTATTATCTTGAGCTAGCTACTAAGCAAGGCACCGATTTCCAAAACTAATGCTAGCAGCATCAGAATCTCCTGAATCTAGCTTAGATTTATAGCATTAATGAAGTTAAGAGACTTTAGAGCTCTAATAACTTCCTTGCTGCTATTAGAGTTCGCTTCCAGACAGAGTGAGCTAAAATGCAACAATATCTTCTTGCTACAGCATCTAATGATAGTCTGCTTATCAAGATTATTGAACAGCTTTAACGAAATCTTGCTTTAATCTACTGACTTTGGCTTGAGCAGAAAAAAAGCTCAATAGTATTCGCTACTATAGGCGAAGAGAACCTATCATCTAGCAACTTAGGCATAAAATCTGAAAAGAAACAAGATAGATCTTTCAGCTAGAGCGAAAAGAGAGATTACAAGTACTCCTGCAAGTTGTATCAAAAGAAGTATAAATAAAGCCTAATAAGCTGCAGAAAGCTGAAGTATGCTTATATCGGAATCAGGCTAGATTCAATCTTCAAAGCTTCATCTAACAAGCAAAGAAAGAAGATTCTCTCTAAGCTAGCCAGCAAAAACTATCAGAAGCTCTATTCAGACCTTATCAGAACTGAATAGCTTTCTCAAAGCTGAATAGAGAGGATTCTACAGAGAATGGAGAACAACAGAAATCTTTATTTAGATACTATCGAGTACTAGAATCTCTCAATTATAACATTAAAATGCTAGATTCGATACTTCTCAAGCCTGAAACAAAGCATTCTCAGTTCCTCTAAATAAACGCTATTTTCAATCCTCAATTCTTCAACTAAGCAGTATTGCTACAAGCAAGTATAGCAGTTTTCTCAATACTGTTTTAAATATCTCATATTCTTTTCCAAAGTACAGTTCTGAATAACTGCAGAGCTGTATATCTTGTTAATAGCATTGATCTTCTGAAGCTAAATACCTTTTCTCTCTTAAGAGATGCAAAAGTTATGAAAGCAGGGAGCTCATTGTTGCTAATTGTTATAACTCATTCAACATGCAGGTCACGAAACAAACCCCAGCAACAAGGAACCAGGTATCACAACCCAACGTCGGACAGCTATCAATAATTAGGTAATCCAGGATTAGGATTACAGAGCTCAGCTAATCAGATTATAGAATGATTACTTATAATCACCAGTGCTCAATAATCAGTAGTAATCCGGAGTAATCACCAGTAAGCAGAAACTGAAGAGCTGAATATATAACCATACATTCATTATCATTAGATAGATCATTATACATAGCTCTTCAGTTGTTAATCTAAGTATTCAGTCTTCTATACTAAGTAGCTCCAAAGGCAGTAAATACTTGCATTACTCATTAGAACTTGTACAGTTCCGTATTCAAGAACTTAATACTTTAATACTGCTCTTGTTAGCATAAACTCTTCATATACTTAGAAATCTTCGGATTGCTGCAATGCTTATTATATTTTGATAATTCTTGTTTAAAAATAGTTCAGTATTACTTCTTGAGCAATACAGAATATGATAGCTTCTTTAGAAATCTCTTTATCCTTGCGCGCCCCTACTCAGAAAGAACTGATTAACCAGATATACTAGCTTATCCAGCGTATCCAGAATCTGTGCAAACAACAGCAGGCCCAAAGCGCTACCATCGCCAACCAGCAAGCCCAGCTAGCCCAACAGGCTCAGCAGGCGCAGTTCACCTCTGCAGTTACCAGTAATGCTGAAAAGGCATATAAAATGAATAAGCTTGCTATATATAACAGCAATCAGAAAATGCTGCATGAATTCCTTATCTACTGCAGAATATATTTCTTGTATTATGCAACTCAGTTCACTATAAAATCTGAGAAGATCATCCTTGCAGAAACTCATTTCAAAAAGAATGCTCTCATCTAATACAAGCTTTCTCTATGCAATCACTTGAAGCATTAAAACAATCTCAGTACGCATATTCAGAATATTAAAAATATATTTGATTTCTTTGAGAGCTTTGAAAAAGCTCTTAAAGAAATCTTTAGTAATTCCAACGAAGAATGCATTATAGCTTAGTAGCTTATAAATCTCAAGCAAACTAAATCAGCTTCTGCTTATATAATTAGATTTAAGCAACTCTTAGTGCAACTTCTGTAAGAAGATAAGAATCTCATGAAATATTATTATAAGAAACTTAAGAATAATATTAAGAACGAAATTTCCAAATAGAATTAGCTAGAAAACTTTATAATATTCTCTAATCAAGCTATCCGCATTAACAATCATCTGTATAAACAATAAGTAAAGAAATCCAAAAAGAGAGAAAGCTAGACTTGGAAGTTTCTAGCTAATATAAGCAAGAAACTTCAAAACAAGAATAGCAATTAATATAGCAGCATAGCTCAGAGCAGCACTATGCATGCTGATCCCATAGAACTCAATGCTGCTAATAAGCAGTATAGCAAGAGAAATAACATTACTTGCTACAACTGCAATAAACAAGAATACATTACATGCAACTGCTATCAATCCCAA